AGTATTGCACCTAGGTCTACTAGCGAAGATATATCAGATTTACAAACTTCAAATACATTAATACTTCAAATATTACGCATAAAATGGTGTAGTTATTATGAAAAATGTGCACAAAAGTTTAATGTTTTGGGTAAGCTTCTCATAACAACCAAAAGAAGGTAATCATTAATTGAATAGTCAATTGCATGAAGTAAAGTGCCTAATTTTCCCACATGAGCTTTGACAATTATTTTAACATTGTAGATATATAACAAGATATTGAACACATTACTATGAATTATTCTAGTTGATGATTATGTTCACAATCTTCCATATGATTGCTAGAAAAAAGGTAACTTATGTGACCAAAAGATATAGTGGCGACCATAGTTGAGCAATTGACCTCTGAATTTCTTATAATATTTTCACACTGAAGTTGAAATAGTGGAGATAAGATTGTATATAATAATATAATTCAACATTTAGTTAATAGTTCACTTCTAATGATAATATAATTTTAATTTAATTTTTAAAGAAAATTTATGTTTAAAATATAAAACAAAAGCTGAAAGGTATTTGACTCATCTTGTGCCCTACATACTAGCTATTTGGTTTTGACTTATACTAAGATCAAGAATGGGGTTGAATTGATCTACTCTTTTCTTATTTTTTTCTAGATAACATCTCTCAAAATTTCATTCTTCTTTTAGGGATGGTGGGTACATGAATTTTTAAGTTCACTCACAATACATTATATTTTTATAGTGATTCGGCCAATTGTCTACATTCACTTTTTAAGAACATAATCATTCTTAAGTTTCACTACTTGTAATTGTCAAAACCACAATTGTTGATTGATAGACTCAACTACCTTAAAGATTTACTTAGAATTTATCTTTAGATTCATAACTCTAGAATGTAAAGATATGAATGTAGAAAGAAATTTCAAGATGAAATTTCGTGGGGCCTAATCTTGGTAATCAGGGGTCACACTACTATTAATAGAGATAGGTCACACTCTGATAAATAAGAGTTTAGTATCATGTTTATCTCAAAGAGAATAATAAAGATATCACCATGAGAGGATTTTTCAAATACGAACTCTTGAGGTTGTTTAGGGGTTAAAGATAATCATTCAGCTCTAACTAGTTGTTGAAAGGTTGTATTTATAGAGAGATCAGATTCAAAATATCTTTTTATTTTCTATCATCTCATAATAATAATATTTCTAAAATTGATTAAAAAAATCAAATGGCAGAAAAACCAATATGATATACCATTTATCCATTTAGATATCCTTAAGAAAAATCAATACATGATTCCTTTAAAGCACAATATAAATATCTAAATCATATTGATTCAATCAAAAACTAATAAAAATATGATATCGTTAAAATAAAACTTATAATATATATCATGATAAGATGATGATTTAACAATCAAATCTTATTTAAATCACTTCAAATAAAATATAATCATCAAGTTAACATCTTAAATCATGATTATTAGTGTCTATAATCATGTCTTTGATGATTAAGGATACTTAAAATGATTTTATAAATTATTTTCTTTATAATCCAAAATTTTATGTTCAATTGAATAAGTAATTTGAATTTTGATTAAAATGACACCAAAATCACCCAAAATTAATGATAAAATTTTATGAGTACAAAATAAACGTAGTAAGCTTCCATACTCATATTTTAATTGTTATTGTATGATTGATTCTAATGTACTTACCATTACTTTCTTACTATAATATATTTTGTTAATATTGACACTTTTCACAACAATATACAACATGATAATTTTATACAATATAATCAATCAAATGTATAAACTCAACATTACTTATCAGAAGTATGTTCGATAAATTTAACAATCTTATATAGAAATATATATAAGCACTTTAATGTTATCTTCATGTCAAGCATATTCAAGATTAACTATAATTGATTTTTTTAATTGATCTCATAAATATTTGTCATCATCAAAATATTATTAACTTGATGCTTCGACAATAGTTATATTTTATTCATCAAAATATATCTCATGAATTTCATTACAACTTTTTGAGTGCTATTTAAAAATACAGCATTAACTTTTATACTTTTAAGGTGTGTTATTGTCACATAATTTCACAATAATTTTCTATGGTCCATGCAATATATCTTCTATGATCTTCTCCAACTAATTCATTAGTGAGATGAGAAAATTCTTATATTGAGAATCAAGAAGTGAGAGAAGAGCATAAGATAAAATCAAGTAGTTGGACTTATTCAACTAAATCCCCATTTCACTAGCATACTTAGGATTGATAGGGATACATGATTATGTGCCTACTTGTTGCGACAATAGCTTGACAATATGGGAAATCATCTTTGATTTCTTCATCTCCCAACCACCCATAATAGATAGTTAAAACCAAAATAAACACTAAAATGCATAATATTTAGTCTAATTTAGATAATGTTATAGACACCTTTTGAAGAATCTTGAAGGTTATCAAGAATGCTATAACTCTACTAGTCACAGCAAGGAGAGAATGACCTGCTCTTACAATTTTGCTAATTAAAATAAGTTTTAATTTTATAACCAAACACTATGAACATACTCTTATTAATGACTTATAGTGTTAAAATCTAATAATGCTTTCTACTTTGATGTTAAATTACCAAAATATGACCAAAATAAGGGCAACTAATCATGTAAATTACATATTTACCATCTATAAATAAAATGAGTAAAGCTTGTCACTATATTTATTTATTTTTTTCTTTCTTTGTAAATAACACAGTTGATTAAAAATGTGAGATCATTGGATTTGTCTCACATATAACCACATCTTTTGAAAGTGGTATGTAGTAAATAAATACTTGATCATTAAACAAAAGTCAACAAATATTAAATGACAAAACTTAGAGGAAGGTCAAGAGAATTATTATAGGAATGTTCCTTCCAAGAAGGTATTCATGGTCAGTTAAATTGCAAGCTAGTTGCAAAACAAAGTAATTCAATGTTTACTCAAATTGACATACCAAAAAAAAGTCAAGACTCAAATTATCGTAAAACGTTGTAAGAATCTTCCATGTATACTAAAAATACTATAATTGGCAAAGAAACTCTGAATGTTTCCTTTGAGCAAAGACTTGAAAATTCTTTATTGAGGTTATAACCTCAATGAGATAGTTGACATCATAAAATTTAAGATTCAACATACATGTCACCATAAGAATTAGAAAAATTAAAAAATGACACTCTAGATCACATTTAGATTAAAATGTTTCCTGAATTTTTTTCTGAATTTATTTAAATTAAAGGCTTTTGAGTATATCTTGTAAAGTTAAGTTTCCCCTTGTATAATAATTAATACTTGAACATATTATTTTTTTGAATTACATATTCGTGCAAATTAAAAAAGGACAAAAAATATTGCCAAATGCCAGTTTGCACCATGGTTTAACCCATAATGCAATTTTATGCCAATTTGCAGTAAGGTTTTGTAGAGTTTTTCTTGGTGGATCTTTAACAAGGTCACCACCTTGCCCCAGCTTAGAGGGCAAGATGGGAGGGGATGCCACTTATGTCATCATAGAATAGCAACTATGAGGTCCCAACACAAAAACGAATTAAATAGGTACTAGGCTGGGATCTAAACGTCAACATTTAATGTCATTTAAATGCATCGTAAAAAATATTACGACAATACTCAATAGAAAGTATGTAAGATGTCATGTGGGTAGATCATAAATAGCACATGACCTCTAGGATAGACCCTATCTAAACCTAGGTCAGGCCCAAATATGAAATCAGGGCAAGCTCTGAGCTTCCTTAGCTTATATCTTTGGAGGGTATTTGCTGACAGATATTATCCTAGTTATACACGATGAGGCAATAGCGAAACTTATGGTTAGCCATTATGTTACACTTTTTTCTGTATTTGCCAATTATTTTCATCAGACATTATATTTTTCCTACCTACAACGACATGAATTCCTCCTGCTTATCCCAAAATGTTTCCAAGGCCTACCTCATGGGATCCAAGCTGGGAGAGAGAAAAGTAACAATTATAGTCATCCTGCGTGGGAAAGTAACATCCAAGGGGGAATGCCATGTGGATAATCATTGAATAGTTCATAACTTCCTGGACACATCCTTTCAAAACATGGGGGGGCCAACCCAGCACGACCCACGTTGTCGGCACCCCTACAGATCGACAGAAATCTTGATGCAGGCCACATCAAATGAAATCTAAGCACACCGGAGAATAAGATGACATAAAGCAGTCCCAATGAAGGGTGAAGAAATGTAGTCAGATTCTCCATTCACATGGTAAACCAGTCCTCAGGATCCCGACATTTTGATTTAAAAATTTAACCAAGTTTAAAAATAAAAAAGATCAGTCAAGATGGGTGAAGAAAGGAATTTTCTTTCCTGTTTTCTCTGGGCATTCTCATATAAATAAGCCTCTTAGTAGCAAGCAGTCGCCTCAATTGAAAGAGGGGTGGAGATCAAGAGAGGGATGTACATTTTCCAAGAAGACATGGGGGGGGAGGCGGGGGTGGACTTCCAGAGGAAAAGAGAAGGATTTCAGCTGGCAAATAACTCTTGGATGTCCCATAATCAAGATCCAGTTATTGGCGTGAAGGTTGGTATAAAAGGTACGTCTTGCTACATCTTCATGGCGGGAGTAGCTTATTGATGGGAGGACGGTCTATGAATATCTTATGGACATGACGGCTGCAGGACTTATCACGGTGGATCGACCTATAGAGGGTGGTACCCAAAAAGGAAAATTGAAGCCAGAAAGCTGGATCTTGAAGGATTTGATGGGTTTTACTCAGAAAGGACTAGTAATCTCCCCACCATTCGGGTGAGTTGCCGGGAAGTTGCAGGGATTGGACAAAGAGATAGGAAACCATCCCATCTTATGAGAAGACGGAACCTACTGACTCAGTCGATATATTACAGGATGATGCCATTCGGGTTCAAGACCAAAAAAAAAAAAAAATGTTATTGGATTAACTGGGCATGAATCCATGCCGCAGATCTGTAGATGATGTGGTAGATGAGGTCTGGGCCGTAGTTGGGACAGAGTTTCCGATGGGAAAGGAGGCAGGAGGCATATTGGGAAGAGAAGACGCAGATGGGCTGTAGCTCAACAACGTCCCCATCGGATGATCATACTTGCATGAAGAACCAAATTTGCATTCCCCATGTTGCATATAGAACGTGCAAGGCGGAGCTCCCTGTTTCAGCATGAAAAAAAATAATTACATAAAAGGAATAATGCCAAAAAACTCAGTGGAAGTATGGTTGAAATAGAAAAATAATACCAGAATATTTACTAAGATAATTAATTACTTATCCAATGCCATAAAGTAGCCTTTGCAAATTAAGTAATTAAGCATAGTCTCCAGAAATAAAAACCAAAAAGTTGAAATTAGGTTATACAGTAATAGTCTTATTAAGAATTCCAAGTAGTTGAAAAAGGAATATAGAATTCAAGATGCTTAGTCACTGCCCAAATACATGATCTTCATATGAACGGTTTTTAAGATGTTCATGCCACAACATGACCGACGCAGGACATCATAATAAAAATGAGAAAAAAAAAATCGGTCTAGTATTATTATTGAGAACACTGTGCATTAGGTACTAAAAAAACTAAACATTAGATTATAATGATGCCACAGCTGACGCTGTTCTTAATAATTTTCATATGATATCAGATCCAACGGTTGTCCTCAGATTATATAAGATAATATTTACACTAGCAGCGTGATAAAAGTAAAAACCCATCCAACAAGTGAGGGATGCGTTAAGAATAATCCCCTCTATGTTTCTATAAAGTAAACATGTGATTAAAACGATGGGTTCACTCCAAAGATCAAAAAATAGTTTTGAGTTGGATGGATCCCAGAAATTATAACAACTATAATAGAGTAAATAAAATCGTTTTCAAATTGTATCTACAAAAGAAGACCCACTGACGAGAGAAAAAAAGGAAGAAAGAACCTGAGATAAAAAGTTCAGCAAGATGATTAAAACAGATAACAAATATGAGCTGAAATTGTCCTCAAGTCAAAACACCAAAAACATCTCACTAGAAGAATGCATTCCTAGCATTTTGCTGAGAACTACTCATTCGTTTTCTTGAATGGGTCCCTTGATTAGCCCGGAAACAAGTGTTTTACCAGAACTGGATATCCATGGTATTTCACAATTTAAGCAAGGATGAGACACCAATAAACAAGCACATGAAATGATATTCTCTTTAAAACAGTAAACCAAGTTCTACAATCCGCACCTGAATAATTTCCAAGCTGCAATTCTCATTCACAGATGGTCATCTATTCTCAAGCCTCGTTTTGGGAACAATTCAGCAGACCCCAACCCCCCTAAACTTCAATGGTGGGACATTCACCAAGAACCTGGCCACATTAATCTTCTGAAAGAAACTAATTCTCTTGTATGATCCTAGACATTTCCATTGCCACTTCTCAATATTAAAACATTTCCTCTCGTAGTGGTATCTAGCCAAAATATTAACAATCTTAACCAAAATCAAACACCAGGAATGTCTCCAATGTACTTAAGCTCATTAAGAAATTCTCAAGGATGAACGGTCAATATCTTCAGTGATTATAAAAGGATATCCACAAAAATGCAAGATAGATCAAACAAGAATTTTCTCAAATGACTGCATTTGGGCTTTGGACTTTAATCCCAACTCATATGGGTAACAATTCTTTTTATTACAATGAATGAGAAATGAATTTTGAGAGAAAAAACATTGGTGCGATGATCAAAAGACATTTTTGACCAGAAATTTAAATGCAAATATTCACAGGATCACCCATAAAGATTTATACTTTGCGGATGTCAGAAGACAGATACAAGAACTAAGCTGGCATAATACGTCTGCATTGACAAATGTGGTGTCACATTCAAACTTGGATTATAACAAGAAAAGATGCACACATGATCATGGCTGGAGAGGAAAAAACATATACCAAATAGGCATCAGATATAAAGACATCTGAAAAACATCCATAGAAAAGAAATCTAGCGAACTTTACACCATCAGGCCTACAAGTGATTAGAAGCTTTTAAACATATGTATTGATAGACATTTAACAGAGACCAGCTTCTACCATTTCTTTCTGTCGAAAGCATTGATCACTACTCCAAAATGAATGTATTATTTGATGCCAGTGACGTGGTGATCACCAGGTGAAAGTCAGATAATCCAATAAAAAGAACTAAATGTTTCCGGCAGAAACCAAAAGTTAGTCAGTGCACGAAACATTGGTATCATTTGTGTCAGTCCATATGGACATCAGATTTAAGAAAGATTTTCTGATCAGATGCTTCATATATTTTAAAGTGCCAATTCGCAAAAACAATAGAGATCATTCGTATCCGTCCCTACAGATATTAATCATTGAAAACTCATATCGACATAGTCCATGAAGCCATTTAAACATAGGCCCTTTTCCCTTTCACAGACATTACAATTCTTTAACTGTGTGTCCGTAGAAACATAAATACAGGATTGAAATTCGATGATGGATTGTTTGCCGTGTTCTTCTTCTCGTCATTTGTGTATCTCATCAAAAATTTCGTATGATGTTTTTCTTAGAAAATTACTTATCAGATTCCATGGAATCACTATAACAGACCTTTAAACAAAAGATCATAAGTGGTATCATACTTACAATTAATGGTCCTATATAATCCGTCTCCCAGCGTAAAGGAAAAGGGCCGGGCCTTCATGATTTTGAGTGGTTTATGATTCTTCATAATTCTTTGTGATAATTTACAGTTATCTTGTGATATGATTACTCATACTTCACATTGTTTACAAAAGGTTATAGCTAGCTCGATCAGGATGTTGTCTGGATCCAATTGGCCCAGCCATTTCGTCTAGTTTATGCCACAGGATCTGTCCATGTCCTGTTCCCTTTTTCAACATAAGTTGATGTTTGGATCCCTTTGGGCTGTGTTAGTGAGATTGCCATATAGATGGGCTCACGTCCAATATGGTCTTAGTCTGAACATAAAACTAAAATGGGATGATTTTGAATACTTAGGTCCGGAGTGAAAGGGTTCTGACGGAGTTAAATCACCACTTTTTTCTTCAGGACCCTAAACAGTGAATATAACCCAGAAAATACCAATCTTCAATAATAACGTTTAAACCAACATATAGCTACTTACACAGAAAACTTTAACAAAGCCTTAAAAACAATGCTGCTTACCTGGCGAAGAGGCAGACCCAGAGGACTTAAGGAGTAATTCATTTTCAGCATTCCCCGTTCACGTGGATGATCATATTTACATGTGGGTCCAAACTTACAATCCCCTGTTTTCATGTAGTACTGGCATTCGGGTTGGCCTGGTCTCTCTGGGAACAGACTTTCTCTTCGCCCACTCACTGACGGATCAGCTGAAGAAGATGTCGACTGATAGGGACCCGGATAGGCTGGAACTGATGGAGGCAACTCATGGGGCATTCCATACGCTGGACCTGCTTGAAATGATGGTTGGCCTCCAGGGGATATAGCTGGGTTCACAGGGGGCTACAAAACAGAAAAAAAAAAAAGGCAAGAAACTCAGTTTTTCTGTGTCTCTAACGGCCCTCCTTACGGGCAATCGCACCAGATAAAAAAGGGAACTTTACTCCATTGACGAAAATTAACTCACTGGATAAGAACTCCATCCTGAAACTGGAACCACTCCTGGGCAGAATAACATGGAACCATAAGCCCCTGGTATATATGATCCGGGTAATAATTGCCCAGGGCTTGACATTTGCCAGCCGGCCATGGCTGGGAACTGACTGGGAGGGTGGACTGACGAAGACTGCACACCCGGGAAGAATGGAGGCGCGGGTGCAAGTCCAGCCATTGACGTGTCAGCCAACTCCGGGTGATGGAACTTGCAGGTTGCACGAAATTTGCAGAGCCCGGTTTTCATATAGTAGGAGCAATCTTTTTCTCCCTGCATTTAGTGAACACCCTCAGAGACAGAGCCACTACCGAAGAAAATAATCAAAAGATGAACATCCATGATGCAATGGGTCCAAACCGGGCGCAGGGGAAATCCAGAAGAGTTCAGCTGAACTGGGTGCACAGGGCCTCCCTGTCTTGGATGATGGTACTTGCAACTGGCACCAAATTTGCAGGTCCCAGTCTTCATGAAATACTGAATCAAGAGGATGGCCCATGAAATAATTTAGTCAAAAATATGAGGTTATTGATTTTTATTGACGATCACTTCATCTGCGCCCATGATCCAACAATATCCCAGCATATGACCAGGTGAACTCTACGAGTCAAAGACAAGAAAAACATACCTGACATACTGATTGACCAACCCTTTCTGGATACTCCCCACCAAACATCGGAGCAGCCGGAGTTCCCTGAAGCCATTAAACGCTGCATTACCAAAAGCAGATAGAGGAAGCAAATATCTGCGATTTTGGAAACAGATATTAAGGTTTCTGCATTTTTGCAATGTCCTTTCCATTCCTAATCTTTATGTTCGACCTACAGATTTCAGGTTCGGAAAGGACTACTCACCGATTCTGATGATCTAAAAAGACTGTCACCGCCGGGGGGACGGAGCCCTATAAGGAGAGCACTTACTATTGCACGACTGCGTGGATGATTGTAGCGGCACTTGTCGCCATAGCCGCAAGATCCAGTGCGCATGTAGAAGTCACAGTCGCGCTCCCCGGGACGCTGTGGGTACGCTGGCTCGCCGCCGCCTCCGCCGCCGCCGCCGCTGCCGCTGCCGCCACCCAATGACAATTGCCACAAGGGTTCTACTCAAATCCCAATAATTCCATTAGAAATGCCCACGAAAAAACAAACCCCCAACTCTTGCTTCCTCCCTCCCCCGATTCCCATACGACATTGCAGCCGCCCATGGGGAAATATCACAGAAATCAAAACAGAACTTGCAGTAAATCTGAAAAAAACACTACTTGAAACCAGGAACATGCAGCGGTAATTGCGGAACCAGATGGGAAAGAAAATGTAGGGACTAGAGTCGGTGACACAGTGCACCTTCAAGGCCAGTGCCGGGGTCGTCGCTGGGGGGGGCCTCCATTGGAGCGGCTTCCCTGGCGCTTCGAGGCAACAGAGGGTGTCCACTCACGAAGACTGGAATTGGGCGGCGGAGAGAGGCGATTCCCCCAGTGCGATCCCCCAAATTTGAAGGGAGATGGAGTGGGGGGCTCTGCCCACTCGCGATCGACTCCCCCCGTGTTCTACTGCTGTTCCTGCATCTGCCTCGCTTCAGTGGGTGGGAGGAGTAGAAGGGTTGGCGTGGGTGGTCTTGCCCGTCGTCGTAGTAGATTCCCCTGTTGGGTTCTCCCTCCCCCACCTTCCCGTTTTCAAAGCGCCGGCGTTTATGCAGAAGTGGAAAAAGAAGCTTCCTTTTAATACCCACCGTCAGAGAAGTCTTCCCAATTGAATAAAGGTCTCTTTTTATCCTCTTCCTGATTAATTTTAACTGATATGTACTAAATTTACTACTACTTAGTGTACTAACCTACTAAGTTTTTTATTGCTGATTTCATCCAAAATCAGGAGAATCTTCTTTGTATACTGTCTACTCTGTACTCTCATCTTGCACACGAGCTCAATGTTCTCTCAAGCGTTCTATTTTAAATTACCCCCCATAAATACCCAGAACGACTCTTCTACCCAATCCCAAAAAAAGCGCGTTTCTGTGGCCTCCAACACTCTCTCTCTCTCTCTCTCTCTCCCCCCTACCCGTGTTGAGTCCACCATTTTGGACCGTCCGATCCCCCTCTTTTGGGAGAGGAGGAACCCTCGATCCAGTGGACCTATCGATCTCATTCTACTAAATGAGGCTCTAATGAGGTAGAATTAATGAAGCGTACGATTTCCTGGGGGTGTATCTATAAAAATAGTTCAGGTGCACCCGGCCCTGTGGACCCGCGAATCCTGGGCCGTACGATGGTAGAGGTCCCCGTGATGCACAGTGGGCCCCAGCACTGCGGATTCTTCAGATCTTTTGCCGCTCCAAGAAGCAGGAGAAAAAGTGTCGGCAGGAAGGGGACCACTCCCCCCTTTCGACACGTGGAAACTAAACAAAGGCTCCTCCCGGACGGATGCCGACAGTGGCGTGGGATTCAAGAAGCCACGAGTGGCGCAGAGACACGTTGATGGGTTGAGGGCCGAACCCTTAATGGGCCGGCCCGTTTGGGGCTCTGGGCCTGTCGCCGCCATTTTTGACTCTGTCAGGCGTGTGGGGCCCGCATGAATTAGGTCGGGGTGGCTGGTGGTTTCGGGTATTAGCCACAGCTCGTATTCATTCAGTCATTACATCTGACGCGTTCAATACAGAGTACTGCTGAATTTCTTTGCATAAAAGCCAAATAATCATCCACTTGACAGCGGCCTGACAGGGTACTTCCAAAAGAAGGAAAAAAAACATTTTATTTTCTATTTCCGATTTGGGAAATGATTATTTGTTAATTCCCATCGACAAAATAAGAGGATGGTGTAAGAACATTGCTGACCTTCCGGGTAATCTTCACCCCTCGCATACATCCATCAGACCATTTTCAACACAGAATATTGCTGACCTTCCTTACATAAAAGCCAAATAATCATCCCTCTGACAGTGGTCCGACTGGGCATTTCCAAAAGGAGGAAAAAAAAAGCTTTTTTTTCTGATTTCCGATTTGGGAAATGATAATCCGTTAATTTCATCGACAAAATATCAGGATATTCTAAGAACATTCTCCAGGAAATCTCTATCACAATCTTCACTCCTCCCATTCATCTATCAAACCATTTTCAATACAGAATATTGCTGAATTACATAAAAACCAAATATTCATCCCTCTGACAGTGGCCCTCCTGACAGGGGACTTCCAAAAGGAGGGAAAAAAAAAAAAATCTGATTTCCGATTTGGGAAATGATAATTTGTTAATTCCATCTACAAAATAAAATGATGTTTCTAAGAACATTCTTCAGGTAATCACCCCTCCCATTCATCCATCAGACCATTTTCAACACAGAATACTACTGAATTTCTTTGCATAAAAACCAAATAAGAGTACCTTTGAACAGTGGTCTGACAGGGTATTTCCAAAACGAGGAAAAAAAACCTTTTTTTTCTGATTTCCGATTTGGGAAATGATAATTTGTTAATTCCATCGACAAAATAAGAGGATATTCTAAGAACGTTCTCCAGGAAATCTCTACCTTAATCTTCACCCCTCAAATTCAACCATCAGACCATTTTCACATCTCATATCAACCCTCTACAGAAGCCCTAGTGATGGCCAGCCAGGAGCCTTAAAACAGTAAAGCAAGACTTTCTCTTCCTCAATCGTAGTCAAAGTTCAGAGAATCCTAAAGATTCGTTGCCAAAAAGGTAGAGGAGAGTCGGAGTCATCGACATGGTGAGAGGGCAATGTTTTTGAAGATATTAGAGAAAGGTGTATTCAGATTATAGAAGGAATTTTCAGGCTGGCCAATTAGAGGGAAAGTAGGACATCTCAAGAACAATCTACATGCTTTCAATTTGCACCAAAAGTGTTGCGTTTGGCACAAACATGGGCAAAAACTAAGTGGGTGGCGCATGGTGACATCGGCATTGAAGAAAAAAACCAGGGAAGAATTTAAATATTTATATATAAAAAATAAAATCCACCACTAGTCTCCATCCTCGACGCCTATGGCCAGTGGTTAACCATCTTTCCTCCTGTGTGGGACTTCCCTTCCTAAGATTGAATCCGTTGTTCCAATTCTAGAGATTTGAACCTCTAAGGCTTCACCCTTTTCAGGCAGGTCTCAGTTCTTCACTGCCTGAAGAGAAAAACGTCATCAAGATAAACCCCACACCAAGGAGAGAAGATAGAGATGGAGGGGGATACCTTCTTCTTTCTCTTCCGCTTCCTCCTCTCTGGCGCATCTTGCTTCTCAAGCTTCTTATTCTTATTCAGATTTCCTGTCTCTGGCACACCCTGCATCTCAAGGTTCTTCTTCTTATTCTTATTCTGCTTCTTCTTCTTCTTCTTGTCCGGATTTCCGGGATCTAGTTCCTACAGACCCACTTACTTTTTCAGCAAAATGTAGAAGAAGAGGGCACCCGCAGAGAGTAGATATTGGTGATGGGAGAGTGAGCAACCAACGCACCTCAGTGGAGCCATCGTCAAAGGAGGCAACATGCCGGATCATTCTTCCAGCGGTGGTTGAAGAACCACCTGACAAAGAAAAGGAGGTAAATAAATGATAATTTTTTCTCTAGGTTAACATTTTTCTCGACATAATCAAGGCTTAAAAACATCAATTTTAATAGAAAATAATAAAATATAAAAACTAAACGCTATAAAGTGATTTCACCATGCGCATGCTACCTATTGAACACAAAGGAAGACGCCACTGGCAATCCCCTATGTCTGACACATCACCCCCAATATGAGTTTTTTTTTTTTTTCCCTGTGTTTATGGCACTGTATACAAGATCCCAGACTCATCTAGTAACCCAATTATGATCAGCATTATTTATTAGCCCTAATGCAAACAAATTAAGTTACAATATTTTTCCTTAGATGATAGAGAATTTTCTGAATATGCCTCTTGGGTAAAGATGCATACTAACCCTCTTGAATGCACACATGATTATATGCTACTGTGAGAAAATTTTACATATATACTTATTGTCACCTCCCATAGCCCAATATATGTGCATAAAAGTACCATATGTGGTTGAGCAATGCAGGTGCGCATCACAGACGCAGCTAATGCATGCAAAAGCTGAGTGTGCTTCTGATAGGCCAAAAGTAAACGTTTACGAGGAAACCATTCCACAGCCAATAACCAAAAACACTTCTTTCGCTACAGTCAACAAAGTGACTGTAATGAAAGGGGCAAGAAGGTCATGTAATCGTTGATATTCACATTCGTTAGAGATTTCGGATATAAAACCAGTTATGAGAACAATTGCAACAGCCGTCAGAACTCTGGTTTACAGACATGTTTTGTTGGATAAGGTGGGAGGGCCTACAACACATTAAAGTAATTTCCCCGTTCATGTTGAGTGACAGTGGCTGAGAAACTTATGGTGCTCGCTGAAGAAACCTTAAGTATCAGTGAAAGAGCAATGTAACATTCACAAATGAACTACGTCAGGTGCAGATAAGCGATGAATTTGTAACAGGAAAAAGTTGGCCATAATTTCACTAAAAAATTCAAATTGAGAAGCCTTATACACCCTTTTCCCCTCCACCATTAATCAGAATTCAGAACCTCAACTGAATGGAACAATTTTAAAACTCTTTGGATAATAATACAGATGACGGTATCATTAGTCTCTGAAAAGATGTAAATTAGTGCTATTCAATCAAGAAAACAGATGCTCCGCGATAAATATTTCAGCAGCTCAATAACTCGATTATTATCAAGTAGTTTGGGGTCATACATGCCCCCTCTCTGGAATCATATAATTTCTACCCGTGGGAATTGTATCCAATACCTATATTCTGGTCTAGAGAGAAAATATATCTGAAGTCCAGTTTAATAAATTAGTTTTGTGAAGTCATTATCAAGATAGACAATATTCAATGATTGTCTCTTTACATCACGTTATGGTGATGGAAAACCAACAATGAATGTTCAAACAGAAACCCTACCACTTTTGATCTAAATACACCTATAAGTGATAGTAATGGCTCCAACCGTGTTTGGAGCCAACATTCCCAACGATTGATTCAATTAAATTTTCAATCCCATATGAGAATACATGCGCATCTATTGAATTCAGCTCAAATCTGGAGGGGAGAGTTAGAGTGGCAATGCTTGGCGACAGAAATGTCAGTTTCCTGTTGATGGTGGCGGGCAAAGACTGTGAAGAGAACGTGAGATTCTTACTCGAGGTTTTTCTTCTTCTTCTTCTTCTTCTTTGTTGGGGGAGGGTTTGTAATTTTATATGCTCACAATAGATAAGCTAGGAAAAAAAGCATAGCGACTTGGCAAAGGCCCTTTTTGCCCAAAATTACAATGGAAATTGCGAACTACAGACATCTAGAACATTGATCAGGTCATTTCCTCATTAGATCAGACAAATTCTATTAAACAATAGTGATGAACAGTTCAAACGTTCCCAAATTGAAGTAAACAGCAAGCATTCCTTGTTCTAAAAGACAGTAAAACACAATCATGGATAACATAGTTCTCAAAACCAACTTAAAGCAAATCATAGATTGATTTATGTGACTGAGAGAGACATAATATCGAAATAAATAATGGGCAGTAGATGATATTACGGCATCAAGCTATGAGATGAGGCATTACTTATTCCCTAGGTACGTAGGTAATAACTATTGTAGGTAACTTATTCGATATTTACTGATATCCTTTGTTTAGATATTTACAACTTTTCATGAAGAAGATAGATTATATGAATTGAAGGCTTAACAACAGTGCGTCAACATCTAGCTTTGACTACAAAGTTGTCAAGGGAGACAACAACACCTGTCGGAAATACCCCACCAAAAAACAGGGAGAAGGAACAATTGGTTTAGGTTTTTTTTCTTTGGAACAAACAGAAGGTAGAGGCATAAATGGCACCAATCCATTCCCAAAAACTCCGATTCCACCATTTCTGTGCTGCAAGTTCTATCGTTATCAAGCAAGGGAAGGGTCCGCAATCAGTGGAATGTTTGCCTTTGGTCGCTGGGTAAACAAGACGATTAAAGAGGGAAAGAAAAAAAAAAGGCAAAACGATTTCCTTTTCATTCGCCACAACTAATCTAAATGGTAGGAAAGCCTTACAGAGACTATGCCATTGCACATAAGAGAGTTTCTGTTCAGTAAGGTAGACTATATCAAAACCAAATGAAAAAAATAAAGAGAAATTAAAGCGGAGAAGCCCAAGGAAACTTACTAGCCTTCACAGTTTCCTTGGCATTCTTCACTGCGAGTTCTAGAACATTGGGATCTATGGAATCCAATCCACCAGGCTGCTGGAGCTTCCTCTCAAGAAACTTTGCTAAAGCTGCAGCCTTGTTTGTGGTAAGTGGTCCTCCAGGGTGAGCCAACCTTCTCAAAATATTGAAGGAAATAAACAATAACTCTGCATAATTATTCTCACTCTGGATGAAATAATAAGAGAAAGGCAATTACAACCCACGAGAGATGTATGACTGCACGCAAGACAAAGAACATCGCTACAGAGAGAGGGAGATGGAGGAGAAGGGATCTACCTGGGTTGGGGCCGAGAAGATGAAGATGAAGATGGGCGGTTGGAGATCGCGAGAGGAGCGAACTTGCTGCCGCGCAACGCCCGCCGTTCCTCCTCGTTAAGCTCCGAGGAATTCCCATCTCCTGCTTCGCCCTTCATCTCTGTCCTTTTCGCTCTACTTTCCCAGCTCCGGGCAGAGAGGACGAGAAGAAGGCGGTTGGAATACATTTCTAGAATGGATTCACAACGACCAAAATGACTTTTGACCTGGAAAGAGTCCTTGGGTCCTCTGGTCTACTCTTTCGGGCTTCAGAGAAAGAAAAACATTGACTCAGAATCTATCGTTGGAATCCATTTTCCGAAAATCATTCTCAGAATACGCCAAAAATGGCTGCCAGGTCTGCCATGGAAATCATAGAATATTTAATAATTACCAAAACAAACTGACGTCATGTATCAAAAAGCTTAAATATTAATAATACAAAATATTTGTTCGACTGTTAGTGGGCCTTAAATCAAAAAGAACAATAGGCCCACAACATGTTCTTGTTTTACTCTCTCTCTCTCTCTCTCTCTTTCATGGAAATAAATTATTGGATATTATTCTAACTTTATATATATTTAAAGGACTATAAAACGAACTTAATAGAATACATTATTAATGCCCCACTCTTACCCAAGTGCTGAGATCTTTCACAAGATTCATAAGGCTATCCCAATAACCTCATTTTATAACAGCCATGAACTTATTTGAATGCTACCAATCTAGTATCATATCACATCAGTTGACTTCTGGAATTCCATCTGCTTTGAACCTAACAAAAACATCCAAGGGTAAAAAGGCCATTTCACATGATATAATCACTAATGCTATCACTTAAAAATGCTACAAATAGTATTTGCCTTGTTCTGCTTGTGGCATATTGCCCAAAACACATTGAAATATCCATTTTCAAATATTATTATCATCAATATATAAGTTGTATACTAAATGAATATCATCATCAAGGTTGTTAATTGCCACCTATCAATTGCTCTACTTATTGTTCATTTCATCATTTTTCTCCCTTTTATTTGATCCTAAAAAGAATGGAAATAAATCAATAAATATGAGAATATTAATACTATATTGTGGACTTTATTTTGTTTAATTATTTTGAGTGGGCAGAAGTGGGGTGATATGAGAGAGAGAGAGAGAGAGAGGGTTTTAGTAGGAATACTTTTGCAGTTATCTTATCCAGTCTTCATCTCCTTCCCTTCTGTCAAGTGGATCCGGAGTCCTGTTGCCATCAGACGGTTGAGACGGCGTTGGGTCCGAATGGGGCCCATCGCCTCGATTGGACAGCCGAGATTGCCCCGATGGCGGTCGATTCGGCGTGGACTATGTCCACGTCGATCCTGGCTGATTCGCGTCGACGTCAGCAGCCCCCAGAACACGTGGACGTAGCTTTTCCACGGGGTAATCTTTTCTCTGAATGAGTGGTGGGGCCCATTTGGTACGGCCCCGCATGGTTGTTCAACGACCCGACCAGACCAGACCAGACCAGCCGCCGGCCCAGCCCATAGACACGGGCTGCGCCGCCGCCAATCTGGAACCACCAGATCCACTGGATGGACGGTGAAGATCGAGACGATGAGTCCCCCCTCTATCTCTCTCTCTCTCATCTCCGTCTTGTCTGATGCGCTCCGCTGGTCTCAGGCAACGCATGTCCACATTCTCTCTCTCTCTCTCTCTCTCTCTCTCTCTCTCTCAACTAGAGAGAGAAACTGGACGGCTTTAGACAGGAAAGTATGGGAGAGTGGCGGAGGGTTGTTTAATGGCGGTAAAAATTGAAACAGGGATCTCTCTCTCTCTCTCTATCTTTCTCTCTCTATCTCTTCAGGGGTTGCTTGTCTTCACAGGAGAGATCAATGAGGGGCCGTCAACTGTGCGCAAGCACCGAGAAGATGAGAAAAGGGGAGGAAATGGGAAAATAAGATAAAAAACAGGAGACCATTTTTTGTTTTTTTTTGAGTTTTCATTTCAGGTTTCTGTTCTCCTTCCTGCGGAGGCGAGGGGGCAGGACGCAGAAATCCTTTTTGTGGAGGAGAGTGGAGCAGGGAATCAATCCATCTCCGCGGAGATCGATTTTGGTAGGCCGCCTGCGGGAATCATCGCAGCGGCTGCCGGGATTGGCGGAGCTTGGGAGAATTGAGGCGATCGATCATCCGATCGTGTTGGGTGATCAGGGGGGGATTCGAGCCCGTGCAGCCGATCGACGCCGGGGAGGTCCTCGGGCTGGTAGAGGGACGGAGGATTGAAAGGCGTGGCCTTCTGATTAATCGAGCTAATTGGGGGGGAGTCGATGCTGGTGCGGTGAAGGTGGGAAGGAGGTGGCGGAGGAGAGGAACGGGTTGGGTGGCGGATAGAGTATCCTGTGGATGCTGTCCATAGGTTCTGAGGACGATGGGAGAAGGACGTTAGGGTTAGGTCCACGATACAGTGGTCAGGGAGGGATGGAGGAAAACGAGCTTGAAGAAGGCGAAGCCATCTCCAGCTTGGAGTATGACGCCATCGTCGACCCAGATGTCTCCCTTTCCTACATTGTAAGATTGCCTGCTGCCTCCCTCATCAATCGCCTGTTTCTTTTCATGATTGTTCCTACTATTTTTCGGATATTGTTTTAAATCCTGAGGCATTATTCGATCATAACTCTGGGTGCCTGTGTCCTTTTCTTGTTTATAATTTAGTCTTACAAAAAGAGGGCAGGGATTTGGAATTGAGGAAGGGGTTGCCTGATTCTGAGTCGGGGAAATTCTCTTCCTGGAAACTTTCTATAATTCATCTTGATTTTCTCACAAGCTACGATATTTCTGAGATTGCATTGTGCACTCAATGCCCAATAATTTTGTTTCCTGTGCTATCATTGTCTTACCGCACAGTGTCAGCAGAATCTGAATTAAATTGCTTTCAGGATGAGAAGATCCAAGTGGTACTGGGGCATTTCCAAAAGGTCTTTGACGGTGAAGTTTCTCCAGAGAACTCTGGTAAGATTAGCTCCACAGACCACTCTCCATCAGAAACCTTGAATCTTCACCGGGAAATGATTTCAGACTGAGGAAATTTCCTTGTTCAATAGGAGCAAAGTTGGGTGAATATGGCTCATTCCTGCCGGTTTATCTGCGCTTGCCGTCTGTTTGGTCTCAACCTAGGGTTCCGGGAAAGGTAACGGAGCGTAATACATCAACATCTGTCCACAACCCACCTACAGAGGTATTTGGTTTATTCCGTTCTTTTTTATCATCTTTTATTTTTTTTTGGAGAATGAGATGCTTGCTTCTATTGTTTATATTACCTGTGAGTTTTTTTTTTGTGACCCCTCTAATACTATTTGTGGCCTATGTTCCAGAACACAGCAGCTTCAATAAGTCCATCAGTTCCTTCAGGAAATAATTCGGTTCCAGTTCCAAAGCATCTGGATGATACAAAGAGAAATAAGACTTGCACAAGTGCGCACAATGTAGAGGAATTGACTCCCCAAAATGGTTCGACTAATAAATCTCATAATAAAGGCAAAGAAAATAATTTGCTGAAGGTTCGCATCAAAGTGGGGTCTGGCAATGTCCTGCTGAGGCCCCTAGCTGCAATTTACAGTGACATGGGCCTGGACTATTCTCCATCTTCGTCACCAGAAGATAGCCCTGGTATAAGTGGAGGGATTTCCCTGGGCAATTCCCCTGGTGATTCTCCAATGGCTGCTTTCCAGGTCAGTGCCCAATCATCTCTCTTCACTGAATGATGTTTTGTTGGATTTAGTACATCCTTGTGTCGATCATCTCTCTTGATGTTTTCTTTCATGTTATGGAACAGATTATGACTTGCTTCCCAGTTTCCGATGGATATGTCCTTTCACCTCTCCCTGAGAGCATGTTGCACTTGATGGAAAATGAAAGCTTATACTTGAAGAGCCAGAAATCGGGCACTTCTGCTTTTGGCGTGGAAGTCTTGAAGAGTGATCATTTACCTGCAAATGGAAAAATATCGTTCAGAAAAAAGGTCAAAAACGTCAAAGATAAAATGACGTCCTCAGATCTCACTAATTCAAACCGCAGAGGAAATCTGAGGACCAAGGCTGATGTTGACATCCCAGTGGGTCGGGCACTTGTCTCCGATGCCTTATGCACTCCAACACGATCCAATTCTCATGTTTCGTATGAGAAATCAGAGAGAATAATACAGGAAGTGACAGGGGAGGATGCTGGCAGGATACGTGAACCCAAGAATGCTTTCAGCAAGGACAAAACATTTTTGCCTTATTTATCAGATGATGAACTATTGGAGGTTGTGGCCAGTTCGGACGCTAGAAAGTTTGGTGAGGTAGGAGATGACTCCGTTCAGCCGAAGGGGAAGCTGAGCTCTAAAACACGTTCCACGGACAGGACGTGGGAAGAAGACAAATTGAATGACCATAAAGTTGCTCAATGTAGTCCATACATCAAAGGCGCAGGAAGTTCAGGGAAAAACTGTGTTGCAATTAATTCTTCCAATGAGAAACTGAAGGTAGTGAAGGATGGCATCGCTGATCCCTCAGCACCTGACAAATTGATACCTCTACAACATTCTAGTTTGAACGAAGATGGTGAAATTAACTTTGAAGAATCAGGAACGAAGAGAAGATCAAAGGGATGTGAAATCAATGATGCGAGGCATACTGAGAATCCAAAGGAGAGCGTTGAAGCTTTGTCTTCTGCAGAAAAAAAGAAAAGGACACAGTCTAAAAGAGATCATTCTCTGGAAAAACAAAATGCGGTGAAATCCCTCAAGGAGTTGAGTAAAAGCGTTCGTAAAGAACTCCATAGGGATTCACCGAGTGAATCGAAAGCTGCAAAAATCGGATGCAGAACTGATTCAACAGAATCTCCATTCAGAGAAAAGGTGAAGGCAAATGAAAAGGATTATTCTGGATTTTCTGAGAAGTCAAATGAGAGTCAGAGTGCTAAGAAAGCAGAATGTCCTCCACAGTCTGAAACACACGGAAAGGACTCAGAAATCGTGCAATTGATGGTCAATGGCCCAACTACGAGTGCAGCTGCAGCACCTTCGTCTCATGTCGTTATTGAGGACAATTGGGTTTTGTGTGACAAGTGTCAGAAATGGCGCTTGTTGCCTTATGGGACAGACCCTACTCAACTTCCTAGGAAATGGCTCTGCACAATGCTTAATTGGCTGTATGTCCTTCTTATCTTTCACTGAAAGATTTATTTTTATGGCACACACTGTTTATAAATATTAACTTGCATGAAACATGCAACTTAACAATGAGTATGAAGATCAAGAGTTCAACAATTATGCTCAAGTATTCTTCAACCTTATCCTGTTTGCATGAATATATTTCGCGATTTAATATTTAGTTCTTTCCCTGTGCTCAATTTTTCCAGGGTATGCACTCCTGTCCTGGGGTCTTTTGAAATTGGTTTCTTATTATCTTACAATATGTCCATGTAGGCCGGGAATGAACAAGTGTTCTATCAGTGAAGAGGAGACAACTAGAGCTTTACATGCTTCATACCAGGCCCCATTAGCAGAGAATCAAATTACTTTAAATGCTCCTGGTAGTCAAGCTGCATCTGGAGCTTTCTTCATCAATGGACAGTATGCGGATCAAAATCATCACACGGGTTTCCAACTGGCAGCAGACTATGGAAAGAAAAAGCATTCTACGAAGGATGTCCCTTCCCATGGGACACAGCTTGCAGACTGTGTTAAGAATCGACATGCCTCCTTCGAAAGTGTAAGCTTGACTGAGAATCAAGTTAACTCCAATGGATCAAGCAAATACTCTTTTGAGCATATGAGTAAATCAGCTGAATTCAATTTCGAAAAGGTCAAAGAAAGAGGAAAGAAGAAGCACAGAACTATTGAACAATGCTCAACTGGAGGTTTTCTCTATTGCGTTTCTATTTTCCTTTCTTATGATTAGTTGCAATTACTTTAAAAACTCTTCATCTTGAAGCTAACAACTGTAAGTTTCCTTGTAGGTGAGGTTATTGAGCGAAATGGGCAGATTTCGAAGTCCAAGAACAAGAAAGGCTCTGATCAAGATGGTCATAGAGTTTCTAAAAAAGTCAAGGTAGAGGGGGCGTATAATGTTGATGAAGATTGGTATTCTGATCACAGAAAATCAGCATCAATGACAAGTAGCGGTATAATATCTAAATCCCTCAATATTTCTTCATCTAAGGATTCGAAAACAGTTCTAAATGACAGTGACGGCTCGAGAAAAAAATCTAAAGTTCATGTAAAGGTTTCATTAAATGGAGACTCTAAGGAGAACTCAAGTGCTTGCTATGGGGAAAAACTTGATAAAAAAGATTATTCTGGAAAGAAGCGGAAAGAGGCGCGACTGGATTACAAGTTCCATGCTGAGGCTGCGGGAAGTAATAAGTGTCTCCTGGATGACGGCGTTAGTGTGAAGGAAGAGATCAGTAGAAGCGAGTCACGGAAGGAAAAGAAGGCCAGGATCTCAAAAATGGAGGAAAGGGGGGCCTTTAAGATTAAGATGGACGACGAAATGGAACGAAGGAACCGAGGGATGAGAATTTCGTCACCTGGTGGCAGGGAACGCCCACATAATGGAATGGAAAATGAGAACAAGCACATAACTGAGGTTGAAGAAAAAGACCAGTTTCATGTTTTTGCAGAATCTGAAAAGAACTTGAGTTATTTAGGCTCAAAAAGGGATTTGTCTGATGTACAGCCCTCTACAGCAGCTACCTCAAGCTCATCAAAGGTTTCAGGTTCATCTAAAAATAAATCAAACTTTCAGGAAACGCGAGGATCTCCAGTGGAATCTGTTTCTTCATCTCCTCTGAGGACTTCCAATGCTGACAGTATTCTTTTCAAGACGAATGCTGTGGGAACAGATGCTACTAATGCTGGATTCTCTGTCCTGGGGAGTCAAAGAGGGTGCTCCAATGGTGAAGTTTTTGGTGCTATTGACAAATCTGTAAACTCTAGTAAGGGGAAATCCTCTCCATTTGTACATAATGGATCATTGAAAGATTACCAGGATGCAGATTTCGAGGTTATGAATACTACAAAAAGAACATCTGGCTATATGGACAAGAAATCGTCTCCATTATCATTCGGCAAAACAAAAGATGGAATGTGCTTGAAGTCGTTCCCTGAATTTGAGGAAAACATTATTGTTGCCGGTAATGATATTCAGTGTAGAAATCATATTCTCAATCAGGAAAAGCAGAATTATCGCAATCAGTCTAATGGATCTGGTCAACAGAAGTCATTAACGAGCTCTCTTTCACGAGCTAAAGAGAAACATAAAAGTTCTAATTCTGGTGTTGACAAATATGAAGACAAGATCTCTGATTCTGTTAACGAGAAGGAAGGGCTATGCTCAACCGAGAAAAAAAGTAGCGTCAGGTATGATTCTGACTTGGATTCTCGTAGTCGTTCTGCTTATCAGGAAGATTTAAGGGATGGAAATTATAGAATTGTAGAAAAGAAGGATGAGAGAAGAGCAGAGTCAGTGGGAAAATTGTCCAGCGAAGCGACAAGGGACGTTAAATTGAAAAAATCTGAAGTTCAGGCAAGTTTGGGGACGAATAACCTGCTGGTGACGCATGAGAGAGATCTCCACTCCAGAGCGAGTGAAGCAGTAAGCGACTCTTCTAAGACAAACAAGCATTCTCAATTGAATAAGTCCTCGACAACTCCTTGTGAAGATAGAAAGTCGTCAAATTTCATCACACGGGATCAACCTGAAAATTTAGAGACAACACCTGTGAGAGGAAAGTCGCAGGCTCTCCCACATTCTGGAGACAGTAATGTTACTCCATTTGAAGACTCTCAAACTACTCCGGTACGTACAAAGGGAGGTAAGCCAGAAATGTCATCTGTCAATGCAACGACCAGGAATGCAAAATTACTCGAACAGCCTAGAAATCCCAATAGTCTGAGGCTCCCGATCACTCATGGTTTCAATGCCCCAAGTCCCGTTAGAAGGGATGGTAACCACTCTGCTGCAAGTGTTTTGAAGGAAGCCAGGGACTTGAAACATACAGCCAACAGATTAAAGGTTTGGATAGCTATACTTGCCCTCTTTGTGAAGTAAGTATCATTTGCTTGATCTGATATTAGCTGTTACGCTATTGGCAGGCTGAAGGACTGGAACACAAGAGCACTGGTCTGTACTTTGAGGCTGCATTGAAGTTTCTTCATGTGGCTTTCCTTCTTGAATTCTCCAGTGCTGAAAGTGGAAAACATGGGGAATCAACACAGGCAATGGCTATGTATTCAGATACAGCAAAACTTTGCGAGTAAGTGAACTGACAAAAGCTTATGCAGCTGCCTTATTTCCGACTTGTAATCATTTCCCAAGGAACTGCTGCTACTTTTCTGAAAAGCCTCTTTGGGTAGAGACTCATCATATCGACATGGCCTCAAATGCTTCCTGGTGTAAACTTAAAATACTTCCTTGCTGGAGAATACATGCAGTTCAGGGCATTTTCCGGTCCCAGTTGTCTTAATTTATTCAGTTTATTTATCCGTTTATTTTTTGCCATAACCTTAGAGCCTGTTAAGATGATGGAAATATTTGTGTCCTTTTCAATCAATTATTATAATCATAGATAGCATTTAGATAATTGATGTGAGCAGTTTTATGTTTTGAATGTTTCCAACCAGTAGTTTGAGTATAAGTTGGGCTTACATGCATCAAAGGATACCTTTGGTTACCTTGCCACCTTGACAACCCCGGCCAGTAAAAAAAAAAAAAAAAAAAAGGTTGTTTTATGGAGCTTGTTATTTGGTTCCTTGAAGCAGTGCCACCCAACTTATTTATCTCTTATGGATAACCATTATACGGTGGTTTCTCCTTTATATGACTGCAAACCTGGACAGCAAATATAAAAGCTCAAGTGATGATGCAAACAGTTACTTTTTTAGGCTTTTGACCACCCTCATAAAACTGTCAAAAGTTCCTACAATAGTAGAGAAATTGGTAGAATAACCGATGGGTGATTCTTTTTAATGCCATATTCGAATCCATTTAGTATTCTTCGCAGTAAGTGTAAAGTACTCCCCCATGGGAACATAGGTACATTTGAACACGCATTGAAAATTTGTTCATCATAGTTAGTTGAATGTAAAGCGTGATCCCTGGCGTCTGTTATTCCATCTTTCTTATAAAATTTCCTATTTTTAATGGAGAAGAGTCAGTCCTGATGTTATCTTAGCATGAACCTTTTACATAGGTTGGATTCCGTGATCCATAAGAGAATAAAGAATGGAAATTAGTGAACTCTTACCTGAATGCTTCAAAACTTTATGAAACATTCATTTATCGACTCCATGTCCTATAGTTTAATTATGTGGTGACCAGGTTAATATTAATAGGAAAAAAATATCTATTCGTGAACCATTCGGTTGTGTAAGTTATTTTTAATTAATTAGCTTAAGTGAAATGCAGATTCTGTGCTCATGAGTATGAGAGGCGGAAAGAAATGGCTGCTGCAGCATTGGCATACAAATGCATGGAAGTGGCGTATATGAAAGTTGTTTTTTCCAAACATTCCAGTGCAAGTAAAGATCGGCATGAACTGCAGACAGCTCTCCAGATGGTGCCTTCAGGTATTGAACCATACTGTCTCTTGATCGTCTGCTGCTCTCCTAGACGTCTATTTTTTTTCAGAGGATCGTACTGCTATGCCTTCTCCCAGCAACAAGTGTTTTACTGGAAACCCTGTGCTGCCAACATACAGTGTTCATGTTGGCATGTTTGATTTGCAAGAGTTTGTGCATCAAATTATCATAATGTATATTTCAGAAAAGGTTTATGGATAATTTGTGAGTAAAGTTCGCACTCTATGAATAGATATTTAGCTTCATACTTTGGTGAACTACTTTATTTTTCCAAGTCATCAAATGTGGTTTCTAATCTAGGTTTGTGTGTAGCCAATGCATGTTTTAGGCTGATTTATTATCAGATAAATTCATTTTTTTTATTCGTTTCCGTTTAAATCCTGCCCACTGGGCAAAGAGTGTTTCACATCGAAGTGGAATGTTTGCAATGATTAACATTGTCTACATTTTCCCAGGTGAATCACCGTCCTCCTCAGCTTCAGACATTGATAATTTGAACAATCAGAGTACGGCTAATAAAAGTGCTTCACTGAAGGCTGTCAACCCCCACCAAATGGTTGGCACACATGTCATTGCTGCACGTAATCGTCCCACTTACATGCGGCTTTTGGACTTCGTAAGTGCTTTTTTTAAACGCCAGATCCTTTGTTGAAGAGAATCACATGTGATAACTTATTCGACTTCTCTTTTGTGTGTACGGTCTAATCGACATTCCATGAATCAGTCAGTTCATAGAGTGTTTACCATTCATCGAATCTTGGTAGCCCAAGGGTTTTGCTCGTGAAAAATATTGGAATACTCGGTTGAAATTAATAAAAAGAGAATTTCTGGATTAAAATGTTTATTATTGTGTGCATGTGTGGGAAGGAGGGGGATTCTGGTCACCTGAGTGAAACTTAGCAGTGACAATAGTTTTGCCTTTCTTCTTTTTAAGTTTAAAAGTACCCAATTCAACCTGGGAGCTACGATGACATCTCTAAATGTTTCATCATCAACATCAATAAATTCTCGTTTCCATTATTTAGTGAAGAAATTGAACACAGAACAGGAAGGACTAACCATGTTAAATTATCCATTTCAGTGAATGAGTTTTTGTTGATTTACCAACTGTTACATAGTGGTATAAATGCTGGATAATTAGACTAGTACGCTGCATTCTGCTTCTTTTAGAAAGTTACAATCATATTTCTGTCTTAGACAACATTGATGTATGCGTGAACTGATGCGATACAGCATTTTCCATTGAGTGTGATATGAGTAAGATTTCAGCATCTAATAACATATATTAATTGTTTTATTTCCAGGCACATGATGTGAATTATGCAATGGAAGCCTCAAGAAAATCGCAGCATGCATTTACAGCTGCTAATGCTTGTCCAGAAGAGTCACAATATGGGCCTGAAGGAATCGCTTCTGTGAGAAGAGTCCTTGATTTGAGCTTCCATGATGTGGAGGGACTATTGCATCTTGTACGACAGTCTTTGGATTCTATCAGTCGTTTGCTCAACCATTCTTGAGGAAAAAAATGGCCCTGTATGTAGATTATGTCTCTCCCCTCTCTCTCTCTCTCTCTCTCTCTCTCTCTCTCTCTCTCTCTCTCTCTCTCTCTCTCTTCTTTAGAGAGAATGAGGAAAAGCAACAAGAAGCGGGCACACCTGCTTCTCTTTCTGCAACTACCGATCCTATGGTTTTGACGGGGTCCTAATCAGCTATTCTTTCAGCCTTGTCCTTGACAATGTCACATCAAGGTCAAGAGATATGGGAAACAAGGTGAGTTTGTGCTAAAATGCCTCAGTAACCAGTTAGCATGTTGTCTATTTTGGTTTTTCAGAGCTATTGATAAAATTCAGAACAGATACATTCGCTCAGGTAGAGAGATTAACCAATAGAATTTCATGAATCATTTTTCAGGCAAAAAAGAAGACTAATAATCTTTGGGGTCATAAGCACATTTACGAAGAAATCATTTTTTTTCGTAGTTTTATGGATCTTCTATCAAATGCTCTCGACGTTAAATGAACTTGACCCAGGATATATATATATATATATATTCATATATCCATGTGTATGTATAACTGCTGCAACGTTTTCTTGTCCGTGTCAGGCAATGCCTATTAAATTTGGTGTCTAGTTGTGCATGATTCCTTCTACTGATGTCAGGATGTAAAACTCATTTACTTTGATGAGATAAGATCATACTAAATCATTTTTTGTAAAGGCAGTTGGTTTCATAACAATAAAATCAATTTCTAGATCATCATACATCAGAGATTTCGTTTTACTCTTTGCTTAAAAAGTGTGATGATGTTCTTAAACATTTTGGATGGTCCTGTTGCTTCATATTTTCAACTGACTTGCTAATTTATCTTTTTGTAGATGACAATGACCCCAAGCGACATAATAAAGCTAATTCATCAAGGAGGCATTTTTTGGCCTGCATTAATGGGATAACAGCCTGTGTTCATAGCATAAGGAATTTCAGAGTTTGCTACGTTCCAACAGGTACTACTTTATACTAGCTGGTCTGAATCATACTTTCTATTAGCAAAACTGAAAACGGTATGAACGGAAACTCACCTTGATGCATCTGAGATGGTAATAATTAGTGAACGAGCAATACATAGAGCTGCAAACAGCTTATCTGCATTGAATGGTCAATCACAAAATTAAGTGCAGCATCACGATTTGGAATCTCTCTTCCATCCTTTCAAACACCCAGCAGAACTGGTGGAACCACGCCCATAATTCTTTCCAGGGATTAAGCACACTGTAACTACTGCTAAAATCCCTGAATTTACCTGAAATAATCACACCCGGTATGAGGTATTGGGTCGTTCGATCCCAGGAAAAGAACCCAGTATGGTTAAAAAGGAAATAAAAGATCATTACCATTTAGTGAAATCATGTAGATAGATGCGTTTAAAAAATTAGGTCTAAATGCAATCTAGTTTCGAAATGAGGTTCCTCAATGGCAATCCACCATGTCATTCCTCCATATTTTAACATTGGCATCCATGTTAGAACCATCTGATCTTGGCGAGATTGGCCAGCTTTTCTGGTTTTGGCTTTATTTTTGTCCTTTTTTTAGTTTCAGTAGAGAAAAAATGGGCCAAGTTTTTCAGGCTGACACAGTAAAGATGAAAACATGTTCATTAAGACAGATGCATACTCTCGACCCACTTCTTTGTTCATCATTGCTTCCATTTTCACTTGTGATCCATGCCAGTGAGAATAGTCCCGTATTGATTATTATGAAAAGATGGATGTATATACTCTTGATCCATTTCTTTTACTCATGATTCACGGCAGATGGAGCCCTTTAAGATTTATGTTATTAAGAATAGTCCCATATTGATTATTATGAAAATAACAGTGATACGATGATGGGCACTTGGTTTTGTTCTCTTCCTTGGTCATCACTTCCTATTTTCACTTCTAATCTGTATGCCCGATTGGGCAGAGTTTGTAAAGAAAAGTCTCCTATTGCTTGTTATAAAAATAAACCTGTGATTATAAGATTTATTTGGTTGTCTACATGACAAAGTTCAAAAGTCAACTCCCTCATGAAGGAAGACGGGCCCATTGATTTCAACACCTCCCCTAATGCTCTGTGATTTGTTACGGGTGATCTCTGCCATTAATGGCTACGTTGACCAACAACTTCTCTAATTCTCGCAGGCTATACTGATTAATAAGCGTTCATGGATTTGATGCAGTCTGGGTCGGCAAAGTTCATAGACGGCCAGGCGTGGATCCAATGAGCACAAGCGGCTGCTAGTGCTGTGTTTTGAGATAGGAGCTTCATCAGCGGCTTCACATGGGAAAGATGTATAGAGCAGACTTTGAGGTATCTTGGCCTAACCCATCTAACCTTGTTGTGTATAAAGAGAATACAGTTTTCGTTTTGATGATATTAAGCAATAAAAATCTTTCATTCTCTCAAACTGTCTTTGCCTCGTGGCTTGCTGCTGTTTATTCTGGTTGTTTGGAGGCTGCTGCATGCCCTCTGGGGATTTGACCTATTTATATGATTTAGTCAAATGGGGGGTTGAGGAAGAGGAGAGAGAGAGAGAGAGGTCAGTGGGCTGAGTGAGGGAGAAGAGAGAGATTTGACCCTTCACATGATTTAGTCAGTTGGGGGGCTGAGGAAGAGAAGAGAGAGAGAGAGAGAGAGTGAGACAGAGGGAGGGAGAGAGAGAGGGGTTCAGTGGGCTGGTGGAAAAAGGTATGCGGCTGATGCAGGGGGGAAGTCATGGCGACGAGGCTTCACCGGCGGAGGTGGTGCAGCTTCCGCCGTGACGACGGAGGCGGCTGCGGCGTCATCCTCGCCTTGCTGACCCGCCGCCTCCGGCAGTCCCGCTGCCTTCCCTCGGTGGTCTCCACCCACGCCAAGATCCTCAAGTCCGGCCTCACCCTCTACCCCGTCACCTCCAATCACCTCATCAACGCCTACCTCCGCTGCGGCGCCACCGCCCACGCCGAGCTCGCCTTCCGCGACATGGGCGGCGCTGCCAACGTCGTCTCCTGGACCTCCCTCATCGGCGGCTTCTCCGCCGCCGGCAGACCCGACCGAGCCCTCTCCTTCCTCCGCCTCATGCCGGCCCACGGCGTCTCCCCCAATTCCTTCACCCTCGCCACCGCCCTTACCGCCTGTTCCGCTTTGGCCGCCCTCCATCCAGGCCGCCAGCTCCACGCAATGGCAGAGCTCTCCGGCCTCATCTCCGATCTCGTGGTATCCACGGCGCTGGTAGGCATGTACGGGAAGGCCAACTGCGCCGGCGACGCCCGTCGAGTGTTCGACAAAATGCGCCAGCGGAACGTCGTCTCCTGGGGCGCCATGCTCGGTGCCTACGCGCAGAGCGCCTGCGCGAACCAGGCCCTCGAGCTCTTCGGGGAGTTCCTCAGGCTCCTCCCCTTCCCCCCCAACCACTTCATGCTTTCCAGCGTGGTCACCGCCTGCGCCGGCCTTGGCCGGCTGGTCTCCGGGAAGTGCACCCACGCCGCCGTGCTCCGTCGTGGCCACGACGAGAACGACGTCCTCGGCGGCGCGCTGGTGGATATGTACGCTAAGTGTGGCTGCTTCGAGTACTCTCACAGAGTGTTCCAGCTTCTGCTGTCACCCGACGTGGTGCCCTTCTCGGCCATGATCGCCGCCGCCGCCAAGCACGGCATGGCGACCACCGCGCTGGCCCTGTTCGACGAAATGCTGGAGAAGGGGGTGAAACCCAATGGGGTCACCTTCTTGGGGGTCCTCCACGCCTGCAGCCACGCGGGGCTGGTGGACAGAGGGCTGCAGTACCTCGCCAGCATGGAAAAAACCCACGGAGTGGCGCCCCGCGTGGCGCACTACACCTGCGTGGTGGACATGCTAGGCCGCGCGGGGCGGCTCGACGAGGCCGTCGCCATGGCCGGCGGCGTAGCGGCAGAGGGCGGGGACGCGGCGCTGCTGTGGACCGCGCTGGCGTCCGCCGGCACCACTCACGGGCGCCTGGACGTCGCCGCTATGGCCGGTGACGTGCTGGGGGGTTCCTTGTGCTCCGGCAGGGATGTCGTCGGCGGCTTGGTCACCATGGCGAACGGGTACCGGGCGGCGGGGAGGTGGGAGCTCGCCGCCGACGTGCGGCAAGAGATGGCGCGGCGGGGCATCCGCAAGGACCGCGGGTGCAGCTGGGTGGAGGTGAAGGAGGCCGTGGAGGTTTTCTACGCCGGGGAGGTGGCGTCATGTTGCAGGGGAGGGGAGGTGATGGAGGTGTTGCAGGAGTTGGAGAAGAGGATGAAGGGATATGATAGAAACGGGCGGGGACTGGAGATGGCCGACGGGGAGGAGCCGGCGGCGGCGAGCCTGCACAGCGAGAGGCTGGCTCTGGGGTTCGCTCTGATCAGCCTCCCTGAGGGGGTCACCATCAGGGTGATGAAGAACTTGAGGATGTGCAAGGACTGTCACGAGGCCTTCAAGATGATATGCGCCCTCGTCGAGAGGAAGATTGTGGTCAGGGACCTGAACAGGTTCCACCATTTTAGCGAGGGATCCTGCTCCTGCGGAGATTACTGGTGAAGAAAGTTATCGGCAGAAAGATTCAAACAAGAAATAGTCTCCGGCTTTTATGAACGATTACTTCTGTACAGAAATTCATGATTAAAGAATCCCCAGCACAGAGTTGTTGACCCACTTGGGACCATCTTCTTCTCACTTATAAGCAACTGAGAAAACTGCCGCTCTTATCCATCAGAGATCAGCCAACCATGGATGGGTTACAGAAAACTGTACCTTTCCTCCTTGGGCAGCAAGGAAGACACCTTTACCCACCGCGTAAGGAAAGAAGGCAAGGAAGGAGCCACCAAATAGAAGGTGGAAGCTGGGACACTTCTAACTTTCTTGCCTTCTTTCATCAAGATTCGGCTTTTCCTGACCAAATTGAGGGATCTGTTGACCCAATCTCAGCTGAACGCTGACTTGGTTCAGGCTGCAATCACCCGTCAGTACTTCCTTCTCCGCCTTCTTTGCCATCTCCATGGCTTCCCTGTGGGAATCCACCGGAAAAGAAGAAATCACGGAGTCAGGCACATGATCTCCAATGACATGGGGGGATCAGAGGGGCGGGGCTTCACCTTATCAGTGTGTCTGGTGCCATTGAGACCAGAATCTGGAGGAAGATCTTCCCTTGCAACGAATGCCATGTTATGTGCTCAAGAGACATCTTCCAATAACCAAAGGTTTAGTAAACATAATGAGAAAAAAGGGTTCTTTGAAAAGGAAGTGGAAAAAAGATTCATACTAAAAATATGAGAAAATGGATATTCGATATAAAAAAATGCAAAAATGCATCTGCTTGAGCAGAGTTTCTTTCAATTAGCTGTGAGTATAATAAAAAATAATGATCCTTTGAGACTAAATGGGAAGAAGTAATGCAGTGCAGAATAGCAAAATCAAGTAATGATGTGTGATAAAAGATTCGACGCCGTGACTAAGAAACCCCAGTTTAATCCGTGTTGGAATCATGCGCAGATCTGATTTAGGATGTTTATCCAAATCAATAAGTTTCAGAAAAAAATTAAAAAATTGGAACATCCAAAGCTCCATTTAATAAACATGCGTATGAGCCAGAGCATACCTTGGGAAACTGTGATGAAAAAATACTATGAACAAGTGCTACAACATCTCTCTCGTGGAAGCCATTTGAATTATTCTGCTGGCCTGACTTAATATTGGATAAGTCAGAAACTGAGGGATCTGCAGCAGGTTTCACAGGAAAATTTAGAGTCAGCTGTCAGATATGAGCTGCTACTCCGTTGGATAAACCCCAAGATAAAATAAAATGATAAAAAAAATTAAAAAACTAGTTTTCCACATTATGGAACATGCAGGAACACAAAAGCACATTCAAACATTGATACAAGTGGATTGCAAGTCATAAAATTAATGTGCTACGTTGTTTCTTTATAATGATGCATCCTCGAAGAGCTTGCTCCTTTCACTGGAAAAAAGAGGAAACAAAAGGTGAAAAAAATAAAAATATCTCCAGGTCGCCCAAAGCTTCTCTCCCCAGTGCAGTTTAGAAGAGTGCTGCGAGCCATCACAAAGCTAATTGAGCAATGACCCATAGCAGCAAAGCGAAGGATATTTTTATAATGAAAACCATCGGTCTACATATATATGGATTATATATACAATATACCCTAACCTTCATCTCCACTACCAATTGGTGTACCTTTTGTAAATGAGAGAAAGAAGTTATCTCGGCAACATCAGCTCTTCGTCACTAGATTTAGCTATTCGTTAGTAATAAGGGCGAAGAGCACATTCTTAACTGTCTGTATCAAAATAAATCAGAGTTTATAAGATTTAAACGAATGCCCTTACATTTTAAATGTCAATTACTGAACAGTACATAGTTTCAACGAAATCATGTAAGAGTACCAATGTGTATGAATACTTCTGCAACTTCCTCGTGAAATTCCTGGATTTCATGCCGAACATTTTCACCAATGTCATGAGCAGCACTAACGCTTAGGAATGGATCTACCTGCAGTGTTTATGCTGCCAGCTGTAAGAATTCTTCATCAAAATTATAAAAATAAAAGTAAAATTTAACAAAGAGCATACAGGAACTGATGCATGCAGGAAGGTCTGATATTCTCTCAGAATGTCTATTAAATCAAAACATTATCTGAAAAGAAGCTGAACAAATGCATGCAGGGGAATTGGTTAATCCATGAACTGAGGCCTCTCTCAAAAGTTCGGTTAGCCCTCACTATTGAACATGACTCTCGACTGTTGTCCTCCCTACGATCGCCTGCATCCCCCAGCTCTTAAACTAACCAAAACGAAGCTCCTCAACAACCACAAAGAAGGAGAATCTATGCTTAGTATAAAAGGACTATTGCACTGTTACATACAACAAAATCATACAGCAAAGAATTACTCAATGCCCTATTCATGAAAGAGGGTACTACAGAAAAAACAGTAAATTGTCCACTAGCTAAACGGAGAAACATAAGATGACACACCTCAATGTGTACATCAAGATATAAAGATGAACCAGCTTTCCTTCCTCTCAACTGATGGCATCCCTGTGACAGTAGCATAAGGTCTGGTATGAAAAAAGAATTCAATAGATCCCAATTGCAGTATATTTCAATGAAAAATGGGATTTTTGACGATGATGAATATGCAAATGCGCGACTGCGATAGCAAGTAGCCATTGAAATATGCCATGGCCACAAATTACCATATCTCCAATGCAACGAACATGTACTCATAAGCAGCTTTTTCATGCTTATCTGATCCGTGGTACAGGAACATATCGGTCAGCGACATAGAGAAAGAAGATATCAACTCAAGGATGGTGCTGGATAATGGCAGAAGATTCCTCAAATTTCAAAGAAGAAACAGAAAAGTATCACTTGATAAGTTCTCTCCCAAAAAAAATCCTTAAGAATATCATCCAATCACGATAACATTAAGAAGACTAGGTCAACTAGGAGGACAAAACTACATAATTCCAGTGGTAAACATTTGTACTTCGTTGCATAGAAATAAAAAAAGAAATGCAGTTTAGTAAGCAAGGCATCAATGGACTCGAAGAAGAAGAAAAAGAACTGGGTAACTAGATTCCAAATTCAAAGGATCATAATCAGCACCAGCTAAGAGGCAACTCAGACTGTTCTGAGTGACTAATAGTTTATGATCAACCCAGGCCCGACACAAAGCTGATGCAGAGTGCGAATCAATGCATCATGTGACAACTACCCCAATCAAATAACCTCAAGATAATTAAAAATAATGTTGGAGATAAGTCGCCAGAATGGGAGCCAGATCCAGAGTTATGGCAAATATCAACTAAAAGGTCTTAAAACAGCACCTGCAATCTGGAAACTTTGAATTGAGATGAAGGTGTCCAACAAGACATTTGCGATGATTCTAGGTTTGTTGCATGCACTGGTGACTAGTAGTTTTTAAAGTTGAGGATGATAACGTGACACCTACACCGTTGGGACAAGGGACAGACCTGTATAAAGACATTGAGGAGACATGATCAAGTCTCTGCCGATCAACCTTCTTTGAAATGACAGAGAAAATAGTGAGTAAGATCAACCAACCTTCCTGATACAGCATACTGGATCTAGATTTTAATCTGCCATCCTAGAAACCGTGCATGTTTCTTTGATTCATTTTTTTGATTTGCGAAATATATTTTGGGTATAGAAAACTATGCTAATAGGATTTTACTTGCATATACCGTAATAATAAATTATTTCCGCCCAAGTATACGATTAAAGCATACTAAATTGTCCCGAACATTGAGGCTTACCTTCACACCTTCAACGCGAAGTATTGTCTGTTTAATGGGTAATAGAATGGGGAGAGGGACTCCAGCATCAAGAAGCTCCATGAGACTACAAACATATCAAATTGATGGAAAACAATAGATCATTGAGAGGTATAAAAAAGTTTACATCATTGTATCATTAAGAATTTTACACCCACTAATCCTCCCCCACAGATCATTCAAATAATTGGAACTCATTAACGAAGAGCTCTTTAAGTAAATAAAGTTTCTCTTGTCTGATACTCATAAGTGAAACTATTTCAATGGCACCATTCTTTTCAATAAAGTACCTTATGTCATAAGGTCACTGGACTAAACTAGCCAAAAAAAACGTGGGAGATTGAATCACCTATGGTAACCACATCCCATCCCTGCTTTAAGGATCATCCCTGATACAACAACCCCAGCGAGCGGATCCAGAAATGGCACTCCAAGAATAGCACTTCCTGCAGTGAAAAACACAAATCCAAGGTGAACCTCAACAAACGACTCAGAAGACAGTAAAATATAAAATTTCAAATTCTTTAAAGATGTGAACCGCGCTATGATTTTATCCAAAATAGCATAACGCAGGTGAAAGCAAAAAGGAAAAAAGACCATCATCCTATTGGAAAACAAAGTTATTTTTTTCAAGGTCCGTGCTTTTGGAGTAAAAGTGTTGAAGGAGAATAAACTCTTCAACAAAAGAATATACTGGACCATTTTTTGCTGATCAATAGAAAAAAAAACGGAGTGGATATATAAGCTCTACACAATTTATTTTCGAGAATCAATTCAACGAAAAAATCTCATCAACAGTGGAGATTTCTATAAAAATGCCTCTAAAATGACTGGTGAAAAGTATCTAGGTTTAGTTAAAACACACGAGTAACGAGTATCAAACTTTTATAATGCTAGCTCAACTGACTCACATCAGTCACATTGACATAGTCCAGGACAAATCAGTTGCGAAGATTCTAAGTGAAATCTAATGATAAAATAAGCCAATCATTAGTTCGTCTGTTTAAGATTTTTTCTAGCATTTTCCAGTCCACCAAAGGCTCACAACTACACAAATGAAAGGCGATTCCAAATTTTCTTCTTAGCTCGCTTCCTGTAAGGTTTGCATCATAGATTTCTTCACACTTTCCACAATTTAATAGCAGCCTTACCCATACCCACTTGTGGCAATTTTAATAGCCCTTCAATCCTTACTCTTGTCAATTGCAGGGACCAACAAATGCATTAAACTTCTAATTAGTGTTATGGTCTTATCACATTACTGAACTTAGGCACACTATCAACGATTGAGTATAGTATTTTTAAATTAGCACATGAAACAAAGCTGATTATGGTCCCTAATACACCGGATTACTGCCTTACTTTATAAGAAACAAGGTGAGGCATTAGGTGATGCTTTTTATTATGTTGAAAGAATTTTCAATGACATCGTAAATGAACTTTCTAAAAAGTGCTACAATATATGTATAACATAGTTTCATAAATTTTCACAGATCATATGAATAATTAAGATGTTATTATTTATTAAATATATTATAAATACTATATTCCAGCTGAAGAGAATATGATGTTCAGGAATGGAGCTATGCATATACGAATCCCTGTTTGTGCCATTCGAGAAAGACAGTGGCCACTTATTCTCAAACAAGCATGTGCCATCAATCAATGACAATGGCCTTTGGTACTCACAAACAAGCAGTATAAGAATGGTCCCCTAGGAAATGCTTTGAAAAAAATTGATTAAAACTTTTTTTGTGATGATTACAACTCTTAATGATATAACTATACTGGTAATAAATTATTTTGTTTGTTGAATTATACATTATGCTTTGAAGCATTTACAGAGACAATGATCAATGATAACATTTATGATCAATCAATGACCCTCTAGTTTAAGAAGCATATCAGTAAAAGTACTACTACCTCTGATTCGTCTTCATCCGAAGTCAAAATGAAAGAAAACAGAATAATCCACACTTATCCACTAAACGGCAGAGCATATATTCTAGTAGGTAACTTAAAACGTGTATGATAATATGACGTAAAGGACAAGGTATCTCCAGTAAAGATGAAATAAAATCGAAGACTCGTCATAAATGTACGAATCTATCTTACTACAGAAGAAGTACCTACTTCGACAGAATAAACTCTATTGTTTCTCATTTAGCTATCAACGTTTTTATAGATTAATAGTTGGTGATTTTCTCAATATCCTCCATGGTTATAAATTTGAACAGCGAACACTTTCTTCTCATTAGTGTCATACATGACGTTGTCATATAGCTCAACTTCTCTGCTAAGAAATAAAGTCACACGAAATCTACTGTGTTAAAGCCCTTGCCTTCTGGTAGCAACATTCTTCTGTACCAATCCTTACCTGAATCACAAAGTCATCAATCTCAATTGATGATCTTCCAATCTAAGGTTCCCAAAAGGTAATTGTTTTTCTTCCATAACTACACTACTGAAATCTCAGATGGCACAATTGCATGGTTGAAAATTATTATTTGCTTTTATAAAGGTAGCATAGTCATCAATGTCATTATAAGCAGAGGTGTTAACAAATTTTTAATGCTCAAATTGCATTCTACAACAAAAGATACTTAAACATAGAGGTAAATATATTCTACATTTCTTTTTAACAGAGAAATGAAGTGAATAGTCCAACCCGTAAAACTCAAGGCAAAGAAAGATTTAAGTCAAAAGAATATGTTCAGGAAATGAAATCATAATCCAAGATTAGGCTCGTTACCTATGCCAATTAGAGCAACTACTGATGACACAGCATCTGCACGATGGTGCCATGCATTTGCTTTCATTAGCTCACTTCCTTCCCTATCTCCAGCACGTTTTGTAATCCAATAAAGCCTTGCATTCAACAAATGACCAATTAGATTTCTACATATTCATAGTATAAAAGTAAAGTTTTTTCGAACAATAATGAACTTTGTAGCATTTAAAGTTGCACATGTATCTTCGGAAGATACTTCGTACTATTGAAGCTTCTTTCACAGAACAAGTTCATCATCTAAAATAACCCTGTTGTTTTATGCTGAGGAACTATCTGTATAATTATGCAATTTGACATCACAACACCACCTGATAGTACAAGCACTGTGAGGTTAAACATGGAATCAACCCTTCTATAAGTGGATAGTAATGCACGATTATTAACCGATAAAAAAGTTGTCTCATTAAATACCAAAGCATTTATAAATAATTCGCAGAACAAAGCGACAAGAAAAATATTTTTATCAAGGAAAACTGAATTCCACTCCTGCTGGGTAACATAGTATAGTTTTATTCAGGGTAAAGCAAGTCTAATCTAGTGAATTACTCTGTTAAGATGAAGTTAGAGAAAGTAAGGACCGCACAATTTTTCGCATAGAAATTTAAGAAAGCTAGGACCATCTCATAGGATGATACTAAGGCAACACCAAATAAGATTTCTTGGCTATTTAAACTTTCATCATTCAATTGTCGAACAAATTTAATCACCTCCAGAATGAAAGATAAATTCCTTTAACACCAAACAACCTAAGGGCGGGCAAGAGATGAACGTAGAGACACAGACCATCAGGCCTCTGGCATATCCTACTATTGACATACACTGACATATTAGTCAGCACTGAAAATAATTTTCAGAAACAAAGTAGACAAAAATATAATAGTTTCTGCCAAAAAGATTACATCATACTAAGGCCTACTCATTACTCCCACTTGTTAATGTAGATGCAGTAAAATACACACAGTGGTTCCATGAAATGATTCAATCATAATAATATGAAGCTTTTAACCCACTTCTTGAAGTAATTTCTTATTTACCAACAAATCAGCAAATAAGTTACAGGAGAGGTATCAAGAATATCTAGGTATCATAATGTACCCTTCTTTGACAAGGATTGACATAATGGTCACGCTCAAAGCCAGGACAGGGTGATCCAAGTCAATCCCATGATGTTGGCCATTGTGAACGTGACTATGATGCTGATGTACAAGAGAATGATTAATAACATCAGTTGTTGATACGTATAGGTCCTGATCAGGAAAGAGAAACAGGTAAGGAATCATTTCACTTCATATAATAGTAACTTCACCATTAATTCCTAAGCATAAATTTTAATTTTTCTTTCAAATAAATATTAGTATAACCAATGAAATAAGACAGTAAGAATTAGGAAAAATGTCATATCATGCGAATGTTTAATGTTACTGTGGAAAAACCGCACCAAAGGGAGCTACCATAAGTTACGAGAAAATGAAAGATTTCGTACCTGCAAAACATGTACTGCATGCCAGGCAATACCCCCTGCGGTTGCTAAAAGCATACAGGAAATCCCAAGAGATCCCAGGCTCTCAAACTTACCATGTCCTGAGGGAAACAAACGAAAGTGATACCATATCAATTATTCAGTCACACCTCCTAATCTATACAAATGGTCAAACACAAAATGTCAAAAAGAAATTGCACGTATAGGAGAACCTATAAGAATAATTAAAGAATCATGCAGAACAAATTTTAAAAATTCTTATGCACGTGAGAAGGGTTTCAAAAAAGTTGAAAATCGGAGGAAAAATATTCTCTTCAATGAATCAGAAATTGGCCTACGGGTTTCCTTTCTCTCAAAGAGGCAGCAAAAAGGGAGCCAGAGAGGCCGACCATATGGAGTAGGTACCTGCCAGGAGAGTAGTAATACCATGCCCTGAGAAAGGGACCCCCCTTTGCATGAATAAATTGATTCTTTGGCAGCCCTCGGGCTCTACTACAAATGTACTGTGACTATTGCTTCAATGTTGAGGGAACCTCGACCAAAAAGGCCTTTTAAGATTCAATGATTACACAGCACAGACCACTTTCAATGAAATACAAGAAGAACAACGAAAACAAAATATCAAGGGTAAGCGGTAACATTGAATAGGATGTCAGTCGCTACAATCTATGGTTGCAAATGACCCACTTTACTGTTTAGGTGCATCACATGTTTGGAGAACTCATTAGTACATCCACCATCCACTATTTGAAATCAATATGAAGCGTGGAGAATCATTCAATTCCCACACTAATTGAGGAAATCCTGAACATCTTCGGACCATTTTATGTGAGGTCTCTTCGGCAGTAGTTTGTCTGTTTATCTTCCAAGCTGAAGAGCAAAAGCAGCAATAACAATAACAACAAGAGAGCTATAATAAAGTGAGGAGAGGGGAGGTAAAAATGAAAGTTCCTACTATCCTATCCTTTATCACAGAACCAGTGCATACTGACCTATTAAAACCATTCTCTGTGCCACGCAATGACTACTAACATTTCCTACAACAAGTCACCACCCATTCCCAAATATTTCATTATCTCAACAGAAAGACCCTGAAGAATTGAGCAGATACTTCATCTCAGTAAAGAAAATATTCGTCAATCATATCCTAAGCACTAAAAAATATGGAAATTTTACCAATCAATAGAGAAAGAAATGCTACTCGCTATCGTAAACTTCAGAGCACTTCTTTCTACAATATTTCATGGGATACCAATTACTGAATGTTTTGATAACAATGCCAAATATCGTGTACCTCTGGCAACTATAATAGAAAAGCTGACATCCATACTTCAATTATACCTTACAACCGGCCAAACTAACCTTTTTCCCCCAAAAGGAAAATGGAATTTTCTGTGGATACCAAATGACACTCTTGTTAAAATGAGTTCTTTCCAGGACGCCATATAGGTCAGCGGAAAAACGGGCTCTGGACATGCAAAATACCAGAAAAACTATAAATGACTGTAGAACTGGAGAACAGCCACAACATTTAATATAGCCTAAAAGATTAACAAGACCCCTTCAAGAAGATTCATGAGACTGAAGTATAGGAATCTGTCGTAAGGAAGGTAAAATTAGAGAACAGTAAGGACCACTTGCGATGAAATCCTAATGTCACTGCAAAGTGTACTGGTGAAAAAACACACTAAATGACACCTGGATATTGAGAAAGAAAGAAACCAAATTGCCATTTTGGGAAGCCAGCTTTATTCAAAAAAATTGTCATCGAATCATTAACAATCAAAGTTCCAAAGGACAATACTCTATGCAAGGAATGATGCATTTCAATATTGTTTAGAAGTAAGGTTTTACTGGAGGTTTGGGGAGAGAGATGGAAAAATTAAGGCAGAAGAATGTCATATTTCATCAATAATAGCATAATAGATCTTCACGATATCACTGAAGCAGATTTAGGTATCCATCGAAAATGTAGATCCAAACCATATGGGTGTTCTTTGTCTTTAGGAACTCTGGCAGCTCTAAATGACCATAAAGCAACACCACTCAGAACCTGTCAAAATGAAACCATGAATGAAAAACGTAATTAGTTCATCAATTTTCAATACTAAAAAACAAACACAATCAGATACATGCAAATCCAAAATGATGAAATATATTGACGAAAACAGCATGAGAAAATAAATCACTAAAGAATACCATAGAAATTTGTAAAGAATTGAGGCCATTGTATAGCCCAGATTCTGTTTGGTGATCAAACTTCACAGTGAATTTTAGAATTGTAAAGCAGCACTCGAGATTTATCTGACAGAAAGTGTCTACAAAGATTCATAAGATTTGGCATCACACTCAACAACTTTTACTGATGAAAAAAAATAGAGGATTATTTTCCATTTTTATAATTTATTTTTTTTGGCATTTACTCTCTGAACAAAGATAAGCCTAACAAATCTTAAATATAGAAGTCAGGTCTTCCACAGTCCTTTAAATATTGAAAGGCCATTAAAAAATTTGTTACATGCTCAATAATGAAAAGGGCTTGATCACAATCCTCGATGAAAGACATCTCAGCCTTTCACGCATTACCTGATCTTACCCATCCCCCACTCTGAATGTCAAAGTCGCATGCCTTTCTGATAATGGCAAGTGCAGGCCACCTTGTAGGTATGGTTACAGGTTTGCTTCGAAAATGGTTTCTAGACGCCAATATTTATCCTCCTCAACTTGCCTTTGATGGAAGGTTAAGTAACATGGTGGCAGATTTCTTTCTGGAGCCATGGGCAACTCTGACGTCATACACTTAGTACATTAGCAATCACAGGCGAACATAAGTTGAACAATGGAGTCTCATACAACATGATAATGCTTTACATATCGTTTTGACAATGACACCACTGTGTTATCCTTGAAGATGAAGAAAGAGAACATCTGAAACTGGATTGTAGCTGATGAAGATCTACTGGATGGAAACTCTCAACGACTCTTCTGTTAAAGAACTGACAGCGTTTATAACAATGCTCCTTGGTTTCATCACCAAAAACAACTGTCACTGTTCCAATTCTTTTATCCTCTATAGTGGGCAGTAACTCTTGACAGAATTCTCTAATGGGAAAAGGTATTTGGAGAAGCTACCAAAGTAGTGCGTTATGTGAGAACGATAAAGACTGTGAGTAAACTATATATTAAACTTATTCTAAAATGCCCACCTGGTAGACGTCCAAAGTGCAAAAGACGGACCTTGAGAAAATGAAATGCTCAATAGCAAACTTGGTGTTTTCATAAGTACTATGTTAGGGCTCTATGAACAGAAGGAAATGATCCACTTTCAGTAAAAAAGAATGCCAACGTGTCCTGACACATGAAAACGTAATTCCTAGATGAAACCTAAGACCTAGTCCAACCCTGACAAAATTTTAGGTGCTTTTCAGTAGCTAATATTAGAGGGACATAGGGATTTTATCATTGTCTTCGCTTTGAGGACCTTTCTAATCCTCAATTATGAAAAAAATAAAAGCCTGAAGTAATCATTTCCTCACAGTAATGAACACAGGCTTCTCCAGATCATTTCCATTTTTTGAACCATTCCTTCTTTTTAGAGGATGATAATGGACATCAAACCTCAAAACACAGATTGCTTATTTATTATGCATTACTCACTCAATCATTTCATTTCATTTTTATTTTTTAGTAGGAAAAGCATCACCATTATCCAATTCCCGACTATTTGAAGATGGAGACGTGGATTATTGTCAATCATTCTAACTTTACCATGTATCATACTAATATCCGACATGCTCAATTTCGGATAGTATCTCTCTATTAGAGTGATCTGATACACAATCTCCGCTTGGATCCCTGCATCTCCACAGAAGCATTATTTTGCCACGGCATACGACTGCTAGGAGGTCCAAAGAAACCAGCGCCAGTAGCGCAGAAATCCACCGAAGACTTGATGGAGGATACAATGGAAAAAACAAGAAGAACAATAGAAAACCCTTGGGGTATTAGAACGGAACTCACGATGTCGGAGACGGAATGTGCAGCATCGGCGATGACAGCCGTGCTGCCGGAGAGGTACCCTGCCAGACCCTTGCCCACGGCGAGGGCTACGTCAGCAGCAAGGCCCAGCTTGAACACCCCATCGGCCTCCTTACCTCCCAGGTGATGATGATGGTGGGAGTGGGAATGAGAATGATCTCCTATGTGCCATCTCCTACTGATCCGGGAGTGGTTCGTGTGGTCCGCTGCCGACAGGAAGAGACACCCTTCCGACACACCGCCACCTCGGGTCACTCTTCGGGAGATCCTGTAGGCACCGACTGCAACTCGAAATCGGAAACCCATTCCAGGGCTACAACGTCGCGCGAAGGTGGAAACCAAAGGTAGCAACAGCAGGCAAAGAGGAGCACGGGAAAGAAGGTTCGCAAATACTTGTCCCAACCATCTAACAGAACAAATAGAAAGACCGTTGCAACTTTTCAGTGAAACATTAAAATAAATCTCAAAAAATATTTTATTGCGGAAATATCCCCCGGTTTTCGCCCACAATTTTAATTCCTAACTATTTTATTATCAGCTAGATAGCCATCCGAAACGTAGAATTTAATATAATAATTTAAATTAATCCCATAACGTGTCTCCGTATGCCAACTAATTTGTTAAAATTGCTTTACACATAAATATTATGTATAAGCATTTTTTATTTTTTAGTTTGCTATCATTTCGCCAAAATCGTTGTGGAAATGCCCTAAAGCGCCAGATTCATGAACTTTGGTCTATTTCGTTTTCTGTGCTTCTAAAAATATTATTAAAAATTGGGGGGCGGGGGGGGGGGAGCGAGTGGGGAAAGTCGTCGCAGAGAGAAGGTCGGTCGCCGGCTTGCGTAAGAGAGCCAAGGGAGAAGAGTCCTTGCGTACTCAGCTCGACTGGCGCTTCATACATAAACGCCCCCCACTGACCCGCCCTCGCCCTCGCCCTCTCGTCGTTCAACTGCATTTGACATCACTTCTCTCTCTCTCTCTCTCTCTCTCTCTCCCTGCCCCCTGTATCTGTGATGGCTATGGCGAGGGGGAGCTCCGGACTGGCTTACCCCGACAGATTCTTCGCGGCTGCGGCCTACGTTGGATTCGGCGGATCTCCGGACTCGGCATCCACAGGTGTGATCTCCAAATTTCCCAACGACGTTGCTCTCCTGCTCTACGGCCTCTACCAGCAGGTAAGCTGGCATTGATCCTGTGCATTTTCCCGAGGATCTGAAGGTCGATTCCTGAATTCAACGCATTATCGATTTGTTACTTTCGCATAATCGGGATCTGAGCGTTGGGAGTTTCTGGAATGAGCGTGGTTTGCCTTTTAGTTTCGTTCTTGAATATACGGTTTTCCAGGTGTCAGAGCGGATCCGTTTGCCACTTTTCGCTTCTTGATATTCACCTGAGGAAATGTAATCCAGATCCTAGTGTTTCTAGCTCATTATTCGGGTTAACTTTCACTAATATTATAAAATCGTTTTTTATGCTCTTTGAAGAACGTTGAAAAGTAGCGGACAATGATATCGACATCAATTGTAATGATTTAAAGTTTGTTTCTTACCACAGGCAACTATCGGCCCTTGCAAGGTTCCCAAACCCAGCGCCTGGAATCCTGTGGAGAATGGGAAATGGACCAGGTTTGATTTTTTCCTTCACTTATTGCAGATGACAGATTCCTGCTTTACTTACACTAGGACCGTGAGTTCTACCATAAAATTTGTGAATATGAACTATCCTGTGCGTAATGAAATATGTTGCTCGACCAGGGGAACTTGGAGGTTTTGCTTAAAATTCATGTTTGAAATATGGTGACATGCGCTTAAAATTCATCACTCTCTTTGAGGTCACCTTCCCTTTTTTGTCGCAAACTTTTTGGCTATTTTCCATCTCAAGTAGGCTAACCGGTTCCTGATACCCTATGTTGTACGGAGAAAGGAGAGACCAGAAGAACTGATTTTTAGGAACAAGGCATTGCCTATGGGGTCTGGTTGGCTACTGAAAACTATGTTTTCTCCATTATGCTTCTGGATATTTATTTGTCATCTGACTGTATTTCATTAACCAGGGGAGCTTGGATGCAAGGAAAAATGGGTTTTCTAGAATCTGTTTCTAGAAACGGCATGCTTCGTGAATAATTTATTCACTACACCGTCTGTAACTATAAACAGTTCTAAATATAGAATGAAGTCGGCCCTTGCCGTCACATGTTCAAAGATTGAAAATTATAATTAGTAGGTCTTCGTATTTAACCTTTGTGCTCTTATTCTATCTCATGAATCATTACAAAGGCAGTTGAGGCAACCGGACCTGCTGCTGAGTCTTTGTCCAGAGCCATATGTTTTTTGAAACTGAGAAGTCTAGTCCCCTTTTTCAAGTCCCCTTTTTCAAGTGCCTTTTTTTTTCTTCTTGAACATTCTCGTTCAGGACTCATATGAGGCTATCCTAATGAATTCACCTTAAAACATCTCTGTCATTCATGCATAGAGATTATCTATGGATGATGAATACAAATGTTTACATGTTTGAATTTAAATGAAGAAGCTATGGACGAAGACATCTTCCTTCATACTGAATAATTACTTTCTATCTGCCAGCACGGAATGAAGGTCTATCATGGATGTATATTTGGTGTGATGTGATTGTATTTCGAAAACTATGGTAATTTTATTTCTTTTTTTATCTAAATAATTTTGTATAGAAATCTTGTTCAGGTATCGCTTTTTTTTGTTGATTTGGGTCTTATTTCTTCACTATGATCGTAATCATATTTTTACAGCCAATTAGTATCCAGCCGTTATAAAAAAGACACTGGATAGAAAATATGTCAGTTTTAGAGACGGATATATTTTATCGAATTGTTATCATCTGTATAAATATGTAGGTGAATTCTCCACCTTTTTTATCTTCTTCGTGGGCTGCACCTGAAGATATATGGTACTTCGCATTTATGCCACAATATTTTACCTATCTAACTGGACCTAAAATAATTGCAAATGGATTATATCATGTGATCTTACATAACTAAACTGTTTAGATCAACAATGCATATTATTGCATCTTCTCATTGATTGATGACTAAATACCTGTTGTTATTTATGTGAGTATGGTCATTTATGAGAAAATATTTCCAACTAGTTTATTGACAATGGTCATTCCTTACAGTTGGAATGGACTTGGAAACATGGCTTCAACTGAGGCAATGCGCCTTTTTGTTAAACTTTTAGAAGTGAGTACACTTGAAATTTATTGATCTTGCTGAGTTCTGGGTGTTCGTTTGCTGAGTTATTGAAATCATGTTGATGATTTAAATAGGAAGAAGATCCTGCTTGGTATTCAAGAATACCAGAAACTGTTGTGGAACCTGTTGTGGAACCTGTTGTGGACAAGGAAGTGAAAGTGGAACTGGAAGTGGAAGTGGAAGTGAAAGTGAGTTCGTGACTTTTTTGTGGATTTTTTTTTGTTTTACTGAATTACATTTGCACAGTTATCATAATGCCTTTTACATGTTTGTTTGACGGCAGTAATTATGGCACAGTTAATGTGCCTTGCAAATTTCGTTCAATGTTTTTCAGACTGTGTTCTTAAAGCATTGTTAGTGTTCAACCCTCGCCAATAGTTTGCATTTGACGCCTGTTACTTTTTTCTTCTTTGCCTCAATATGCTTGATGTTGTAATGACCCTTCTGCCTTTGGAGATGAACAAGCATCTACTTGAAAAGCATTTAAAATGTCAAAAAAATAACAACAAATGTTACTGAAAGAATGTAAGGCACTTGCGATCTGTCAGTCTTAGTAGCCAAAAACTTCTCATTTATAATTCACAATCTCTCATGTATCCAATTTGTTCATAAGTACATTATAAAGTATAAGAATGAAGAGGGTAATGGAAAACTAGCGCTAATATCTATCAACATCAATACAATATGGAGAGAAGGATGAAGAATGCAAGGTTTATACACTTTATATTTTGCCCAATTGATGTTTTCATCAATCAAACATTTTTTTCTTGTTGAAAGTATTGGTTTCTGCCAATCCAACCTATTCTGTAGTTCTATGAAGGTTAAGGTATCGTTTTTGCTCTGCTTGATTGTAAATATTTCTGTATTTTTATGCACAGAACATGTGTAGAAGGGTTGTGATCTCTATTCTTTATAAATTAGATGCATCAGTCATCCTCAGTTGAGCCATTGGTTTGAGGGCTTTGTATTCTCCTCCAGGAAAAAAATGGTGCTTTCCTGAAGATTTACATATTATCATTGTTTGAAGTTAAATTCTTCTAACAAAGCAGATTATTGTTCGTTGGTTTATATCCCTTTCTCTGATTTTATCCTTGTTTTTTTCCTTTGAATAAGCCAAAGGTAGACTTAGGAAGAGCAGATGGAGACTTCCATCCAGAGCCGGACATCATACCCACAGAAAATGGGAATACACTGGAAACTCCGGGCGTAGATGTCCCATCAGGTGGCCTGGGTGGTATTAACATTTATGATCAGTGGATTGCACCTGAGGTCTCTGGACAACCCCCGAAGTCCAGATATGAGGTATAGTGAGCACTGTCATATACTTCTTAACTGTTTTGCTTAATTCTATTTTTATGCAAAAGTGTTGGACCTGAACTTAATTTTGGCAGCATGGAGCAGCTGTGGTGCAAGAAAAAATGTACATTTTTGGAGGAAACCATAATGGTCGTTACCTCTCTGATCTTCAGGTACATCATGCATACATTTCGTTAAAGGAATGAACTGTATCGAAAAATTCGGTTCTAAATAACTATGAACTTGCTTATTGAAGTGTTTAAGTTGAATGATTTCATTTAAATCGTGTAAATTTTTCACTTTGGAGCATTCAAGTTTCTGGATTTGAAGAGTTTGACATGGTCAAAGATAGAAGCTAAGGTGCAAACTCCTGATTCATCTAACACAGCACTTCCAGTTCCATGTGCTGGCCATTCCTTGGTAAGCATTAATTACAGAAATTTCTGGAAGTGAAGATTGCCAAACTATTTCTAATATTTTTTAAATTGTGTAATGATACCTATCTATGGAAATTAACATTTTTTTTTCTTAAGGTACCCTGGGGTAGTAAGATTCTCTCAATTGCGGGCCATGCAAAAGACCCTTCAGAAACTGTGACAGGTTTGATTCATTGGATCATATTATATCCTTTTATTGTTCATTTATTTATATTCATGAGTTTGATTTTTTTTTCATTTTTTGCGCTTTTTCCTGATAATAGTGAAGGAATTTGATCCTCAGACCTGCACATGGTCAGACTTAAAGGCCTATGGGAAGGCTCCGGTACGTTTTTTTCATTTTTCTTCGCCCTGGTTATAAACTTATAGTTCCATTTGTATTCTTAGTGGAGCTTATTTAGTGTGCATTTTTTTTCTTTAATACTGGTTTTATGTATTTGAAATTGATGCCTTTAAATTTCCCATGTTATTTAATTGGCGTGGGGAGTATAATTTCAACGTACCTGGAACTGTAGAATGCAGGTTTATGTATTAGGCCATCTAACATCAGAAAGAATGCTGATGTAGATCATGTGGATTCTATCAAAATATGTTGCCTTAGCTGTGTTTTTTGCTTATAAGATGTTCTATATCTTTATTAAATAAATATAATGGATGTCTAATGCAACATTATCGTCATTCAAACGAATATAATGGATGTTTTGTCGTCCTTATGTATTGATATTAACCATAAGATGATCTCCACATCTAATGAGCTCAGGGAGTTTCGTGCTGACTGAGCGTTGCTTCCATTTTGTTTGAATGCTTCTGAGTTTTGGGGGTACCATTTAGAGAATCGAAGCTAAGTAATGACCTTAATTTACATGTATGATTTAAATGGCCTATAAACATTATTCTGCATACTATGAATGTGAACTTTTTTTCGTGACCCTTACACGTTTGATTCCCGAAACTTGTGTCTTTGATCATCATTAAGAGAAGCAACTTGGTTTTCTTGTGTGATTTATTACACCTCAGATATCAGAAAGTATCTTGCTATAAATAGCTTGCACTCAAATTGCAGGTTGCACGAGGAGGCCAGTCTGTTACCCTTGTTGGTATGAATTTAGTCATGTTCGGGGGACAGGATGCAAAAAGAGCTCTTCTCAATGACTTGCACATTCTTGATCTCGAAACCATGACATGGGACGACATTGATGCTGTGTAAGAAGATATTGAGTTCCTTCCCTTAATGTTTATATTGTCCATGTGAATAAATAGCATGTTCTTTTATACTAGCTTAACATTTTTAGCTCACGTTAAAAGAATAATAGCTTATGATTGTTCCTTTCTTATTAATGATATAATAATTTCTCTTTCATTTTACCATTGGGCTGCTGATTATTATCGCAATATTGCAGATCTTCAAGCTGTCAGTGCATTCTGCACAAGAAAAACTTTTCCAGAGAAAACTGAAACCACATTGGTATCTTTCGAAGGATCAGCCTGGTTTTATCAACATTAGGAATAAGCCATAGGAACATGCATCGTATCGTAATAAAGTATTTTCCTAAGATGAAGTACAGGCACCGGAGAAAACAATGAAATTACGAGGTGCCTAATTTATAGAGATAAACATTTTTCCCTACTCAATTCTGACCCTTCGAATTCCACCAAAGAATTATTGATTTCATCTTGAAGACCGTTAGTCTAAGGATGGGGATATAGCATTTGAGAATGCCTTTTGTAATTGCCACAAATTGTTTCAGTATGACGGTCTGTTATGTCATGTATGACAGAACTCTTGGTCATCCAGTTATATTCCTAAAGTAGGTTTATGACTCTACTCCAAGATTTTGGATATTTAAAGTTGAAAATTTCGAAGCATGCTTGGCATTTCGGAGACTGTTTACGAAATCCCTTTGTTCTGAAGGATTTTATGCCCACTTGCTTCCTGAGGCATCATCACATGTGATGATATCATGCTATTATTATGCTTCTTAATAGCTTGTGTCTTCGTGGTTTTCATTCTCTCACCGTATATTTAAGAATGCCGTGACAACCATTCCTTTCCTATCGAGCATTACTAGAAGCTTGTGCTTTCCCTGAATTGTAGGGGGGTGCCGCCATCTCCAAGGTCAGACCATGCTGCAGCCGTACATGCAGACAGATACGTGTTAATTTTTGGAGGTGGATCACATGCAACATGCTTCAATGATCTGCATGTCCTTGACCTACAGAACGTAAGAGTTTCTTCATCTATGCGCATTCAGACAGTATTGAGTTGTTTTTTCGATTCCATTCATTGATAGACATAATATCTAAGCGAACTGAGAAATTTTATTGTAGATGGAATGGTCGAAACCTAAACAGCAAGGCATCGTACCATCTCCACGAGCTGGCCATGCAGGTGTCACAGTTGGGGAAAACTGGTACATTGTTGGCGGTGGTGATAATATAAATGGTACGTTCCACTGACATTGCTCGCATTTTTCCATCCCCACAAATTCTTTGCTTGGCATTGTTGGAAGAAGAACTGTTTTATTTACATATAAGGTGTTCCATTCATTGAACATAACCATATTTTGCACATGGCTCCGATATTTTGTATCAAAATGACATCCTCAGTAAAAAAATTAGATGTGCACAAGACCATTCAAGTGCGCATTTAATATAAAAATTGTGATAAGAGCTGTTTTTAATAGTTCTTATGAAGCAAGAACCAATCTTTCTTGGGCGAATATTACCTCTGCAGTAAGACTCCGAAGGTCGTACCTTTCATGTGGAGCTTTCATAGTATTTCCTTGAATAGCAAGGACAGCATGCTTACTTTCTACAAACTTTATAGAAAGATAATGTGTGACATATAATTTGCTTTGCACATTTTTACGTAACTCGTGTAATACTCTGCAGGGGTGTCCGAAACACTGGTGTTGAATATGTCTACCTTGGTCTGGTCAGTTGTCACTACCGTTCAAGGGCGTGTACCTCTCGCCAGTGAGGTGTGAATCCTTTTAAGAATTGAATTTTTACAAAAAAAAAAATGAGTTGGATGAACCTATGGAGATGATTGCTATTCCGGGAGATACTGTGGGTGATATCAGTGAAATCATTTTGAGAAAAACTTGAAAGCTGGATAGTGATTCTCAATTGAAAGCTTCTTGTTGTTATACTTGTGGTTCTCTTAAAAGCATATTTTTCTTAAGAATCTAAAAGTAAGTGTTGATCAGACACATGCACAACAACGTGTTTCTCACATTTAGGGTATAATTCAAGTAGACATTGCAGTCAGAGAAGCAGCAGCCGGGAAAGGGCATGGTGAATATTATTTGAATTGTAGGATCTATCGAGATAATGGTAAAAAGTATGCAACATTAAGCCTTGTTCTCCATAAGTGTTTTCATTTTTTTCCCAAATCTGATTGATATCTTATAGCTGGAAACTGTGGGTGAATATAGCTGATGATGGGAGTCTTCAGGTAGCCGGAAAGTACAACCCTATGGATTGGACTTCTAACCTATTTTTGTATGATGTTTTGCCCGTGAATCGCGATTATCAATCAACAATCTGAGTGCCACACTCATGAAGGATCTTGTCTTAGGTACAGCAGTTAACATTCTGAAATATGCTAACGAAGCTTTCTTCTTAACCTCCATGTTGTCTAATAGTGTAGACAAGATGAACCTCGGAGTTTAAAAATTTTCATACACTCAATGTCTGGATCTGGTTGTCTAACAGTGGAATTAGAGAGAAACCTCGGAAACTGACTCTGGTGCCAGATTGAGGGGGGCAGAGGTTAGCCCCGTGGTGGGGGGGAGCAGGATCCTGGGCCCAGCCCCTCTTTATGCCTAAGCCCAGGAAAAATGGGCTGGTGGTCTCTGTGCTTTTTCATTTCTGATAGCTCTATTCCTTTGATGAGTCTTGAGAAACGGAAATCAAATGACTAGTTTTTGCAAAATTCTCTGGACACTTCGTTTCTTACAGTTCTCTGGTAGGATATGAATTTTCTTGCTATTCTGATCTTGTTCATCTTCAGGGCCTGAGTTTGGTTGTGAGCTCCCACATGGGAGAGGATATTCTGGTTTCCTTCGGCGGTTACAATGGACGGTACAGCAATGAGGTTTGTCGAACGTTATTTTCTTCTTTTCATCTGTGCAATTTTTTTTCGCGGGAACCTCTTCACGTCTAATCTCTCTCTCTCTCTCTCTCTCTCTCTCTCTTTCAATGGTAGGTTTATGCTCTTAAACCAAGTCACAAATCAGGGTTGCATCCCAAAATGTTGGAAAGGCCCGAGTCTGAGAGCGTTGGTGGCCAGCTTCCCATATCGAATGCACCCAGGGACGGTGAACCCGAGTTTGGAACCGATCAAGACCGGAAAATAAGTGAAGCCGTTGCGGACGATGTGAACTCTGAACACGCGGTAATTTCATCTCATCCGGTGCATATTCATGGCGACGGTTAAATTATTCATGGTTCGCTGGTAACTCTGCACACAGAATTAGTAGCCATAGTTGACAGGTCTTGGGAAAGATCCCCGGGTAGTGTACAATAATGACATCTGTTTGACAGAATGTCAGAAGCAAGGCAACGGACGAACAACTGCTAGCCACCCTTAAAGCAGATAAAGAAGAACTAGAAGCTGCGCTCGCCAAAGAGGAACTGCAGAGACATCAGCTTAAGCAAGAGTTGACCGAATCAGAGGCACGGAATGTAGAGCTTACCAAGGCAACTATCTCTTCCCTCTTTTTTATCTATTTCCAGAAACAGTATATCAGGTCGCACGTGATCTAAAAAAAAAAGCATATTTCCTTCTCGTTAATTGAAAATAGGAAATCGTTAATTCTCCTGAGTTTTTTTGTGTCCTGAAATTCTTCAGGAACTCCAATCTGTGAGAGGCCAGCTCGCCGGTGAACAATCAAGGTGCTTCAAGCTCGAGGTGTGTATCTTTTTGGCTTCCGTCAGTGTTTCTCATTACCCACTTCTATACACTCTGTTTCACCGAAGAAAATGGCACTGCATAGGACATCTCAAAGTCTTCCCTCCAGTTAGTCTCCAGGCAATATCTTGGTCAATCCCAGATGATCAGCCCCATAAGATCATTAAAACTAGATCAACGTGTGTTCTCCAATTCTTTTAGAGATCTCTTTTTTCGAGATCAAAAAAATGGTCTCAATTGGGTCCTCCAAGCAGGTGGACATCGCCGAGCTGCGACAGAAGCTCCAGACCTTGGAAACCCTACAGAAGGAGCTCGAGCTGCTCCGACGGCAGAAAGCCGCGTCGGAGCAGGCAGCACTGGACGCAAAGCAGAGGCAGAGCCCGGGAGGCGTGTGGGGTTGGCTCGCCGGCCCCCCCTCCGACCCGTCCGCCTGAGAGCACCCCCACTGACAGGCATGTTATTTTCACATTTCATTCTTATTTTTATTTCTCATAATTTTGCCCAGTCGATCAAGATCTTGCAGACAAGAGAATATTTATCATCTGCCCTCTTTTTGCTCATATATTAATCGTCATGAATAACATAATTCCATATTTACTAGCTTTACATGGATGGAATTCCATTTTTTTCCTTTTTTGTTTTTCTTTTCAAGACATCGATCATGATTGACCTCCAGTTTGAGAAAATTTCCAAAAAAACCTTACTCGATCAACAATTGGAGACACACAGGGGGTGAAAAAAAGAAAAGGAATAGAGAGGAAATAAATCATTGCTGACAAAACTCACCCAACATCATTAGTGTGGCTTGTTGTCATTCTAGGTTAACCATGAGAACCTCAGAGGGCCCCCGACGCATGATATACATAAACCTCAGCGACATGAAGATGGGCACCCTCAGAAACCTAGCAGCACAAGGTCTCAATAGAGAGCCCGCTATAACTGTGGTAGTCAAAAAAGGGCATCTAGAAAGAAAGGAAGGGGGGAAAAAAATTTGAATTGGGCAGACACGCCGGGGTCAGAGTGTTCACGTCAGGACGGACTCTAACCAGTCCGATGAATACTCATAAGCCACAAAGGTGACAGCCCCTGCCGGGGCCGCCTTGATGATGGAAGGGTAGATCCCCTTGTAGAGCCCAGCAGGGCCCTCCCGCCGTATTATCTGCCGAAGGGCGTCGTACATGTTTCTGTACGCGTGGCTCTCCAGGCTTTCCCCGTACTTTGGGTGTCTCCTGAGCCCTTCGATCTGCAAGATTTGAGCCAGCCAACCCCAGTCAGGCTCTCTAAACTAGGAAAGGAACTAGAAAGGTCAGGCGGGAGGAGACATGGAAGGAGTCGCTGGATGTTTTCACTACAAATAGAGGGAGAGAAGCTGTGGAGGGGACATGGGAGACCACGAGAAGATTTCGAAGAGAATTGGATGAAGTAGAACGCCGAGAGAGAGGAGACTCTCGCTCCCCTTCATCTATTCTACAGAGAGAGAATGCTGAAAACAAGCGATCATGAGAAGAGGAGTGAGAGTGAGAGTAAGGGGGAGGGGGGGGGTCTCTCGTTGCTTAGTCATTCATTTATAACACTAGATTTTTCTTTTGTTTTAAACTTACCTGGAATCTCTTCTTCACAACATCGAGAGGATGACAGACAGCTTTAGCGCAGGATCCCGATGCCAAGCCGCAGATAAATAGCTGGAAACTCGAGAGGCTGACATCTACCTTGACTGTGTCCACATCAGCGTACCGCGACTTATTCCATGCCTGCATAGCCATAAGATTACAAGGGAATAAAGCATGATGCATCTGGGAGAAAAAAAAAACTCTGATCTGAAGTCAAAAGAATGAGTGATTAGGCCAACGTTCTTGTATAATCCCTAACTAGGAAGAGATGATTCGAGCGTTACCATTGACCATCTCTTGAAGGTATCGTAGGTGCCGAACTGCAGGCCTGCGTATGGAATGATCTCTATGAGTGTCGGTGTTAGTCCGGCGTACAAGCCCCGGATGCCACGATTCTTGACAATGTCGACAAGCGCAGATCTCATGTTGAGGTACACCTGAACAGGCAGAGGAATAATTCAGCAGTGAGCACTGCATGCTGCACCAATTTAATATGATCCTATGCTGACATTTTTGCGCGCACCAGTTAGTCAGCGTATGATGAGAAAATGGCATACAGACCAATGTATCAAGTTAGGCCGACAAAAATATTATAAAAAATATATACATGCAATACAGTCTTGATCAAGCCCAGTTAGTTGAAAGTGACCGGTTCGCATCAACTGCCGGAGATTTGCCTCGTTGACTTTGAAGAAATCCTGACAAAGGTATCGGATGATTCAGAGAGGCACAATTATTCTTCTCATTTCGACTTCAAGTTCACCAAGTCAGAGATGGCCATGCCAACAGCATAGTTGCCTGCTCAGAACCACTAAAACCCTAAAATATAATCCAATCGGATCCCCTTCACTGCTGTAAAACCCCCCCTCTGCTGACAAGCTTTCCTCCCTTGGGGAGAAACTGCTACATTCCCTCTGACGTACTGTTCTTGGATCCCCTCAGGATTGTCCGAGCATTTTTTATCCACCTACATCTGTGCGACGCAAAAAATTATGCTCCAAAGAAAGAGGAGACTTCCCCCCCGACAGCATGATGATGCCAGACAGCAACAAGTCAACCCCCACTCCGTAAGCAAAAGCATTTCATCCATATACGATATTAGCATGAAATTTTTGATTCTCTAGCATATTATATCAATATCACTCGCAACTTCGATCTAAGTAGCTGTGGTAATTAAGAATATAACCCCCGCCCCCTCCCCCCTCTTCTCCCTTCCCTTCTAAGGGTGTGTTTTGGTCAACGACCATAAAGCTGAGTAAACCAACGTTTCTACTCTGAAGTATCTAAGAGTGAGATAAAGTCAACGGTTGCAATCTCTTCTAACTATATGAAGTCGAATTTGTTAATGTGGTAGTAAATTTATTGAAGACGAACAAGTCGTGTGGCTTTGGTCCGGAGAATTGGTCAAATGTTCATCCAACCGTGGGCAACTAAGGTGGGGATTCAACCCGACAAGGTGGCTCTTATTTTGTTTGAAGTCAAGTCAACCCATGCTTTCTGCAAGGCAAGCAGCATGGGGATGACCGAGAATGGTCCACATTCATACGGTGTGGACGATTTATCGTAATCTCAACAATACCTAAAAAACGATCAGATTAAAAAAAAAAAAAAAAACCCTAAAAAACGAACCATGAAGTTGCAAGTCTTGGACCTATACCTTGGGTTCCCCCTGTGATGCCAAAATTGTTCTCAAGAGATCAAATGGGTATGATCCAACTGTTGCAGCACATCCTGCCAGCCCCCCACTCACATAAGACAGATACGAACTCGACCGCAGATGATCCTCTGCATATCAGCACAAAACATTTAGGGCATCAAATCACCCCATCAGTAAAGATTGAAACCATTTTTCCAGCAGTGTAATTAGATGATACAAATATTTTTTAAATGTTTCTTGTAAAATATCATAAAAAGTAAACATTTATAATGCTGCCCAATGCGAGTTTCTCATGAAGCAGTCATTCATAGTGTGGATCGAGTCATGAGCATGGGTATTCGATGGTGATGAGACATCCAATTCCTTTTCCTGAGTCTTTTCCTCCTTATGTATAGTCTCAAGATAATGCAATCAAATCTAAAGTCTGATGCCAGACAATCTCTCACCTCTGTCTATCCATACGACCCCCAATTAGATACGTTGCGTTGACCCAACAACATGCGTGGACTCAAATCTACGAAATCTGAGACAGTTCATTATAAGGGCCAAATATTGGTGCATACAGAGAAACTTCACAGGAAATATCAGCTGATGGTCCCACCATCATCTTAGCAGTGATGGGGTAGGGCATGAGCAGAGTAATCACGTATCTCATTTCACAGTGTTATCTGCTTTTCAGTGTTAGATGTGTGTGTATGTATGTATAACATGTCATTGCCGATCAAGTATGTGTAGATTCAATGGATTAAGCCGGATGTAAATTAGGGTTTGAGGTCTGACAATTTATCAGGTTCTTCTTGGAATTCATGGAGAAGGCTTGCTATTCCAAAAGATGCATATCCCCATTATGACTTTTTGCAAGAATATATGAAGAAAATTAGAAGCAAACAGGAGGCCCTTTTTTTTTTAATGAAGAGATGATTAATATCGCCAGTTTTATCGAAATAATGAATAAAGTGAAGTGTGATTGGTAGCACTTGATTGGCGAGATACCTCACCACAACGATTCATATGCACTCATAAGGTAAAACCCACGAGAAATATATGGTGCCCTAATTACTACATCAATCCACTAAAAGATTTCAGCTCGCAGAATTTAAGACTGAATGATTTCTTGTTGATATTAAATCTGTAGACAGTCATCGATATTTAAAATAGAAAGTATACCACGAAGAAATCACAAGATGTACAAAGCAAACATCATAACCAAATTTCTGAGGAAAACCTGTTTTGGATGAACCAGATGCCAATGTTTTTACAAGGTGCAGTACTGGAAATTGTATGGCAGTGTAAGGCATAACCATAAGCAGAGCTGGAACATTGCCCCTCCAGAAACCCTATTTGAAAAGTTGGAGGATATTAATTCATTCAAAAAATAAAAACAAAGTCAACTCGAGTTGGAGGATGTTAATTCATTCAACCATGTGATAAATTGATTCCATTTAAATGACGTCGAACTGATTTTAAAATGACACTGAATATGTAGGAAAACACAGTTCAGTGCGTGAAATAAAGTTAATCGTAATACCATCTGTATTTACAGATGATGATGATCAACAAGCATAAAATGCTCTTCCGCAAATTACATGACCCACAAGAATGAGGCGAGATTAACTAGAAGCTAAAAAAATATATATCTTTCTTTATTTTGAAGAAAAATTAAGCAACCAACATGAAAATTATCAAAGGGTGAGGAAACAGAGTTTCTCACGAACGATTGGCGGGCCACTGGACAGTGTTGAATGAATTGGATAAACAGATTTGATTGATCCAAAAAAAATCTAGTTTGGGCTCAACAGTCACTCTTCTGATCATCCAATCCAGTGTCACAACCATAAAATGGAAGGTCACCTCATACAAAGAAAACAGTTCCAGCAACTTTACATTAGCCAGTTAATACAGTTAGACATTAACAAGTGTCAGGTAAATCTCACTAACTAGAGGGTTATAAGGGAAAAGGCCATCGGCATGTAATCCATCCAGCTGCTTCTCAAGGATGTACACAGCCTCACTGTACAACAATAGGGAATGCATTTCATACGGATATGTAGGTTAAGTTATGACATATAGTATGGTTTATACGTGTGTAACTATGGTCGTGTTATTTATATTTTTCCAGGTACATGTCCAACCACTAACACTCGAATATCTACAGTAATTTACGTCAGTAGATAGAACAACCCACTTCTGTGATTAGGCCATTTTATTTGAATGATCTTACTTTCAACATCTCAAATTTTGAGTCAAGTCCTCGAACAACCAGTAGAAGCATGAAGAAAAACTGAAACGACTTTCAATCTCCACAGAGAAGTTTCTGAATATATTGACATTAGCAGTTAAAATTAAAGGCATTAACGGAGAAATTCAGAATAATTTGAAGCAACGCCCACATTCCAATGGGGAAAAAGAATCATTCAAAGGACAGGCCCGGAGTTAACACTGTCCTTCTCCCTCTGTGACATAGAAGCTAGAGATTTCAACCCTCCCTCACTTTTTATTATCATTACTCACATGAAAAACACCATAGAGCAATTTTACCTTTTTCATTTCCCAAAATTTTATAACGACAAAAAATCTGCACGCACATCTGATTCGGAATAATAAAGATACTAACTTCTAGTCCACATAAAACTAAAAAGATATCTCACTGATTGAGCCTTCTTTCAATGATAAACAGAACCAGTTTCTGTTTGGGGAATGACGAAAGACAATTTTTGCGACTATTTAACATCTAAAAATTATTTTTAATACCAGGCATTAGTTTTATGCGCAATGATTGACCTTCAACTAGTTGAAGACATGCCATTCGTTGTAATTCTTAAGAAGAAGAAAAATGCACAACCCAAAAAAAAAAAAAATGTCATACTTATAGTATATTACCCACCGGACATTGACGTTATGTAGGCTATGGTTGATTTCATTTTTTCTGAAAAAACATGTCTAAATGTTTCAAAAGAAAAAATGAACTCCGGTCTTAAAAAAATAGGAAATAACGATTATAAAGTGTTACGATTGAATTGAAGGTACTAAGCAGGTAAAGGCTGGAACTCTGTGTACCGGTAAACCCTCCTCACGGAAAATGTCTTTTGTTGCTTGCAAAATACCAGTATATTTTGATGGTCTATAAAAATCTCCGCGGGGAAAAGCCCACGAAGAAGTGGGCTCCAGTTGAACCTGCGAGTGGTTAAAAGAATGATATTGAGAAAATAATACAACTCAGATCATATGATTGATGAAAGGGAATAAGATATTATAAAGCAGAAGCCTCATTAAAATCCTTCACGGGCATAAGGAGAATAATACGCATTATATACCATGCAGCGGAATGTATGTGCACCTGAAGCATGCATAATGAAAATAATACCCATTGCATAATCGACATGGATGCACAAGTATCCTGGTGTTATCACATGGCACAAGTTCTCTACATGGATACATGAACCTAAACAACTCTCGGCAAGGGAATGACTCCATTTAAAATTGAGCACACATCAATACAAGTTTCCTTGTAAATAACTCGAAAACACTTCGGCTGGAAAATTGCTTGGAGCATACGACCTGCAGTGAAAAGCATTTTTCTGCAACAGGAAGAAAGAAACAGATGGCAAATGGTTTCATATCTTTTAGGCTACTCTAGAAGGTACCAAGGCTTCCAATAAAGGTCGAATTTTCCTCGTATGAATTGTTGAATAGAAAAGAGCGACTATGCAATCAATGCCGACTAGACGTTCAAATTTTCTAACTAACCTTGCTGATTTCGGTTACACGTGATTTATTTAAAGGTAATGGTAGATTGCACAGGTGGAAAACCACGTCTACCCGACTACCTGAAATCTGATCTTGATGACGTCCAAAGGCGATGTGACAGACCGGGAGATGCCTCCGGAGATTGCCCCTGCGGTCGCATCGATTAGTGCCCGCTTTAGCTTCCCCGTCTCGTCCATCCACGAAAACTTCCGATCTCACCAGCACAGCCTCCTTTCACAGCTATGGTTGGAGAACAAATTATCAGAACGGACAACCAAGGCCGTTTCCAAACGAATCACATACAGGCGAAACCTTGCTTCGACTTCCACAGAAACCTAATGAGTGACCGGCCAAATCACCTTACACGGGAAGACCGTGCCGCCGTTGCCGCCGCCGCCGCCGCCGACATCAGGAATGGTGGGAAGCGCGGAGGAGAGAGAGGGGAAGCCGAAACCGTCAGCGGAAAGTCTTATGCACTTCCTCCTCCTCTCTCTCTCTCTCTCTCTCTCTCTCTCTCTCTCTCTCTCTCTCTCTCTCTCTCTCTCTCTCTCTCTCTCTCTCTCTCTCTCTTCACGCAGACCGAAAGGAATTTCAGAAAATTCCTCTTAGTCGACGGCACTTCCTCCGCGGAGCTTGCCTGCCTTGGTCGGCGGCTCACCGGTTCCTCCAACCTTTCGGTACAAATCAAAAGACACGCTTTTCATGCTTCGCCAAACATTTCTTCCATGGTGGCATTCTCAACCTATCAAAACCCTCTCCCGGTCGGTCCGTGCCCATCGCGGTTTTCCTACTCTCGGCCGACGTTGCACGCGACCAATAGGAAAACGGAAAATGCAATGACAAGGATCGACCCACGATGACTTGTCATTTTCTTAATATTATTACTATTTCCTTGACAATTCCAGGTCACATCTCTCGTTAATATCAATTATTATAATACGGTAACCAGCTCGTACCTGTCCTCATAGCCAATCTCTTCTTATTATGACCCCTTACAGCCTATGAGGTGATCATAAAATAATGCAAAAATCAGGATCACATGACCTTAATACGTGACCTAAGAACTACCGAGAAAATATCCACGGCTCTAATTTCCATAATATAATAACATAGTATACCCCTTTTTATTTTCCTAAATCATATCGATTTAAATATTAATTAATTAATTACTTTAATAAAAAGCTCAACTCTGAATCGATTTGGTCAACCACATGGGCCGCCGTGTCATGTGGCTAGGATTTCGGGGAAAATCCACGTGGCAAGATCATAAAAAGCCTACGAATTTATAAGTCAAATAGATTTTATAGAGGTAAGTTATCAGATCGGCAATTTCCCAATCCTGTAATATTAATTTATTAAATCTAAAATAGGAAATAATCCAGCCGAACCGGATTTCCGAACCGGGGTCACTGCCATTGGACCGGGCTGGAGTCGCTGGATATCCTGGGGGGAGGGGGTGATATTACTGATCTCACTTGACCTATAAATAAGTTGCCATTAATGGACGTAAATCCTCGCCGTCTTCCACCTGTGGCAGTCGGAGAGCGGGGGGCGCAGGAGGGAGCTCCTGCTAGGGTTTCGGAAGGTACGCGCAGCTCCGTTCTTCGGCGTCGCGTGGGGATTGATTGATTGATCGTCCCGTCCTGTCATGAGCGACGGCGAAGCCGGTGGCCAGAATGCTCCGACGATCGTCGACGACCGATTACCGCTCGACAGCGCACCGGGGGACGAGGAGGGAGGCGGCGTATCCGTCGTCGAGGTTGCGGAAGAAGCTCGTCCGGCGTCGGGTTCGTCGGCGGAGGATGGGGGTTCTGCAGATCGCGTCGACGTGGTAGCGGAGGGTTCGGCAGATGCAGCAGGTAGGGCTTTTGCACAAGGGGGTGTAGATGATGAAGGGGGGGTTAGATCTAGTGGAGTGGAGGTCACGGGGCCTGATGTTTGGACGGATGGGAGTGTTTCTGGTGGGGCGTATCCGAAGACAGAAGATGAAAGGGTTTCTGGAGCCGAGCCTGGCGAGAGAGCAGTGGCAGATGATACGGAGAATTTTTTTGACGATGGAGCAGGGAAAGTGGAGAGCGGAAGTGTACCCCTTGTGATTGACCAGCTTGTTGTTGCGAGTGGCGCCTCCGATGACACTAGGGAGGAAGTGATGAAAGCCAAGGTGGCGCCCGTGGAAACCATCACACCTTTGTTGTATAATCCGCCCTGGGAAGAGTCGGAGGCGCCTGAGGCTAGGGACACCTGGATGAACGGTTTTGAGGTCGGGGACATGGTGTGGGGAAAGGTGAAGTCTCATCCCTGGTGGCCGGGCCACATATTTAACGAAGCCTTCGCCACCTCTTCTGTCCGGAGAACGAAGAGGGAGGGTCATGTCTTGGTGGCCTTTTTCGGAGATAGCAGCTATGGTTGGTTTGATCCAGCAGAGCTCGTTCCCTTCGAACCCCACTATGCTGAGAAGTCGAGGCAGACGGTCTCCAGAACCTTCATGAAGGCCGTCGAGGAAGCCGTTGACGAGGCAAGCAGGAGGAGTGCATTTGGTGTGTCGTGCCGCTGCCGGAATCCCTTGAACTTCCGTCCAACTTCTGTTCCAGGATACTTCGCTGTCGATGTGGCAGGATATGAACCTGGTGGTGTTTACTCCTCGAAGCGGATCAGGGAGGCGAGGGATAGCTTTGTCCCTGGCAAGATCCTGTCATTCGTGAAGCAGGTAGCAGGGACGCCTCTGGACCCTGAAGTAGGGAGTATCGATGGGATAAAGAAAATAGCCATTCTCCTTGCAACTCGCAGGGCGATGTTTCAGGAATTTGACCACACGTATGCTGAAGCATTTGGTGGACAGTCTTCGCGAAATACTCACGGTGCCCAAGGGGGCCTGGAACAACCGGGAAGAGCACCGTCTCGAGGTATTGACCCGTATATTCTTTTTAATCACATGTACATATTCCCGAAGGATGGTAACGCTCTTAAATCAATGATTTTATTTGACGTGCAATTTAAAAGAATTATGGGATTTGTACAGTAACTTTCCCCGATAATTTTAGTTCCGCGCCAACAAAGGTGTTCACTTTTGTTTTCTTGATTATTGGTGAATGAATTAGTCTAAGTCTCCAGAACTGATTTTAGTCTCAATTCGCAAGTTATGATTAGAGTCGGTGAACTTGCATCATATGGCTTGAAAGTGGGTGTTGTGCCTTCGAAGTTATCATTGCTGAAAGATGTTTGTTTGGACGTGGCTGCCGTGTCCTACACAGGGTTTAGTCATTTTAGACTGGTATTTGCTAAATATCCAGAATGCTCAAAGATTTCCCCAAGAGCTCATACATGAGCTAAAGGTTGATCGTTTGGCGAAGTATCACTGCTTTATGAGAATATCGATCGTTTAACTATAAAATCAATTGCTTTTCTGGGTTCTTTTGGCTAGAATGTGGAGCGTTTTTTTTGCATTATCTATTACATTTTTTATGCTTGGGAAAGCAAATGCATGAAGACATTTTTTTTGAGTTCCTAACCTTTCTAATCTCAATGCATTGATTTTTGAAGTTAATAACATGGAACATAGTTGATTTTTTATTTAAAAATTGACTTTAAATCATTGTTCGCTGACGGCTTAGAAAATACACATAAATACGCATTTTGATGCGAATTCACGGTATTGACATATTTGGAACCCTGTCAAATTTGCTCACGCCAAGTTTTTTTCCATTCATTAAAAAAAAATGGGATTAGGAATTTTTTAAATCCTATTAGTTCCCGTCCATTTTTTCTCATAGATATCATCTGCCTCTTATTTGTAACAGTAAAAGGGGTACATCGTTCAGCTCCTTATGACGCTGTAGTGAGAAAAGTATTGTATTCATATATATCAAAAGATGCAATATCATTCGAAGTCCCCATTAAAAGAGCAGCTTTTTCGATGTGTAGTATTTTGCTTAGTTTGTGTCTGGCATTCTTTTCTGTTACTGATTGGCAATCGTCTGCACGTTGACGGGCTACGTCATTTTGAATAGTTATCTCCTCATTCATGTCTTGTTCTTCCGCACTGATCGAGTTGACTCGAGGTCCTCATCACGATACAGTCCACCTCATGGATATATCCGTCAGCCTAGTCAGCTCCTTACGCCATTGCCACCCTTGTTTCTCTGCATCTATTCTCATTTCTTCCCTTCTCATTCATTGGCTCACATCCGTATTCACTGGGTCTCTAGTCTTCTCTTATTTGTCCTGTTCCAATCGTACCAGTTCTCCATTAATGTGCAAACTCCCTGAATTTTCTGACCTGAACCCCACATTATTTTCTTCTAGAGCTCTTGCTTTGGCCAAGTGGAACATGGTCAAACACAGGATCCATGGAGTTCTCCGTTGCCAGAAATCTAATCATTCTGGATTGAACAGTGTTCTACTGCATCCATCCTTTCCAAGAATTAAAAATGGTAATCTGGGTCAACGATGGGCATCGAGAAAAAGTTCTTGTTATAGAATTCAGATTGTAGCAAACTGGATTATTATTTTTATTTTTTAACATGGGGATCTGTAGAAGCCACCAAGCAAGAGGATCATGTGAAAATTTGAAATTTTCTCTAAGATTTGCCGTCTGTTTGCTGATTTTCTGTTCTTGTGTATCTATTTATTTGCTGTGGATTAGTTTTGTCAACGCTCCGAGGGGACATTCTGCTCTGTGAATGATACCGATTTTTAGGCGTGCTCTGCTTTTTTTTATCGTTATTATTATTATTATTATTACTTAGGATTTGGGGTGTTGGGTGCAAGCACAGGCAGTTCCATTAAATCTTTCTGAAAAAATCCAGCGTTTGAGCCACTTCTTCCAAATGGCTCCCTGTCGAATAGCAGCAGCAAGATGCTGGGTTACCTGTGAGGTAGACGACGGCTGTTGATGCCGCCGGCGTACGCCGCCGCCCAACGGGGAGCGGGTCGCCGTCGTCACGTGGCGGCGGCCCGTCGGATGGCCCGCCGTTTAGGAACACGTGCGCGTCGTCGACTGTTGACCCTCGCTCTCCAAAGGGCCCCGACATGGTGATGACTTCATGCCCGCGTCAACTGACTCGCGCTCCTTTGTCTTCCGCAGCAGCTCCGTTGAGCGGGCCCATGGTGATCGCCGAGCCGCTGGGCGAGCGGAGGGTGGCGGCGCCCGCCACTGCCGCTGCCGCCGCCGCCGCCGCCGTCAAGAAGAACAAGTACCTGTTCAAGAGGCGGGAGGAACCTCCGCCGACGCCTGCCGCCTTATCCCCCAACGTCCACTTCATCCCCCACGGGATGGGCGCCGCCGCCGCCGCCGCCGCCGGCCTTGGCGGCGCCGCCAGCTACCACCCTTCGGAGGTCGGAGACTACGTCCTCCAGAAGAGGGCCTCCCCGCCGTTGCAGAGCCTCCCGGCGGAGGAGGCTTCCAAGCCTCCTGCACAGGGAGACCCGCCGCTGGTGCCCGGCGGCGCTTTGGTGGCGGAGCAGACCCCGCCGGTCGCCGGCGGCGCCGACGTCAAGCCACGGCAGCTTCCCAAGGAGGAGGACGAGAAGGCATCGGCGGCGAACCAGAGGATAATGATGACCACGACGATGAGCCAGAAGGAAAGGCCCCTCAAGTCTGAGGGCAGCGCCGCCGCCGAGAAGAAGAAGAAGAAGAGGAAGAGAGAAACCGGCGTCGGGCAGGCTCCTCTGAACCCGAAGAAGATTAGGGAACCAAACGGCGGTGGCGTTGGGGTCACCGGTTCCTCCGAAATCAACGCTGGCGGCGCTCGGGAGGCCCCGGCGCCGCCGCCGCTCAGGCTCGACTTTGCCGCCGTCGACGTCGAGATGCCGGCGGCGCTGAGCGACCTGACGTCCCTCGCCGTGGACCCCTTCCACGGAACGGACCGCAGCGCCGCCGCCGTCGTCCGCCGCGTGTTCCTCCTCTTCCGCTCGCTGGTCTTCGAGAAAGCCCTCCCAGTCCCGCCGCCGCCGGAGGGCGGCGCCACCACCACCGCCGCCGCCCCCGCCGGAGAACGAAGAGAACCGCCGCCCCCGGCGAAGCCCCCCCGCAAGGCGCCTTCGCCCTTCAAGCCCGATGACCCCACCAAGGCCGGCCGCAAGCGGATGCCCTCCGACCGCCAGGAGGAGAAGCTCGCGAAGAGGACGAAGAAGCTGGACTCCGTGAAGAAGGCCCTCACCCTCTCGGAGAAGAAGCAGCCGCAGGAGGCACCGCCGGCGGCGAAGAAGCAGCCGCAGGAGGCGCCGCCGCCGGCGAAGAAGCAGCAGCAGGAGGCCTCCGCTCCGGCCAAGCCCGCCAAGGCGGCCGTGCCGACCTTCCTGGTGATGAAGTTCCCGCAGAGGACGACGTTGCCGTCGATCTCCTCCCTGAAGGCGAGGTTCGCGCGCTTCGGGCCGTTGGATCTCTCCGGCACGCGGGTCTTCTGGAAGTCGTACACCTGCAAGGTGCTCTTCAAGCACAAGGCCGACGCGCAGGCGGCCTTCGCCTACGCGCAGAGCAACGAGATCTTCGGGCAGGTGAAGGTCAGCTACTCTCTCCGCGACCCGGACCTGCCGGCGGGTGAAGGCGCCACCGCCGAGCCGGCGAAGCGGCGCGACGACGGCTCCTCCGTCCTCTTCCCGGCGGGCGGCGATCTCCTGGGCGGCGGCGGCGGCGGCGGCGAAGGTGGGCCAGCTCAAGTCCATCCTCAAGAAGCCCTCCGATGAGCCCGGTGGCGCAGCCAAGGAGACCCAGCGGGTTAAGTTCCTCCTTGGAGGTGGCGACGGCACCGGCGAGCCCCCGGTGGTGGTCTGTAGTGCTGCTGCGGGTCTGGACAACAACCCTAATCGTAAGGCTTCTTCTTCTTCATCATCATCATCATCTTCATCTTCTTCCAAATCTGTCACCTTCCTCCCCGGCCCCCAACCCCTGCCGCCGCTCCGGCCGGCGGCGCCGCCGGTGGTGGACATCTCCGGCCAGATGCTCAGCCTTCTGGCGAGGTGCAGCGACATCGTCACTGACGTCAAGTCGGCGCTGGGCTATGTTCCCTATCACCCTCTCTAGGGTTTCCCCCTCCCTCCTCCCTCCTACTGGGTGCCGCAAGCGGCGATTGCCGTCGGCTGGAGAGTTCCCATGGACACTACTACTGCCTTCACCTGTACTATTCTCCTCTTTTCTGTGAAAGAAGAAGAAGAAGGAAGGGCCTTTCTTGACGGCGTCTTTCAGTATCCGACCAAAACTGGCTTCAAGCCATCGTTATCATCAGCCAATGCCGTGTTCCTCAGCTGATTTTTTCTCATGGCCCGCCGGCAACCCGGTCTCTTGAAACACCCACGAGAAGACCCTTCCTGGAACCATCTTCACCCTCCATAAATCCCTCTCTTCAGACCTAAGTCCCCTCCATCTCTCTCTCTCTCTCTCTCTCTCTCTCTCTCTCTCTCTCTCTCTCTCTCTCTCTCTCTCTCTCTCTCTCTCTCTCTCTACTGTATGTTTGTCTGTGTGTGGTGGCGATGGAGAGGACGATGGACCTGACGCTGATCTCGGCCAAGGACCTCAAGGACGTGAACCGGATAACGAAGATGGAGGTCTACGCCGTCGCCTGGCTCTCCAGCGACCGCAGAAGCCGGCGGCGAACCGCGACGGACCGCGCCGGCCGGCGGAACCCCAGCTGGTGCGGCGCCACCTTCCGATTCATCATCCCCAGGGATGAGGCCGTCCTGCTCCACGTCCTGCTCCGATCAGAGCGCTCCCTCGGCGACCGTGACATTGGCGAGGTCTGCGTCCCCCTCAAGGAGCTCTATACCTCGCCACCGGCGACGGCGGCGCCCCCGCCCTCTTCCCTTCGCTTCGCTAGTTACCAGGTCCGCCGCCCCTGCGGCAAGTCCAAGGGCGTCCTCAACTTCTCCTTCAAATTTGCCGGGTCGATCGCTGCAGCAGCGCCGCCGCCCGGCGAGCCCCTGATGGCCTACCCTGCTGGATACGCCGCCGTGTACCCTCCGCCGCCGCAGCCCCCCGCGTGCCCGTTGTACCCTCAACCAGCTTACGGCTACGGAGCCCAGCCGCCGGCGGGATACGGGTTCCCCCCTCCGCCGCCGGCGCGAAGAGGAGCACCCTCGGGATGGTTCTCGGCAGCGTGATCTCCGACGCCGGGGGCTTTGATTGCTAGGTTTCAGGTTCCCCGCGCCGATCTCCCTGCACAGACCTGCGGCGCCGTCGAATTCCTTCCAGCTCTCTCAAACTTGTGGATGAACATTAGTGGAATGAAATTTCTTTTTTTCGCACAAATTCAGATGAACAGAAAAAGATATTTCTAGGACTCAATCTAGTCAACCGCAGTTGATTGATTGAATGATTCGATCCTGTGCTTGAGAGTGGGTTCTTCGGTCTCTGCAAAAGTCCACAGCTTTGTGGGTTTCAACGCCTCCAGACGTGTCCACCATACACGGAATATGATTCGATGGATCTGAGAGAACATCAGACGGGGCTTTTGGGCTCTCACTCTATTTTAAAATATTTATAAATTTTCATGACAAAATTGGTGAATTCATTCTAATCTAACAAAAAAAACATTTGGCTCCTCTTTTCCAACCTCAGACTTCAAAATTGAACCAAGAAATGAAAATATCTCTCTCTCCTTCTTTCTCTCTCTCCTCTCTCTCTCCCTCTCTCTTTCTCTATCTCTCCCCCTCTCCCTCTTTCTCTCTCCCTCTATCTCTCTCTATCTCTCTCCATCTCCTCCCTCTCCCTATCTCTCTCTCTCTCCATCTCCCCCCCCTCTGTCCCTATCTCTCTCTCTATCTATCTATCTATCTACTTACATATATATGTAGAAATTTTAGTTATTGTTAATTTTTGGTCGGAAAATATAAATGGAGAGTTGGGTAGGTTGGGTCCAGTGAAACTGGGCACGGGTTGACTCGGTTGCAGGTAGCACGATTTCGTGGCGTGAGAAACCCGCCAGGTGGGCGGCCCGGCCCGGGCGAGTCGAGGAATCCGTGTTTTCCGTGGGACGCGTGGCACCGTATGGTCTGCCGGTTCGTTCGGACCGGGTACGGTCTGATTCGGTTCTGGGGGGGGCATTTATGCAATTTATTAGATAAAAAGAGGCTTTATTTTTGTGACGGTGATGACGGATATATGACTTCAGATTGGGAAGAGGAAACCAAGAAGGTTCCCCTCAAGGAACGAAGTTCCTCTCTCTCCTCCGTTGTCTTCCTCCGCCTGCTCCGCCGCCTCAGCTTTTCCCAACCTGTGTATTCATGGCGGCCCTGTCGATCCCGCCGTCTGCCTCCACTGGTTCCCCGCACTCTTGGCCTCTTTCGGAGCCGGACAACCCTAACAAGAACCCTAGGGCCCAGGAATCCCCGTTCCTCCCCGTCCCGCTCCCAGATGATGTCCCTCAGGAGCAGACGACCTCCTTGTCGCCGCCAGGGCCTGTCTGGGACGAGCGCGACGGTGACGGTGTAGAAGGCGGGCAGTTGCAGCAGGGTCCTTTCCAGAATCCGGATGCCGACGGCGGGAATCCGATCGTGCAGGAGCAGCAGCAGCCGCCGGCCCCTTCGTCGCTTGCGGCTTCGCCGCCGGCTCCCCCCTCGCTTCTACATCTTTCGTTCAACCAGGACCATGGGTGCTTTGCCGGGGGCACAGATCAGGGATTCCGCATCTACAACTGCGACCCATTTCGGGAGATCTTCAGGAGGGATTTTGATGGGGGTGGGATCGGTGTGGTGGAGATGTTGTTCCGGTGCAATATTCTCGCGCTGGTTGGTGGCGGGCTGCGCCCTAATTATCCACCCAATAAGGTGATGATCTGGGACGACCACCAAAGCCGCTGCATCGGGGAACTATCTTTCCGCTCGGATGTCCGAGCGGTCCGCTTACGGCGCGACCGCATCATTGTTGTCCTCGACCATAAGATTTTTGTGTACAATTTTGCGGATCTCAAACTTGTGCATCAGATCGAGACGGTACCGAATCCTAAAGGGCTGTGCGCAGTATCCCAGCAGCAGGGATCGCTTGTCCTGGTTTGTCCCGGGGGTCAGAAGGGCCAAGTCAGAGTAGAACACTACGGTGCGAGGCGGACTAAGTTCATCATGGCTCATGATTCAAGGATTGCCTGCTTTGCATTGTCTCAGGATGGGCGGTTCATTGCCACTGCCAGCTCCAAGGGCACACTTGTTCGGATATTCAGCACGGTTGATGGGTCCCTCCTTCAAGAGGTTTGTTTTGAATTTGGTTCTTTGTCCAGAGACAACACTATTTCATGTTTGTTTTAATTGTTTAATTTCCAAAGCTGTCTTTTATGTTTTTGTGAATCGAGGCATATCTTCTTCATGCCGTCCAGTGACTCGTATCCCTGCTTCTTGTTTTACTTTATCTGGGACGTGATATATTTCATATTTATTTGACAGGCACATAATCTGTTGTGTGAACATGCTTAGATACGATGGAGAAGTAATGTAATGCTGCGCAGGTTTTTACGCGAGAGTATCATTAATTTTGCACAGTTTTCGGAGAGGATATGGAGGTGCCTTTCTGGCCAGCCCAAAGTATAGTTGAAGTCCCTGTATAGGCAAGCTGCCTTTTTTCAGCATCCATTCTCCTTTCCCCAGTCCCTTCCACTCTCCTTGTCACTGCTGCAGATAGTGGTCTCATCATTTTCAAGGTCACCTGCTGCCCACCCCATGTGATGCCTGTGAGTCTCTGAAGTTCTTGTGTAAGGCCTCTGGTTGTTGCCACTTTCAGCCTTGTTCTATACCTGTTTCATGTCGTTGTTTGAGAGCCTTTGACTGCAGCCTCCTCTTCACAGCGATCAGTATCCTCTTCTCTACAGCGCGCCCAATCCCTTTCCTGATCTTCCCCCACCCCCCGAAAATAAAAAGGAACCCTTCTGCCAAAAGGAAGGAAAGATACGTATTCTTCTCCACAATGATATTCCTACCTCCTTTTTATTTTCTCCAGATCTTCCTCTCCTCACATTCTTCCTCATCATTAGATGTCACACTGTAAGATTCATCAGGTTGTTGTACTCTGTATCCTAATAGTCTTTTTATCCCTAGCAGTTCTGGCTAGCCTTTGAAAGCAATTTTTTTTCTTACATCCTGAAATTATATGATTAATATTATTGTGCATATTACGCAGTTTTCTCAAGTCAAATTGGTTTTTGTACTTGTTTCATATTCCTCTCTGAAATTCTGTCGTACAGAAAAAACTTCACCTTTGGTCGTGTCTCAGTCTTGTTTCAAATATCTAGTAATTTATGTAAAAGGTGGCAGTTTCACTTCTGAATCTCTTCAACTTTGTCATCTTTACCCAAATGGTTGGAGAGTAGGCTTCTTGTATGTGCCTTGCTAGATGTTATTAGTGGGGCATGTTTGAACAGCAGTGGGTATACTAGATGAGCTCTGTTCTGGTGTACGTTGGACGCATGCTTCTGATATCCTCAACTTCATTCTTTTTCATGGATTCGATTCTTAGTCAACTGCTTTTTTTGTTAGGATTTTGAGAAGACTTCGATCTGATGTATTTGTGGGTTTAGAATGGTCTTTAGTTTTGGCATGCCATCTGTTGCTGTAGACATGCTATCTGATCATGAAAGTCCTATCTAAATTTCGTGCCATTTTAATGATGCATTTCTCCTTGCAATCAAATATGAATCATGATGAATAAACCTATTTTTGTTCTTTGTTTATACATATGCATTGGCCTCTTTGACACTTCGGTGCATGTTATCTCTGTTCTTCATTTTTCATCACTAAAAGTAATAGTATTTTTCATTTAATTGAACCGTTAATGTCTTTTTAAAATAAACGAATACCTTCAAAATGTGAATGAGCACTTGCCATCTCTTTTGTCGTTTAACTTTTGGACAATTTCTTTATTTTTTTCCTCGTGATTTATGCTGTTGCAAAAATTCTTTACATAATAATGGTATAGTTTAGATGATTCACAATTGGTTTGCATTTGATTGTCATATATCATTGATAAACTGCCTGTTTTAGTTATACTTGTCCATGATATTTAAAATGCTGACGCAGCCTTGTTTTATGCATAGTTGTACGAGAAACCTCTTCTTGAAATGTGCGCCATTATTGCTATGTTTCTTGTTCTCGGGCATATTGATGTTTTTTGTATTTTAACAGATAGTTTCATGCTGATTTTTGTTGTAGGTAAGAAGAGGTGCTGACAGGGCAGAGATATACAGCCTTGCTTTCTCAGCAAACAATCAATGGTTGGCAGTTTCAAGTGACAAAGGAACCATACATGTTTTCAATCTCAAGATCGATCAAGGATCTGTGGCATCAGACAAAATTCCTGCTTCTCCTGATCCCAATGCGGCTACTCCCACCGTTACATCTTCCCTCTCTTTCATAAAGGGTAACCTTCTAAATTTTCAAAGATTACAGTGGTCGTCAAAATTACTTGTCTCCATCAATTCCTTGAAATTGAATAATATGCAAGTTAATGCACATTTAGCGTCTATTCTTTTTTGCTTTGTATTCACCTGCACATTTTCCTATCGTTGTGTAGTCTCTGTATTTGTATTCTTTTCATATATATTTTGGCAAGACATTCGTTCTGAAAGCCACTGAACTTCATGGGTCAAATGCAAGCGAATTTTAACTGTTTGATTCACAAAAAACGTGGGCTATTTTCTTCATATCACTTAATTGATTATCAGAATCAACATAATATCTTACATATGCATTGACTTCTCTCGTGCAAAAACACATTTACCATACATATTTAAAAGTGTTTTGTTCCCAAATGAGTGTCGTGCGATTGCTCCCTGGAGGGTTCTTTGGAGAAGAGAAAACACTTAGCTAATTGAATTGAAGCTAATAGACAATAATCATTCTGAACGGTAGCAAAAATCCTCCTTATCTGGAAGAAACAGGAGGAGCAAAACATTTCGATTCTGTGGTTCCGTTGTGAACCAAGAAAAATCATTCTAGCATGGCATTACTGATGTCGATCCCCTTGTGCAGGAGTTCTGCCGAAGTATTTCAATTCAGAATGGTCAGTTGCCCAGTTCCGTCTACACGAGGGATCTCAATACGTGGTTGCTTTTGGCCACCAAAAGAACACCCTTGTGATCCTTGGCATGGATGGCAGGTGAGTGAACAATCTTTACGTCTAGACTCTGCCGTTGACTCTCAATTTTTGTGCATTTGAATCGACGGTTGTCACTGCATCTTATGCCATCCCCGATTCACCAAACACTGACAAAAACAAATCAAAGAGAATGAATTTTCATCTAAGAGGATCACAATTGTAGAACTGCTCATCTGACCATCCAATTTAGGAGTAATTTGTCGTGGATTTCTACATTGGGCTTGTCTGCGTTGACCTTGACTGCAAGCTGTGGGCGTCAGGCAGCTCTGTGACTTGCTCAATCACTTTAAATTCTCGCATGAGGTAACTGGTTCATAACTGGAGTTGCAGCTTCTACCGGTGTGAATTCGATCCTGCCACGGGCGGGGAGATGGTGCAGCTGGAATGCCACAACTTCCTGAAGACAGAGGAAACCTTCTAGCCGCCAGAGATCCCGGCCGCCGCCAATTGCTGTGTTCATCCTATTTGTGATCCCCTTTCCAGGGAAACAGAAAGCTGTAAATATCTAGAGAAAGGTATGAATGCCCTCAGCTGCACCCCTGTCTGTTCTAGCTGTGAATATGGATGCACGAGACTCTTGTATATTTGGCACATTCAATAAGTCAACGCGAGAGTTATAGGGGATCATTGCTGACAATGGGAGGGTATGCCGCTCATTCTTGTTGCCACGTGGTGGGCCTGTTCTGGCCCCGTTGACCCGAATGGGAATTATCTGGCTTCTTGCAGAAGGGAGGAGGTTTGAAGTCTTTTTTTAGGAACTCCCATGGCGTGATGCAGAAGAGATTATTTCTATATCAGGTGGTTGACCGTGTCCTGAGCAATGGCATCATCTACCTCCTTCCTAACCTCTTCTCTTGATAACCCAGGGTAGAAAACCCAGATATCAATGTCATAAACTGGGTTGCATTCTGGGAAGACGACCACTAGAAGACCAAAGTAAGTAAAGAAAAGTCAACGGGTACGCGGATCTCAATTGAATATGGACAAACTTGGGGATTCTTGGCACCCACATTAGTTAACCCAAGAAGGTAAACGAGAGTATTCCATCAACATTATAATGAAACATCTCTGATTTCTGCATCTCGGCGCCACAAGCCATCGAATTATCATGTCATAAAACATATAAGCACGTAAAATTATTTTCTCTGAATATTTCAGAGGTAAACTTCCTAAGAAATACCCATTAGAGAGTGACAGAAGTCAACCCAGATTCATACTAATGGATAGCAACCCATCAAAGTCTTTCTCCAAGCATTATATGCGCCTAGTAGTTTCTGGACAAAAAAGATGAGAATGGGTCCAATAGAAACGTGGGCCATGGAGGAAAACATAGGTCCATTAGTAGTAGATGAAGTCGTCGCTGGAATCTGGACGGTTGTGGCGACGCGGGGATCTGCTGTGGGCTTATGGGCCCAGTTTGATTGGGCTGATCATGGTTCACCGGGCCATTACGTCTGGAATGGGCTCCGGTCCTGCGTGGAGAGAACTGTGAGAGGAGCTGGTCGGTGAAATTCCCACCAGTCTAGCGGCAACAACGGGTGTTTTTTATCGGGCCGGGCCCGGTCATTATGAAGGCCACAAGCCCGGATGACAAAAGCCCGAAAAGTATAAATAATCTGAAAGGGAACATTTAGTATTTAAATAATAATTTCAGATTATCATAATTATAAGTATTAAGGATGACTTTATTTAGAAAAGGAACTGGCCGCCTTTTTGACTTTAGAGTAATCTCTTTATTTAGTGGAAGATAAAGGGGACAGTAACGTAAACAAGCCCATCCTCCATGCCGGCCGCCGCCACCCGCCACCCGCCACGGACGAGCTTTGTCGGCGCCAGGTACATAATGGACTCTCTCTCTCGCTTTCCATACACAGGTTGTTGGTCTGATGGCGGCGGGAGGCGGAGAAGCGGCGACGGCGACCGCTAATGAGCCGCTCCGATACCAGGTATAGAGAGAGACTGCAGCTTGCTGCCGCCGCCGCTGTCAGTGATTCATCTGCTCACTCGCTCTCTCTCTGGTGACAGACGTGGATGCTCAAGGTCTCCATCCACTGCGAAGGTTGCAAGAGGAGGGTCAAGAAGCTCCTCCAGAGCATCGACGGTAAGCTCTCTCTCTCTCTCTCTCTCTCTCTCTCTCTCTCTCTCTCTCTCTCTCTATAATACTGTGTGGTGATGTGGTGGGGGAGAAGGGGTCTACGCGACAACGGTGGACGAGCGGCAGCAGATGGTGACGGTGACGGGAGACGTCGACGGCGAGACCCTGATCAAGAAGCTGCACAGGCATGGCAAACACGCCGAGCTCCTGCCCTTGAAGGCTCCTCAGCACAAGGAGGAGAAGGAGAAGGAGAAGGAGAAGAAGGAGAAGGAGAAAGAGAAGGAGGAGAAGGAGAAAAAGAAGGAGAAGGGTGAAGGCAGTGAGGAGAAGGCCGGCGGCGCCGGAAAACCCGCCGGCGAGAGCGCGGCGATATCGCCCCCTCCTCCGGCGGCCAACACTGCTGAGGACGAGGGTTCCCCCAATGGCGGAGAGCCTCCCAGACCCGAGAAGGACGGCGACGGCGGGAAAGGAAAAAAGGAGGAAAACAAGAGCCAGAAGGAGGACGACCACCCTGTAAACAAGGAGGACAGTAAGAGCAAGAAGAAAGGTGGCGACGGCGCACTGGTGGCGCCGCCGCCGCAGGAGCGCCACCACCGCCCCCACCCACCGCTAGTCTACGCCGCGAGCTACAGCGCCGCCCACCCCACCTCCAGCTACAGCGGCGCCTTCTATTCCGGACCACCGCTCCTCCTTCCCCATTACTTCTTCATCTCCTCCGGCGAGCAGCAGCAGCAGCATCACTTTCCGGCCTTCCACCTCCACCCGCCACCGGGGGAGCCCATCCCGCCGCCAGATGACTCGCCCTACGACGTGTTCAGCGACGAGAACGCCAACTCCTGCCGCGTCATGTGACCGCCGGCGAGTCGCCGGCGGCGACGTTGTGGCGGCGCCGCCGTGATGTTATCGCTCCTCGTAAGAATTTAATGATGATTACATGCAGCCGATGAGAAGTCAGCGTGTTTGGAGAATCGCAGTCCCCAGAGTTTGCGTGATCAGAGGAATTGAGAGAACGGCAGATGGGTGACGTTTGACGCAGTGGGACCCACATATGACGTGTCGAGCCCGCAGAGACCGGTCCAAGGACGGCATAGCGGGGAAGCAAGCGGCTTTCCCTTCGTTGCCCATTCTGGGTTCATCGATGGACCCCGCCAGCTACCACACTTCCAAAGCTTGGAGATGACCCCGTGGCACGCAACATGAGCCAGCACTTTTGATGTCAGTGCTTTGTTGCAGTACCCCAGTGGCAACTCTCTCTTGGTTTTATAACCTATTAGTTAATGGGCCATGAAGAGAGAGAGAGAGAGAGAGAGAGAGAGAGAGAGAGAGAGGGAGAGGGTGGGTGTGTGGTTCAACGGTGGTGGATTGGTTCAACGTTGTGCAATGTACATTCATACGTACATATTTTTATTATTATTTATATGCACTAAAAACCCATTCTAAGTTATTATTTATTATTTTACTCCCTACCCCCAATAAAACATAAAAAAATTGAAATAACAAAGGGCTGAATCAAGATAAAAAATTATATCTTTCGAGCTGACAAGAAAAAATGATTCATAAATCGGAATAAACAATCTGTGTCTTTTTTCATTTGTATCTCCTGATCATTTTTATTAAATAAACTTTAGTCAATGTACTGTACATCGTAGATTATAATATGAGGATAATTATTAATAAATACGGTCGAATATCAAATATGTCCCCATAATATATCTACATTTTAGGGATAAGTTCCTCGTCTCTCCAATTGTTGTTATGGGCCGTTGTCTCTCTCCCTCTCAACAACCTTCCCCATCTAATTACACTCATTAAATTGATTTTTTTGTATTACCTATTTAATTTAGTGCAATTTAGCCACACGTCGTGAAATGGAAAAAAAGTAATAAAGGGAAATATTTTTGAAATTAAATCCCGAAATGTTTTTTATTTATTTATCGGTATAGTGGTTTATAAATATATTATGCAAATACACATTTATGAATAATAATACCGTTAATAGATATTATTATCCATTAAACACTCGTATTTAATTCTACCAATATAAGAGAATTTTATTTTATTTTAAGAAAATAATAATAAATCATCTAATCTAAAAAATGGAATATTACGATGGAAAATTATCCTAGTCTAAGCTCTGAAGCTAGATCTCCCAACCGGATAAACGATATAGGCAAGAGAAACCATGAACCAGAATAAATTCCTAATTCCTTGATATTTATAGAAGAAAAAAAAAGAACCCAAATATCTTAATGCCTCACCAAACCCATCCCCGGTCAAAAAAGTTGACCGGGGCCCACATTGCTCCAAATATCCCAGAGAAGCCCATAAAATGGGCCTCGAGTCGGCGCCCCTAAGGGGCTTTTGGGCCCATTATGAACGATGAAGCGAACCATCAACAAATGGGCAGGAGACACGTCTAGGCGATTTGCGGCCACAAACCCGCAGGCAGGCAGGCGAAGTGTCACCGTCATGGGCTCCACGTCACCTTAGCCGATGACGAGGACGGCCCTCAGACGCGCGTGATGTCTTTCCTACGTGGCTGTAAGTCCGATAGAATCGTGGCGGTGGCGAAGACGACGACAACAACATCGTAGGATCCGATTGGACGGCCGTCGTGCTTCATAGGATTAAAATAAAAAAAATAAAAAAACATTTCCTTGTCGGATCGCGCACCGGCCTGGCGCGCCCTTATCCGTAAAAGCAGCCTACCTTTACAGGATAAGCTGGCGTAGTGGGCCACCGTCTGGGAATTAAAATATAATTTTTGCTTTGAAATAATTGTTTTTTCTCTCTACGTTGCTTGTCCTTATTGCCTATATACATTTATAAGTGAGAAATAATTAATAATTTACCCAATAATGCTAACATGAAATATTTTGCTTTTAAGTCGTGTGCGTATTGTTATTGATTTATAAAATTACACGTATTTTGATTTACGGTAAATATATTTTTATAATTAATGTATATCGTTTGATCGCATTGGATAGAGAGAGAAAGAGAGAGAAGGAAAAATTGCAAACTGACATCCGATGGCGGAAAAATTGTGGGAGTAGAAATTTATCGGCAAGAATAGCATGTGTGAAAAGGTCCTCAATTGGGTGGGTGTTTGGCAGCGCGGGCAGGAGAATCGATTCTGGGAGGGGTGGGTGCCTCGTGGGGTATGGCAGAGACTTGTCCAAAAGAATAAGCCGACGAGGGGAAGGTGACAGGAGAGAGAGCTCAGTGATGGCGCCACATCCGGCCACAAGAAGAAACCGCAGACACCTGCCGCCCCCCCCGTGAACCTCTCTCTCTCTCTCTCTCATCTCCTCCCAAGCTCACCCTCTCCGGTCCTCCCCCCGGCAGCGGCCATGGCCCTAGACGAGTTGCCAGCGCCAGAAAAGATGCAGTCGACGGCGAAGCTGATCGACGGAAAGGCTATCGCCCAGACCATACGGAGCGAGGTCGCCGCAGGGGTGCAATTCCTCCGCCGGAGCTCCGGGAAGGTGAGACCGCCGGCGACAGGAAATCCCAGCCATTTGCTTCTTCCCCGCATCGCCGCCCTGAAAATCGTTCCTTCTCTGCGGCGGCTTCGCAGGTGCCGGGGCTGGCGGTGGTGCTGGTGGGGGGAACGAAGGACGCGCAGATGTACCTCGCCATGAAGGCCGCCGCCTGTCGCGAAGCTGGCATTCGCTTCTTCTCCGTTGACCTTCCCGGAGGCACGACGGAGACCGAGGTCCTCGACGGGTTGCAGCAGCTCAACTCCGATCCCGACGTCCACGGTGACTTCTTCCTTCTCTCCACCATTACACAGAGATCCGAGGTTCTCCGAGTAGTTATCTGGTTTAGCCTCCATTCATCCACATTAATGTGAGCGATCATTCTAAGACATATATAGAAACAAGCCCGATCACTGCGTCCCATTCATTATTAATGAAAAAGAAGTGGGCATTAATTAGTTTCGAGGAATCTTGAATCGACCTTCTTCTACTTACGCACTCGAGCTACTAAAGACTTTGACTTGCTCACATCGTGTGAGGAGGGGTCGGATCATCGGAGAAATCGCTGTGTTTGATCGATAATAGAAGACAAGGAAGAGGAGAGGAAATGAGATGGAAGATGATGATGATCGAGGATGGAGGGTGGAGGTAGGAAGAGGAAGAAGAGGAGGAAGGAGGAGGAGAGAGGAGGAGGGAGGAGATCGATCTGCTTGGAATCTGACCGTCTTGTGGTTCATATAATGGCAGGGGTACAGATACAGCTCCCGTTACCGAAGCACATCAGCGAGGAGAAGATCCTGAGCGCGATCAGGGTCGACAAAGACGTCGATGGCTTGCACCCCCTCAACATCGGCAAGCTCGCCATGAAAGGCTGCGCCCCTCTCTTCCTCCCCTGCACTCCCAAGGTACATCTCTCTCTCTCTCTATCTATTTATCTATGTATATATACCTATATATCTATATATATATATATATATATATATATATATATACCTTTCTATCTGTCTATCTCTACTTATCTATCTCTCTCTCTCTCTCTTTCTCAGGGATGCTTGGAGCTTCTGATGAGGAGCGGAGTGAAAGTGAGGGGGAAGAGAGCGGTGGTGGTGGGCCGAAGCAACGTCGTCGGGTTGCCGGTCTCTCTCCTCCTCCTCAAGGAAAACGCCAGCGTGACCGTCCTTCACTCCCACTGTAGCGCCTACGAGAGCATCATCCGTGAAGCCGACATCGTCATCGCCGCCGCCGGGCAGCCCATGATGGTGGGGGGATCCCAGTTTCTCTCTCTAGAAACCATAAAAATGCCCCCCATTGATGATAGTCAACGGTTTGGTTCATTTGACTTTGGCAGATCAAGGGAGAGTGGATCAAGTCCGGAGCCGCCGTGATCGACGTGGGGAGGACCGCCGTCGACGATCCGACCAAGAAGGCGGGGTACAGGCTGGTGGGAGACGTTGACTTTCAGGAGGCGGCTAAGGTCGCCGGATGGTTGACTCCGGTCCCCGGAGGAGTGGGGCCCATGTTCGTCGCCTTCTTGCTCAAGAACACCTTGGAAGCAGCAAAGCGCCAGATCGAGCAGGGAAAAAAATAAATATCCAACCGAAATAAATAAGAGCCCTACATCTCTCGCTCTCTCTCTCTCTCTAAAGAGAGGAGATGGGGGACCTTGTGAACATATTTCCTAACTTTTTTCTCCACTCTTCTGGGCTGTCAGTAATTCAACGAAAATGGCGATCACGGGAAAATTCAGTGTCTAGAATATTTATGATGTTTTAACCGAAATATCCGTGGATACTTTCTCTCTCTATCTATAGGAAAATATGCAATAAATACAGTTCCCAATAAATATAGTAATTCCACGTAATTGGAGTAAGAAAAGGGAATAAATCGCGGGGGAAGAACGAGGTAGGTTTTTTTTCTTATTATTATTATTTTAACCGAAAAGCCCAGACATTGACAGTTGGTCAAATGAGAGAGGAAACACCCTGAGATCGCAGTTTCTCTGCTATTTTTTTTCAATAAGTATTTAAGAATAAAATCATTTAAACTACAAAAAAAAAATCCAAAAAAAAGGAACCAGATTAATATCTTAAAGATACCCTTGAGATGTCTATTTCCAAGTAAATATAAAAAACATTCGGGTATTCCGATAATTAGCTATTTAATAAGAGAATATACGTTTATTAGATAATACTCATCTCCTAATTTCTTATTACTCCCGTCGATCATTGCCTAGTTATCTTCATAGAGAGATTATTTTGATCAGAAATACTGATTTACGTACCTGAGCTCATCGCCTTCGATTTAGGGGGGGTTGTTCTATGTAGAGAAGAACCATTCATCATGGCAATGATCTTCAGACTAGAATCTTCTCATCGCCGACAGCTTACCGCTCACTTTTCAGATGGAAACTCTCACAGATAACGAGCCAGGAGAAGACGACACACTGGGACAGCACCAAGGAGCAGTGGAAGGTCTGGGACAGGTTGAGGAAGAAGAAGAAGAAGAGCTCCGCCGCCGCCGCCGCCGCCGCCACCACCACCAGCCCAGATGGTGAAGAGAAAAGCAGATCGGCGAGTGGTGGGATCGATCTGAATCTCCGCCATTGACGGGGAGGAAGCAAAGCTATTCATTGTGCAGGGGAAGTCCAAGCCTGAGGGAGATGGGGTTGAAGTGGGGCAGCAACGACAGACAGTCTGAAGGTTGAAGGCTGAAGGCTGAGGAGAGTAAGAAGTATGGTCTCGGCTTCTCTTTCAGGGTGGGTAGAACACTTTGAGACATTGGCTGCTTGCTTCAATCTAAACACGTCAGAACACGGGCCTTTTTTAACTACCAGAGCGGGCGAATCGAAATTCAATTTAATCAGAAAGATTTAGAAAACTAATTTGATAGCAGGATGGGTTTAGAGTGCCACAGAAGAGATCTAAACATAATTCAAGCAACACATTTGACTGTCTGTTCAAGCACTAAAACACAAGAATCTTCTCTCCCGTCCACATCATTCATTGACCGGATTCGGTTCTCTTCTTCTGCCACAGTCTATCCAGGGCGCTGTCTCCATCTCCCTGAGAAGCCAGTCAGAAGTCAGATGAACAGATAGAGCAAAAAAAAATGATAGGAAAAGATTCTCTGTAAAGAGATGGGGCGGGGGAGCAAAGGGGCACCCTTCTAAAGAAACGCACAGAGGATCTAAGCTTCCACATGCCACATTCATCACTTATGGATCGACGCCTGTATTGACATCAATCGACACATATATGTACATGTAAGGAAAAATACATGGACACTGTTTGACTGCGATGGGAGAAAGATCTGCCCAATTGAACGAAAGGCCACTGGGTAAGAATACGTTACCGGAATCATTCAAAAAAAGGGTGTATGGTAGCCATTATCCTTGGTGTGTATGCTGTCGACTAAACCAGTGTGATGCACATGATACAACAATGCAGAGTCGTGCCGAGCATAATCGCATCTAAGCACATTACTTATTCCATTGCACGAGGCGTGGAGAGCGATGAAATCTCCACATGGGCAGATGCAAAAATTCTGGGCACAACTTGCAAAATCATTGGTACACGATGACAGAGCCAAAGGGGAATGGAGGAATAAAGGTAAGCAGCCCTGATGGTTGGACGTCATGGCAAATGGTCACAATTAGTGCGTCACACTGTTTTTCAAGTTATGAACTTAATTCTCCACTACCGATCGATCACAATAAGCTCGAAAGAATAACCAAATATTTGTGTTCTAGACTACCATCACTTTTCCGAAATTCTAAAACCATATGGCTGAAGCAGGATACTAGATCGCACGCTAGAGCAATAAGAACAACTAATCAAGGTATGGTGTCACATGCTGCAGTCACACACAAAACTAAAAGGAAGAATAGCAAAACCAGGCAGGTTACATCAAAGGTGTGTATTGGGGCAGGAAAACTGAACCTGAGAGCGGATGTACCCGCAAAGAGCAATGGTAGTGTACTGCCCGGTGTATATGCCGTTCTCATCGAGATGGCCAATGTTGACCTGAACAGAGGCATGGTCCTTTGCGGTGATCAGCCTGTTCGTCGCCGAACTGCACGCACACGCAAAGAAGATGAAACATATTTAACAATACGAATGACACTTCCACCCACGGGATGCGGGATGTATATCGCAATCTAAAGAGCGGTTAAAGAAACTAACCACTTCCTGGGGATGTAGAGATCCATCATCTGCCCCTCCTCGTTCTGCATCTTGGCCGGTGTGGGGTTAGCCTCAAAACCGCGCAGTGACGAAAGAGAGACAGGAACCTGCACAGGGGAAGCACTAGCTGTCAAATCACAGAGCACCACAAACGACCAGCCGAGATATTCAATCCACAGGGGAGGGAGGGCGAAATCAGAGTAGAAGAAGAGAACGATGGGGAAGGAGAGAAGCGGCGGCGTAACCTGAGAATAAACGGGGTGCAGAAGACGGCTAGCATAGATGAGGCCGTCGACTGAAGGGATTTTATAGGTCCTTGGAACCCTAGATAGCCCACCCAGGGTTACCTTTCGTCTTTTTAATGGGCTAACCCATTAGTGACCCATTATGAGCCCTCCACCTCGGACCCGGTTGGGTCCTTTCTCGAACCGGGTTCTAATCTCGAACCTTCTAGTAGAATTCCACAGTTTTTCCAGAACGCCGCCTCGGCTTCTCGCGTACCTATCAGCTCGTACGCTTGCAAGCGTTTTAAGAATGACGTGGATGACGGACTAGTTTACTCTGGCCGTTCAGTGTTGTATCTCTCTTGCGTGCATCAACCTGTGAAGCGCGCTTCGTTACGCGATTTTCGAGGCGTTGGCCGCTCTTTGACGCGTGTCCAAATCTGCGGCGCTGACTTGCTGTACGTCAGCCACTCGCGGCCAGCCGTCCGATCTAAAGGAGATCTGACGGTCGACGAAACGGTTCTATGTAGATTCTGTAGAAACCTCGCTACCCGTCCCATCTCTCTTTCGGTGGTGCCTCTTTCTCGTTTCCTCCGCCTCTGTTCGTCGCAGAGTGGATCTGCCTCCACGCAGATTTTCGCGGCGGAATCGCTCCGGAGAAGCGTCGATCATGGGAGAACCAGCCGCAGAAGAGCAGCGTCCCGTCGCCGTAAGTCATCTGGAGGCCTCCAGTTCCCCAGGAGAAGTGTTCTTGTAGAGGTTCTTTGGTCGAGGATGCCGTCGGGTCTTGATCTCCGTCTATGGCTGGGATTTTCGCTGAAAATTTCTCGTCCTTTTGTTTGCAGAGCCAGGAGGAGGTGGCTCAGGCGGAGCGGAAGCTGAAGCACCTGGAATTTTTTCACCTTGCGGCGATCCAAGCGGTGGTGTGCCTCTTGAGGCTGTACGGATTCGCCAAGGAGAACTCCGGTCCTCTGAAGCCTGGGGTCCAGGCCGTGGAAGGCACCGTCATGACCGTCGTCGGCCCCGTGTATGACAGGTTCCACGATGTCCCGTACGAGATCCTGAGGTTCATCGATCGAAAGGTTAGTGACATCCGTACGATTCCAATCCTTGTACTTCTGTTGATCACTTTTCCTGCGCGCTTTCACGGGGATCTGCGCGCCTACGGTGGGGCATTCCCTCTTCTCTCGGTCACCGCTGTCGGACATCATCGTCTCGTGCATTGCTCATAATATAAATTCATGGTCGAATCCCATGCCGCTTACAGGTTGACGAGTCGATGAGCGATTTGGAGCGTTTCGTCCCTACGACGGTGAAGAACGTATCAACTCAGGCCTATACAGCGGCGCAGAAGGCCCCCGAGGTCGCGAGATCCATCGCCGGCGACGTGCAGCGGGCCGGGGTATTGCCCACGGCGACCGCCCTGGCCAAGGACGTGGTGGCCAGTTGCGAGCCCACCGCCAAGAAGCTGTACGCGACGTACGAGCCGGTGGCCGAGCACTACGCCGTCGCCGCCTGGCACACCTTGAACCGCCTCCCGCTGTTCCCCCAGGTAGCGCAAGTCGTCGTGCCCACCGTGGCTCACTGGACGGACAAGTACAACGCCGCCGTGACCTACGCCGCGGAGAACGGCTACGCTGCCGCCGCCTACCTCCCGCACGTCCCGACCGAGCGGATCTCCAAGATCTACTGCTCCTCCGCCGGCGGCGAGGCGACGGCCGCCGCGGCTCGCTGAAGTCGGTATGCTTTCCTCGGTCATCCAGTGATCTAGAACAATTACTAGTCCAAGTAAGCTGCTGCATCTTTCTTCCCAAGTCCATGAAGGGTTGCGGGTCCTTTGTAAGATATTATATTCTACCACTATCAACTAGAACGGAAACTGGGGTCCAGAGATCTTCCCGTTCTTGGAATCAAGAGAGTTGACCGGTAAAAATCACTGATTAATTTCAGCCCTCGCAAAATCTGGTTTCGCAGATCCAAAAAAAAAAATCCAAATTATTTAATTTCGATAAAAAAATGTTTTACTAGGTGCGGTGGGAGTTAGCGGTCTCGAGGAGGAGTCTTCTAGAAGTGTCCACGTGGCAGGGGGGGGGGGGGGAAATATGGTCTTTTGGCTAATTAAATAAATGCGCGTTGAGGGTATCGGGTAAACGGGAAATATCCGTTTGGGAGGGAACGGGTAGGGGGTTTATCGGTTGGAATCGACATCCGTAGCTTCGGGACGGGTGGGGAAGGAGGGGGGACGAGAAGATTACAAGGAGAGCTAGCAGAGAGAGAGAGAGAGAGAGAGAGAGAGAGAGAGAGAGAGGCTGAGGAGGAGGATGGCGACGTGCGGGAGCTTCCTGAGCTTCTGCGGAGCGCATCCGCGGGGGCCGCCGGGGATGTCTGCGGCTTGTGCTCCCTCGAGCTGTGCGTCGGCGGTGGCGTCTTCTCGTCGCAGGAGAGTTGCCACCAGCTGTAGCGCCAGGAGGGCGTTGCCCCCCATGCCGCCGCTTAACCCTAGGGATCCTTTCCTGTCCAAGCTAGCCTCCCTCGCCGCCGCCTCTCCCGAGGCCCTCACTTCCCGTCCGCCGTCGCAGGACCCCGACATGCCTCCGTATCTCGACCTATTCGACACCCCTAAGCTCATGGCGACCCCCGCTCAGGTGCGGACTCTCCATTTTGATGGAAATGGTGTATCCATCTGGTGTGGTTTTTTTCAGTTGTGCGGGGAATTGGAAAGAGCCCGCGTATGGAGGCGACGATGTGGATTCCTTGCTTTGGTGATATCGTTTCGCGTGTGTTATGTTACTTGACCTTTCACCCACCATCTGCTGTCCGGGTGATGATTTAAGGCCGATTTTCTGTGTTTTAGTGGATTACTCGATCTTTAACATGATACAAAACCCACCCGTTGTCTGTTTACCACGCAAAGGTGCTGATTCGGACCGTCAGTCACCTTAATATTTCGATAAGGAGAGCTTAATTTTGATGGGTTCAGGTAGTTTTGCCATTTCTATCGAGTCATAGATAGAATACATGGTAAAAAGAAGGTGCCCGTTCCAGACTAGGAACTTCTGTGATCACATCACGCGCTCGCCATTGTTAGATTTTACGCGACATGGTGTATCATTTTCAAAACCATATAACACGTTTATGCTAGTTTGACGTGGTCTATCATAAAAGCAGCTCATTTCATTTAAATAAAATTTTCAAGAGCGTTTACTGAATCATGATTCTTGTCGAATGGTCGGCATTCCCTATGTGGCGTTATTTTCTTGGAATAGGTAAGAGGTATCTGATTTTTTGAAGTCCTGGGAGAGTTTGATGAAATGATATGCATGACAATCATGAAAAATGGAAGAATCTCTTTCATGACACGTATGATCATGAAAAAGAGAAAAACCTATGATATGCAGCTGTTTACTAAACTTAGGAGGTCTGCTATTATTTTCTCTCCTCTATCTTAGCATGATTGAAGTAATGTTTCTAATGGAAGATCCAGTTCTCAGGTTTTTAGGTGAATGGTAGGCCAAAAATTATCTACAAAAAATTACATGGGTAGGCCTTTTGTTTGAAAAATAGTACACGGTTTTTCACGTTAACCGTGTGCCCCTCACTGCTATGATGTTAAACAAAGGCGATGGCATCAATTGGAGCCAGTGTGTGGATTAAAGGAGTAACAGAGAGGAGCTGCCAGGTGTATGTTATCAAATTCCTGGTCCCAGTTTACTTGAATAAAAATTCTTAATCCGTGTTGGTGTTAGGTTCTGGAAGCCATAATGGTATGACATAGACTCTCTGTATGAATGAAAATGATGCGGAAAAGAAGGTAACGAAAATTGAGAACCCAGAATAGGTTGGTGCTTGTAGCCTACGATGCTAGGTGGTTAGGTGTGATGGCCCAAATTTTACTCCCAGTGGTAGATTCTAATGTATTAATCCTCAGTGACTGTTGTTATAGGTCGTGCCTATCCTTTCTATACAGATTTTCATATATTTCCGCTTTTCTGGGATCTTTTGCATGATGTGTTGTGGTTTTAGTAAGAAAACGTTTCTAGAATGAATATCAAGCCATGCTCACTTATGTTTTAGTGGATGCATTCTTTGTCAGATAATTTTTTCGACTAATCCTTCTCCTAAAAACAGGTTGAGCGCTCTGTTTCTTACAATGAGCACCGGCCAAGGAAGCCACCTCCAGACTTGCCGTCTCTACTTCTCCATGGTCGAATCGTTTATATCGGGATGCCAGTATGTATTTGTCTCTGTGATCTAGCATAATTTATCTTGCAAAGTATCATCCTTGTAGATATGCTCTGTGAGAAGCAATATCTCTCAAAAATTTATTAGCTTTTTCGTTTACTACCCATTATGAGATCCCTGCTCATATATTCCTATTATAATCCACTCCCTACATGCTGTGCATCGAGTGGTTCGTGTGTTCAGCGATTATGCTTGTTTTAAAGGCTTTACTTCAGATTTTAGAAATGCAATACAAGATTCATGACAGCATTTTGCATGTGTATGATAAGGGAAAGGACTAAACTGTTAGTTATGTGCAATCAGCTATTTAGCATCTCCTTCCAGCTGGTGACCAATAGCCGATTTTAAGTTAAATTCCATATTAGCTGTAGTTTTACATCATTTTAACCGCCACCCAAATCTGGTTTTGAATAGGCACAATCACAACACCCACCAACACAGGGTGTATGTGTGTGCATCTATCTGTGTATATGTCCCTTAGTGTACCTGGCAATGGAAGGAGCACCCTCTTTGAGTTGATTCTAATCTATTTTTGCATTTCACTTAGCTCTCTTTTGTCTTCTAATTCCCTTAAGATATGTTATCTAAGCCTTCATATGCAGCGCCACATTAGCATATTAGATCTTCTGGTTAGATGTGTGGGATTAGTAGCATATTTTTTTAACATCCTGTTAAACCACTTCTAGTGTTTGGATAAAGTTCGACGTTTAGTTATAATTCTGCTTTCGAGGCTTACAGCTTGCTGGCTTATTGGTGTTTTTTTTAGCAGTCTCCAGCTAACTGACTGTAGTGAAATTGGTTGGCTTCCTTGCAAGTGTTTGTAGGGGTCAAGCCTTAACGTTTTTATTTAGAATATTCCAGAAAAATGTAGTGGATCTTCTTTACATTTTTTTCACGTTTTAATCTTGCTTTGTTGGCCCTATTTGCCGGAATTCTAACGCCTGTCGTAAATATAGCGGGTTTAAATTACACTCGTGGACCCATATTGTGATAAAAACTACTATGAGACACAGATGTCCCTTGTTTGAACCAAAGAGTTTTAAGATAGCCTCTGTGGAGTATTTTCAGGGGTAGTTTTGACTAATTAAGCTCAATTGGATGTACACATATGGTAAAAAATGAAAAAATGAAAAAAAAATATTAAAGTCTTGAGGAAGGATTCATTTAGAGTCTATTAATGTGCACGCACAAAAGCTCAATAATCTATCTTGTGTGAACTACAGGAATTGGTGTCTTCCTCATCGTTGAACTTTTTCTACATAAGAGACTGTAAACTGTACGGCATCTTTTTCCAGTCAAGTGTTGCTGGATTACATCCTTTGTTGATCGCATGTAGGCACCGAAGTTTCTTTGGTAATCTCCCTGTTAAATTCATTCATTTGTAGTGTCTATACGAATTTTTTTTTGGCCGACCTTTCTAGCGTGTAGGATGGAATGAATTCAGATCGAGAAAGATTGAATTTTTTGTGGTTGGCAATTTAGGATATTCTCACAGATATAGGCAACTATATAGGAAGTGATTCTCCAGAAATCAAGTGGTTCTGTTTGTTGCCCTCCATTTTTATATCCAGTGAGCTGTCAGAAATTATTTCCAAGCTCTTGTTGGAGTTTGGACATATTTTGTCGAATTTGGATAGTGGGCAATTTAGGATATTCTCAGATATACAGGCAACTATATAGGAAGTGATTCTCCAGAAATCAAGTGGTTCTGTTTGTTGCCCTACATTTTTATTTCCAGTGAGCTGCCAGAAATTATTTCCGAGCTCTTGTTGGAGTTTGGGCGTATCTTGTCGAATTTGGATATTGTGCACCGTGGTTGTCTTTCTCCTCTTTTTAGTTAGCATGCATTGTGATTATTTAGCATCCAACCCTCTGGTGACTTTATGCCAATGGTGATGGTGATACTAGGGAATGGTTAGTTATCTGATGGGTAATTTATTGGGTATGCTAATATTAAAGTTCTCCACGTTTTAAAATTTTTCCCCTTTCGTTTTATTCAATCTCGTTGCATGTGGTTGACAGTAAGCTTGTACTCCAATAACCGTTTTCTTTGATCAGTTGGTGCCGGCTGTCACAGAACTTGTGATTGCGGAGTTGCTTTATCTTCAATGGATGGATCCTAAGGAGCCAATTTATCTGTACATCAATTCAACTGGAACCACTCGTGATGATGGCGAAACAGTACGAGCTTCTGATCCGTTTTGATAAAGTTTCGCATATTGTTTGATAAATAGATCGTATTCCTGATGTTTATCATATCATCTGACGGACAAAAACATGCCAAAATCAAAGAACCTAGAATAAGCATTTTAAGTGACAAAGAAACTATCTTAGTCAACCATATTTATTCTCTCTGTTTCAGGTCGGAATGGAGTCTGAAGGTTTTGCCATCTATGATGCAATGATGCAGCTAAAAAATGAGGTAAATTATTTCATGCGCGGCAATCAGATAATTCAGTTCTGTCTGTTTTTTGGCATAAATTCAGTTCTTCTGTTTTTTTGCACCTTGGAACACTTCCTAGGCCATCTGGGCATAAAATGCATGTTAATTTCCGTTCAACTTTCTCAACGACCGAGTCCCCTTTATATATTCTACGAAAAGATTGAACGTATTACCCGTTTTTGTTTCTTTTTTTTTTCTTTTTTTTTCTCACACTTTCGATTCTAACATTTAGGAGCAAATTAGTATTTCGGAACTTGTCTGCTGAATTTGGAGAACACATATTTTCCTTAGTTTCAGTCATCCCTCAGCACGTTTCTTGAAAAAAGAAAAAGAAAATATTTAAATAAATAATGAAAAAATTAAAACCAATGGAATCCGACAAGTCAGTGTATTAGTTAAAAAATAAGTGATGTCTGGGGATCGTGTCTACCTTTAAGTAGTCATGCCTACACCAAGGGTTTTCAAATAATCTCATCTTTAAGTAAAGCAATGTATACATCTACAATTTCATGAAGCAAAGAGAACATGATTAGACAGACCTAAAATCCGTAGATGCTGCATCTGGAGGAGAATTTCATCATCTCTTCCTATTTTCATCGTTTCCAGATCCAAACAGTGGCTGTTGGAGCTGCAATAGGTCAGTCTTGCCTACTTCTTGCTGCAGGAAAGAAGGGTAGAAGGTTTATGATGCCGCATGCAAAGGGTATAACTGTGCTATTAATTTTTTTATTTTTTATTTTTGGTATTTCTTTGTTGGGTAAGGGGAATTTGTGAACTTCCTAAACGACCACATTTGCTCTGCGCAGCTATGATTCAGCAGCCTCGTGTTCCATCATCTGGGCAGATGCCTGCAAGCGATGTACTTATTCGTGCTAAGGAGGTAAATGTGGCCATTCTTATAGGATCAACCATGCATCTATTGATTGATTGGTGCAATGTAGATATCATACATGCTTTCCATTTAGGGCAAACCCCTTTCATTAGAAAAAAAAAGAGTCAAAATAAGTCAGGAATAAAGATGATCTAAGATATATTTCTACATAAAAAAAACCAAGAAAAAAGCAGCTGCTCTCTTACAATCTCCATGGTATCACCAAATTCGGCATAGCTGACTTGATCGTTTGACTTTATTTCCTTTTTTCTATCTGATTATCTCATCTTTTAGTTCACTGATATTTGTGCTTGCAATCATTTCTCTCGGATCGTTTCCTTGTTTTCATATGACCACTAACCTACCTATTCAGCAGCATGATAGATATTTCATAATTGTTTCAGGTTATTAATAACAGAGACACACTGGTTAAGCTCCTTGCTCGACACACCAGAAATGTGAGTATATATGACAGAGAACTCCTCCATAGTAAGCTTCAGGGTTCAAGTCTCTCACTAGATTCCTTCTCAGTCTGTTGAGGAGGTATCGAAGGTGATGCGCAGGCCATACTACATGGACTCCATGAGGGCCCTAGAATTCGGCGTCATCGACAAGGTACAACGCCGTAGCTGCACATAATCTGTTCTACGGAATGCACGGATCGGCGATGGTCGCCTGACCCGTTGACTTAAATTTTCTTCTCTGCAGATCCTCTGGCGTGGTCAAGAGAAAATCATGTCAGCTGTTGCCTCGGCCGAAGAATGGGACCGCCGATCAGGCATCAAGGTCGTCGACGGGATGTGATATGTTGAAAAAAGAAATGATTTTTACCGATTCATCCGCTCAGGTAATTATCCCAACTCTGATTGGATTTCTTGCCGCTTTGAGAGACCAAAATCAGTCAAACGACTAAAAAGGGAATGTGGCTCTGGGTCGAGAAAAAAGTCAACCTTTTCTTATGTATCCGCAGGCGATGATGCCGTCGCTCTACGAACACAAAAGGACGAGATGCGGCCGCGCTCCGATCCCCGTGGGTGGCGGCGGCAGATATTTAGGGACTAACAAAGTACGTGCTTTGCAAGCTGGTAGATTTTTGTGATCGTTCAGGAAGACATTTATCTGTATCAAAAAATTTCCCTTTCAATCGTGTAAAAAAAAGAAAATTTCGCATTATCATTGCTTAAATTCCACATCTCTCTCTCTCTCTCTCTCTAGAAGGGTAGCTCAGCACCCATTTCACAGAACCATAATCTCGGTGAAATTCCTTCATTGGGTATATGATCAGATGAACGGAGAAGGCTCTGCCCATGAGTACAAAGCCGACTAATTGGTGATTATGAGCCACGGCCTTGGCTTTTCCTAATACAGCAAAAAACGTTCCTTCATAAATCTGGGTGGGTCTTCCTCCTGCTGCTGCAAAAAGCTCACATTTTTGGGAGTCCTTTCCTTATCTGGGATGATGATCTCAGAAGGGCTCGCCGACGCCGACGACGGTCCGGTAGAGGTACAGAGCGACGGGGAGGAGGCCGAGGAGGCCGATCTGGTGGAGCTCATCGGAGGTGCTCGTCCTCAGTGTGATCTGCCCGCTGAGCTTGTTGTTCATTCCAATCCGGGCCACCATCTTTGTCCTCCGGCCCACGGAGAACTGGCTCTGCAAGTTTCCCCCCACCGCCAGGTCGCGGCGCCACCGCATGAGGGACAACCCCAAGCTGGCGGCGCCACCGCCGCCGAAGTCCTCTGCCTCCCGCAGCCGCACCTCCACGTTGAGCCCGTACGCCGTCTCCCCCTGCGCGCGGACGGCGCCGCCACTGCCGGCGATGGCCATCGTCTTCCCCACGGCGAGCCGATCCTCCACCTTCATCCCCACCGCAACGGTCTCCCCCAGGACGGCGAGGCACATCCCGGCGGCGGTCTGGTTCTTCCTCCTCAAGTTCCTGAACCTGGTCTCCCCTCTGAGGATGACGGCCAGCTGCTTCCCCACTGTCTGCAGGTCAACGCCGGCGAGGGTCGAGTGGCGGCCATCGCCGTGCCTAGTGCAGAGGGAGGAGTCCAGATGGATGTTGAAGTCCTTCTTGTCCTTGGTGATCTGGGCGGCGATGGTAGCCGGAAACCTGCCGGCGACGGCGAGGCTGTCCTCGACGCTGACGCTGTCGTAGCCGCTGTCGTGATCCCAGCCATGGCTGTCAAGCACCGGCCTCACCACCAGCTCCGACGACGGCTCGAGGAACCTGTACAGGTACGCGGGGCCGTCGCCGTCGAAGGACGGCGGCAGCACCATGTCCGGCAGAGGCACTGGAATGGTCGCCGGAGCAGCAGCGTCCTGGTCTTGTTCTTCGTCTTCCTCTTGCTGGTCCGTCTTTCCTCTCCTCTTCATCTCCTTCATCCTCCGAAGCTCCGCCTTGCGCTGTTTCCTCTGCAGGAGCTTCACTCGGTAGTCGTACTCGTCGAAGTAGGACTTCCTCTGGGCTCTGGTGAGCTTGGCGATCTGAGCTTTCCTCAGGGGCTTGAATGGCGGAAGCTGGTCGTACTCGTCGACCCCTTCTTCATCTTCCTCGTCGGAATCAGACAACCCACCCAGCTCCTCCACGTCGGAGTCCATGGAGATCTTCGGATGGTCCCTGGACTGCAGAAGGGAGGACAGAAAGAAGGGCAGCGGCGGCGACCGGAGACGGACACCGAACAGCTTCGCCGGAGAAGCCTCCTGGAGCTTGAGGACGGAGTTGGCCTCTGATAATATCTTCGAGGAGTAGCAGAGAAGGAGCAGCTGGTTCCTCCAGCTGATCCCATTGGGGAGCACCCTCTGACCTTCCCTGTTCCTCCGGCAAGACGGGTGGTTCTCCACTAGCGCCACCGGGTTCATCAGCCGCATGTCGCCGGAGACCCGCCGGATCCCCTGCTGCACTGCTCGGGACCTCTGATCGACGAAGACCTCGTAGCTCATGGGTCCTCCGGCGGGGCCCTCTGGCGGGGTGGAGGCAGCGTGGGTGAGGGCGATGATGGCGTTGAACCAGACGGAGGAGCCCAGAGCGGCGGCGATCGATCGGAGCAGCGGCAGGTCGCCGGAATCCCAAGGCGGCGAGTCGACCCGGTCGACGTAGAGGACGATGTCCGGTGGGAACCTCCTCGTGTACCTCTTCACGGCGGCCAAGATCCTCTGGTTCGCCGCCTGGTCTGCCATGGAAGGCGCTCTGAGGCCGGGGGTGTCGGCCACCCGGAGCTGGACGCCGTCGACGGTGCCGACGATCTCCTTTACGGAGGCCGTTGCCGGAGCAAACGCGCTCGTGGTGGCTCTCTCCTCGCCGAAGATGGAGTTTATGGTGGCGCTCTTGCCGACTCCGGTCTTCCCGAGAACGAGGATGTTGCAGGAGAATCGCAGAGGCTGGTCTCCTCCTTCCTGTTCCAGCCGCAACGCCACCTGCTTCGAGCTCTCGAAGCTGAACAACGCCGCCGCCGCACGGCCGATCTGGCTTCGCCGCCGGATTCCCTCGGCGAGGCCGAGCCGGTAGAGGACCTGCGCCGCCACCCTGTCCTCGGGAGAATGGCCGAGCCTGAGGACGAGCCGCAGGAACTTTACCCTAATTTCCTCGATCTTCTCCTGCAACTGCCGCTCCTCCTCGCTGATCCCGTTCTGTGGTTCTCCGGCGTCGGTGGCGGCGGCGACGTCCCGGGAGGGCGGCGGGATTGGCCTGGCTCCGCGGGGAGCTGCTGGTCTCAGAGATGGACCGGAGGATCCTAAGCCTGCCGGAGAGCCAGCAGCGGCCCCGCCGCCGCCAGTGGCGGAGGAGGAGGAGGACTCGCCGGTGACCGCCTTCAGGAGAGAAGCCAGTGCAGCCCGATCGAACGGCTCCTTCCCCTCTTCCTCCTCGTCGGACTCCGCTTCGTCGGAATCCGAAGCAATCTCCCCTTCTGCTTGTTGATTCGTGAGCTTCTCAGAGCTCTCTGGCCTGGGCTTCGGATGTTCATCGGTAGATCCTGCAACATGTTCTTCCCCCTCGTTTGGATTCATGGGGATTCCATCACTCAGATCAACTACCCCGGAAGCCATGGCCGCCTCAGAGGAAACCTCGGGGTCTAAACGATCGGACTTCTGCAATGGAGCCGCACCATTCCTTTCGAGCTCCTCTTCCTGTTCCCGAGTTTTGACCTCATCAAAAGAACCAGCACCGGAATTGGCCTCGCGATCCTCTGACAGATCTTGCTCAACCTCATCTCGTTCCTCCTCGGCAACCTCCTCGATCGAAAGTTCACGATCTCCAGAATCAGCAGCCGCTGATGCTTCATTCTCCTCGGCAACCTCCTTAATCGAAAGCTCACGGTCTCCAGAATCAACAGCCGCTTGTGCTTCATTCTCCTCGGCGACCTCCTTGATTGAAAGCACAAGATCTCCAGAATCAACAGCCAGTGGTGGTTCATCCTCCTCGGCTAGCGGCTTCTCTTCCTCTACCTCGCCACAGCCAGAAGAACTTGCCTCTGCTTCAGAGGGACGAGATCCCGCAGCATCAACAGGAACAGCTATCATCGTTTCAGTGTCATCTCCACCTTCCGTTTTTGCTCCAGCAGCTTTCAACTCCTCCGGCTTCTTCTCTTCGCCCTCGTCGAGATCCTTTCCACCGCCACCCTCCTCCACCTCCGCCGCCATGGAGTCGGATAGAAGCTCTGGAGATCCCTCCAAGCTCGTCCCCTCCCCTAGCGGCAGCGGCGGCGAGTCGTACTCATCGGCGACATCTTCCTCCTCCTCGGAGACTCTCGCCTTCGGCACGGAGGTGGCGCCGCCGGGGAAATCGGAGTAGACAACGTCGCCGCCGAGCTCGTCCTCCGGCGAGAAGGCCTGCTCGGAGGCGGTGTCGAACTCGGGCTCATCCTCGCCGCTGAGGAAGCACTCCTCGCCGGAGGAGGAGGAGGAGGAGGAGGAGGAGCGCAAATCGGCGGTGGGGTCGCCCTCCTCGTGCGGCGACAAGGGGCCCTCCCCTCTCGAGGAAAGCGAGCCGGTCGCCGTCTCCGGCGGCTCCGGCTCCATGTTTGTCTTCGAGCGCCTGCTTGCTACCCGCCGGCGCACATGCTGAAGCAGCGACGATCAAGAAGACGACGGGGAGGGAGAGACAAAGGAACCGACGAGTCGGTTCGGCGAGTAGGAGAAATGGGATCTCTCTCTTATCTTCTTGTCGGTTCTCCCAGGCTGTCACGGCGGTTGAGGGCGGCGGCGGCGACGGCGGCGGCGACGGCGACGGCGACGGCGACGGCGGCAGGAGGAGGAGGAGGAGGAGGAGGAGGAGGAGGATGGATAGGGAGGGCGGCGGCGGAGGAAGCGGGTGAGCCACACGAAAGGGGGGAAGGGACGAACTGCGCACGTGTCTCTTACCTTCTTATAGAAAGTCGACGGAAATTGATAATAAGCCACGTCATTATTAGCAAATATTAGCAAAAATCATTTATGGGGTGGGCCCGACTCAACCAATAGCCCTCCCTCTTTCTAAGGCGGTATATGGAGGGACGGGCTTGGGCTTGTGAGCTGGCCCGTAGCCCACTTCTCGTGCTTTTATCTGAGCCTTGCTAGGACGCCAAGTCCCGATGGGCTTGGAGACACTCGGCCCAGCCCGGGAAATATGTACCTCCAGAGAGTTTATGAATTTTACCCGTCGAAAATGTCTAATAAATAGGTTATCAAAGACTAGTTAATTATATAAATCCCCTTCGTAGTAATGAGCGGCTGCGATTTGGATATCGGACAGTGTGGCGCCCAATAGGAAACCGGGGGTGGCTGACCTGGGTTGGTGGGGCCCACGGCTCAACAGCCACGTACCAGTGATACGGCAAAATGGACCGGTCCGGTTCGCTTTCCTGGAGATTGAACCGGTGCGGGATGGTAACGGCTCTCCCCGCCAGTGGGCCCCAGATTGATCCGGTAAATCTCCTGTCAGCTCAGTTACTTCTCTATCCGGGAAGTGCGAGGTGACCGGTAAACTGGCAACAGCTTGCGGCCACCAAAGCGCGACCGGTTGTCGACCGGATCAAAAACCTAGCCGTTGGGTGGTTTTCAAATTTCGAAATCCGCACCTGATAAAATGGTGGAGAATACGAGGCTTGGTCTCTTCACTCGCTGTGTTCTTCTGTCTCAGGTTGGGAAAGGGGGAGCCAGGAAGACACAGAGAGAGACGAAGGAGAGGAGAAGGGGGAGAAATGGCTCTCAGATCTCTGGACAACGCTCTGCCGGCCCTGCAGGAACGCCCCAGGAAGATCGCCAAGGTCGCCGCTGTCAAGGCCGAGGATCTCGTCGTAGCGACTGATGAGAACTTGGCGCCGCCGGCCAACGCCGCGGAGGCGTCAGTGGAATACGTCGCGTCCTGTGACTTGCTGCCGCTGGATGATCCTGAGACGAAGGTCGAGGTATGATACGGTGCCTCTGCCGTTCTCGGGCCTACAATTCCCGCGTGTGTTTCTGATAACGATCGTCGTGCGAGGATGAATTAGGAGAAGTTGACGTATTTTTGTAGGTATTTCGTGACGATGATGCGCAACCTAGTTGTCAATACTTCTCTGATCCGCACTTCGAATGGTCTTTTTATTTTCACCCATTGAATTATTTCCTGCTAGATACGCGTGAATCGCATTGCGATTCGTATTTAGGACTTGTTTGACGCCCTGTTTTCCGTATATCTAATTATCTAAAAGTTGGAATTTCCTGCGGTGTGATGCATCTAAAGCTCATATAATCTAATACCTCTCGATTTTCTCTTCGTTCAAATAGAGATTGTTGGAAGACTTGGATTCTAAGGACTGGCTAAAAGTGTGTGAAGCTCTGAATGTCGTGCGTCGGCTCGCATTGCATCACTCCTCCTTGATGCTTCCAATTCTGTAAGCAATCATTATACTCCCTTCACTACACCGTACAGTTCCAAGTAGAAGGAGCAAAGTCCACCGTTCCTTTTAATTGTTTGTTTCCTGATCAGTTTTGCTTCGGTTAATTTCAAATTATATCACATCCACCATGGAAAACTAGGCGGCCGTTGACGAACGTAATCAACTAATTGAAATTCTGGCGGAACTTGTTCTAAGAACATAGGGAAGATTATTCTACGAACAGCAGAAAAGTCCTCAGAATAATTTGCTATTGCCTAATTATATGATTAGTTTGCATCTTCCTTGGCTCACGAACAGCAGAAAAGTCCTTAGAGTAATATGCTATGGCCTAATCCTTATGATTAGTTTGCCTCTTCTTTGGTTCACGAACAGCAGAAAAGTCTCTGTATTGGTGTGATTTAGTTCATGACCAAGAAAAATCACAACGCAATCCACAAGGGATGGTGAAGGTAGTCGAACGGGGGAGATAACAACAAAGAGGGTATTGCTGTGTCTAAAATTTGGTCCCATAAATGTAATCTAGGATGGAATCTAACCCTAGTACACCAATAATTCGTCAAGACAGACGATGACAGATTCTGGGGGGAAGATGGTCGAGAGTTAACAGCTGCAAAATACCGCCAAAAGGAGATTGTCACCGGTTGTTGAAGACGAGCCTGGTGTCAACGAACGTCGCAAATGCCCGACTGAAACCTCAAAGATTGTCACTTTACTTTCAAGTCTTCCCTTTACTTTATGTTTTCTGTCGCCTAAAAAGGCACAAACCAGAAGTTTTTCTCATTCTGATGTGATGAGCAACTCAGCTTGAGAAAGGGATTGGATTGATGAGTTAAAAATGACAGGTCAACTGATTTTCCTGGCGCAAACGTTCATACGCAGGGACAAAGTGATGCTGGTGACGATGAAAGCAATGAAAAATCCTAGGAGCGCGCTGTGCAAGACCTCAATCATGGCTTCAACTGATATCATCTCCTCCTCCTTGGGTCGTACGCTGCTGCTGAACAAGGATGGCGCTTTTGATCAATTGGTCAGGCTTCTTATACGCGCGCTGGATGTTTATGAAAACCACTCTGCCTCTAGACCTGCCTTGCCAGATAACTCTGTCCCTAATTCTTCCACATGACACCCTCTACAGCTCCTACAGCTTCTGCTCAAGGCCTCTCAGGACAAGAAGTTCGTCTGCGAAGAAGCAGAGAAGTCGCTGCACGAGATGGCACGCTCCCTTCCTCCCATCCCCCTGCTCAAGAGGCTCCATCTTTACGTCAAACATGCGAATCTCAAAGTGAGAGCGAAGGCTGCCGTCTACATGTCCCACTGCGTCTCCAAGATGGTAAACAGCCGTCCTTCCCATGCAGCAGAAGTTAGACTCGTGGGTTCCTCTTGACTCCTCTGCCCCAATTATTTTCTAGGACTTTGGAGTGATGAAGGAGTTTGGACTGGGCAACATTCTTCACATGGCCGCCGATCTGCTGAACGACAGGCTGCCGGCGGCTCGTGAATCGGCCCGTGGCATGATCAACTCGGTGCACCGAGCATTCTGCGGCGATCACGGACGAGGGGAAGAAAGAAACGGATCAGAGCCGTCGCAGTTGTGGCAGGACTTCTGCTTCTCCAATCTGCGCCCGAGTGCAGCTCAATCCATTGCAAAGATCATCTTGCAGTAGAGAGAGGAAGGCATAGATGGATGGAGTTCTAGCCGTAGCAATCGATCAAGATATGGGTATGGTGATGCAAGCTTCTAATTGCATCTCTTCTGTGGGGATTTCGGTGACAACTAAAACGATTTCTTTCAACGTCAACGACGTGTTTTATCCCATCAGTCAAGGTGTTCTTGAGTGACTTGGTCAACCCAGTTGACTTATAAATACTTAATTAACCATTTCAACACATCATTTTCTTGAGTGATTAAGTCATTAAATTGCACAGGCTCGGCTGGAAATACTCGAAGATAACCCCATCAAAACATCTATGCCTCTAATTGTCCGTAAGAAAAAGGGAGACCAACCGCCATTCGAGCACTCAAACTGATGATATTTGGATGTCTCTCATATGAGCGTCTAAGTTTTTGTAGGAGTAGCTAGCAGTCACCGTTCACCTTCAAGAGCTCGCAGCAGCAGACGCGGCGGCGGCTATGCTTTGCTTGCTTCCTCTCCACTCTTCTCCCCTGCCGGCTCGATCTTCTCCGCTTCATGATCTGGAAGGAGGCCGATTTTAAGCTCACCAGTGGGGATGATCCTCCAGAAATGGCGAGATGGGTATTAGGGTTCTTTACCGTCCTCATCGCTGTCCTCCAGATCATCATCATCCAAGGCATGGCTGTGATCGAGACCATGGTCGTGGCCCTCGCCAGCCCCTCCCATGTCACCGAATTTCTACACGGAACGATTAAGCGCGGGAGATTAGTTCTGAAGAACCGTCATTTCAAGGAAAGTCAAAAGGGAACCTCACTGGCTCATACCGAGAAATCCATCCCTCCGAAGTCCAGGTCACCTCCCCCTGTGCCTGAAATGAACCACAAGTGGCGGGGTCAACGACGTCAACCGAAATTATATAGATCAGATTAGAAGGCTCCAACAGTTTTGACTCCGTTTGGTGCCCTGACGTGCTGAGGTGATTGGACAAGAATGACTATGAATGTGTCAGAAATGGTGGATAGTGAACTCTTACTAAAAGCTAAACACTGCGGCGAAAGCATTGAGAGAATGGATTACCAACGGGAAGCAGATTGATTACAAGATATAATAACCCAATTGACCTTGTCGAATAATTCAAATTCCGAAGAAAACTACTAAGCCGGGCATGTCAAGAGAGCAGTCATTTTTTGGCTTTAATTTTAAACTTTAATCTTATTCAATGGTTTATATTTATATTGATTTTACTGCAAGTCAAAAAGCAGAGGAGTAAAAGGAGACTGACCGGCGTCCTCGTCCTCGTCCACCCATTTGTCCCAATCAACTTTGATGTAGTGGGGTGGCTTGGCATCACCTCTCAACAGCTTACTCCACCAAGTCTTCTCTACTTTTTCAACCACACAAAAGATATTTCTGACACCTATATTTATTTTGCTTTCCTGAATGATCAATAGAAAAGGAAGAAATGATTAAGATCATTAACTTAAATTGAATGAAGCATCACCACATTGGGAAATCCGTCCGAGAATCATTACCTCTACATTAACCTTATCATGTAGATCCAATTTCAGTTCGTAGAGGTGATTTTCTGCACCAGCATTTGCAGAAAAAATCAACGCACCCTCAGGTTCAAGATGAATTTTCACAGCTTTGGCATCTGGTAATAGGATAGTAATAAAAACTTTGTCGACCCTCTCAGCCCACTTCACTTCTGGATGACGACTAGACAAATTGAGAGAATATATGAGTAAAAATGATGGGTGAATAATTTTTTTTCCCTTTTCCTAGTACCAAAGACAATCGACGAATAAAATACAGCAATATAATTCGATTTCATATCATTATTATCTTTTTGTGACAACAAAAACAGTTATTGAAAGAAGTTTCTTGTGACTAAAGTCAAGTTCAGTTACTGCAACTGAGACTTTAGGCCACCAATTGGCTAAAAACAACGAAAAAAATGGGATCTTCATTGCTGACATATAGAGATCTCGCCATAATGTTTATCTGAGGAAAAACGAACAGGGCCCAAGTACAACACGCGGGGACTCAGGAAATTAAAGGAATGATGACGAAGAAAAGGCATCCGAATGGGATAATAAAATAAATGTATAGGGGAAAGAATGATAATAGGAATGAGAAGTTCTGGAAAGGAACACTATAAGCTAGAAAACTAATTCAAAAATGGAGGGGAAATGGCGATTCAGAATGGTGATTGGCACAACGAATGGGAAAGGAAAGAGAGGAAACAGGTGGAAAAAGACAGGTAAAGAGGGAAAACCACATTGGCAAGACAGTAAATGAGGAGGGATATGGCACGGGAAGCTGATGGCAGTAGGTAGACAAAAGAAGAATCCCGTGCACAAAGGACTCCAGAAAGAGCGCTAGAATAGTAGGGTGGCATGCTGACCAGGAGATGGATAAGTGGGACAAAGACAAGACCAAAGTTCTCATGCCAGCACCATAGGCGAAGCGAACAAGAAGTTTTCTTACTCAAGGGAGAAATTTGATTTAGATATAGAGTAGACTGCAGAGATCCATTTGCAGCAATATCATTGCTGACCAGAAACAAGCCCTATTACGAATGCTTTATTAAATCTGATTTCCTTACATAGATTCCCAAATGCGAACATGTGACCTATATAATTGTAATAACCTACCACTTAAAAAAAATCCTTACAATTCTCGATAAAAAGAAACACCGAAAAGAGTCAACAACGGAGGGGAAAATCAAATTATCCATCAAAAAAATTTAAGCGGTTTTTTAACGCCAAGCAATCAACCGTTTAAAATACACCAATATCACAATCTCCGAGTCTAGCTAACTTTACGTTCATAACCAACTGAATTTCAAAAGCCAAATATTAGGCTTTTTAAAAAAGATGAAGCCCTAGTGATCACATATATAGTTGCCACTTGAGGCGCAATAACTTGCATATAGATTGAAAAAAAAATGGTATTATATTATGCATCTGAACCAGAAACTATACATACACTCTAGCCCACGAAATAAACACTCTTGCCCATGAGAAACTCCAAGAGATAAACAGTTAAGGTATAAAACAACTACTAGCCATTTCGTGGAAAAACCCTACAATTTAAATTTAAAACGTAAAACCTTCAAAAAAAGGATCACATATCAATTTTCATCACACTTAATCAGCAAGACTTTGCTCAACCCGTTTGACACACTTCCACGCAAACTAACTGAAATTTCTAGGTTAAACGAGACAAAAAGTCGCAAAACCCAAAACCTAAGCATCCAAAGCTCAAAAGAGAGAAAAACATCAAGCAACTTAGATATTGAAAAAGGGGAGAAAAAAACAACATCAACCATGGCGACACTTTTTTTAAAAAATTGACCACATGAGGGAGAACAAACACCACAAACGCAACATCCACAGCGCCACGAGGCGAGCGCCGAACAGGATGGTAACTCACCTCATTCTGCGGCTACGGACACGAAGGGACGGGAAGAACCCGGGGCAAGAGCCAAACCCTAGTGCTCGCGCCGACAGACAGAGGAGCAAACTCGCAGCGGCTTCCTTTCGCAGCGTCTTCGAGAAGTTACTTGTAAGCACCAGTACGGTCCAGGGGGATCAATCAAATTACACAAATACCCCCAGTATTATCAAAGTGGGCCCCCACCATCTAGTGAGCTTAGCCATTTGGACCCAGCCAGTATGCAGTTGGGCCGAACCCATTTTGGGACCTGGGTCTTGAACCCATTTCAGTTGCCGAGATCTCTGTCCGACCCTGCTCTTCGCCCGAGTGGTCAACGCCGTAGATGGAAAGTCACCGTTTAACCCAAAAAAAGGCAGATTTCTATATAATTATTTATTCGTATATCAATAGTTTTAGTAATAATAATATATCGTAGCAAATGGGCACTGAAGAAACGCACAAAATAAGACGATGGAGGGTCAAAATCCGGCCTCTGATTAATACCACAAGTCAACGCCCACGCCCAGAACAAGTTTGGCATTCTGTCCAGTCAATGCCAGTAAGAGGCCGAGTCAACGTCGACCAAAAAAAAAATACTGACAGATCAATCTTACCAAAAATGGTAAGATATAGCCGCCTCACACACACCACACAACAAGCGAGAGAGAGAGAGAGAGAGAGAGAGCAGAAATGGAAGCTCAGGGACGATGACGAAAATACACAGAAAACTAGCAGGGTGGGGGGGAGATGAGAGCTACCCAACAACTCAAGCGAGCTCCCAATCCGGAAGGAGGGGCTCCTCCCATAACGGCCTTTTGATTCCAACCGAACCACGGTTCCTGGTCGGGCACCTGGTGCGGTTCCTTCCACCGAGCCACGGCTGCACCCACCGAGCCCTCCAGCCAGCTGGCGGAGCCAAGCCCGGTGGTAACCACCTTCGCCAATTTGACTGGTTGACCACTGTGCCGCCGCCAGTTTGACTGAACACAAGAAGAAAAAGAGATCAACCCAGCTGGCGGCCACTCACTCGGCCCTCAGATTCAGTATCTCCTTGGCGGTTCTCCTCCTGAAGTATTCCATGTCGTCCTGCAGCAGCAAAGAACCAGATGTAGCTTCAGCGCACTCCAGAGAGAGAGAGAGAGAGAGAGAGAGAGTGAAGCTCACCTGTTGAAAATGGAGAGTCAAACCTCGGCTGAAGAAGTCGGCGTACTTGACCATGAACATCCCGCAGTCCCACCTGCGCAGAATCGGAGGGATGATTCCCAGTGAAAAGCAGTTGACCCTGAATGCCGCCTCTTTCTCAATGATTCTCGGAACCCACCAAACATATATATTCTTTTTCAAAGAAAAAAAACAAACAAATTTGGGTTTACCCATTTTCCTGGAGCGGGAGATGGTCAACGGCCCCGAGCTTCCAGGAGGTGACATCAATGATCTTGTTGGTCTTGTCCTTCACCTCGTCCACTATATATCTAGCCTGACCCACGCAAGCAGATCGTTTAGAAACCGACCAAGCACAGAGAATGATTTCTATTCTAATAAAAGGAATAAATCATAAGATGACTATCAACTTCACACACATTAATCAGAAGAAAGGGGGCGTTGACTATACCAGAACTTGCAGAACATAATCATCCCAGCCCCCAAGGGAATCGAGATAGATGAGCTTCTCGTCCTTCATGTCGATCACGGCCATGCACCAGTGAATTTCCTTGTGGATGGGAACGAAAATCTGAAGAAGAAAGAGAATAAGGAAGCAGAGGATCAGAAGCCGGCATGGTGGAACAAGTGAGGGAAGCCAGAAGGTGCCGTTGCAACTTTACTTTGTCGCACTCAATGAGCCCGTACCCTAGCTTTCTTTGCGACGTCCATCTTCTGACAGCTTTAAAATCGTAGACGTCCCCCCCACCAGTAAGCTGTGAAGAAAAGTCAACCGCCCATGGCTCAGATCTTAATGACATGCAGTCAGATGGCGATTCAGGGAGAAATATGACTAGAAGAAATTATGTGGAGATAGAGAGAGAGAGAGAGAGAGAGAGAGAGAGAGAAGTGTAATACATGCCGATTGATTATTTAGTGGGTCTAAGTCTGTATCATTATTACCAAAAATATTCATACAACGGCTGAGTATTTAGTGGGTTCAGCTCTTAATCATATGCAGTCAGAAAGTGATTCAGGGAGAATATGACTAGAAGAAATTATGTGGAGAGAGAGAGAGAGAGAGAGAGAGAGAGAGAGAGAGAGAAGTATGATACATGCCGACTGATTATTTAGTGGGTCTAAGTCTGCATCATTATTACCAAAAATATTCATAAAACGGAGCATATCAGCGGAATCAGATTCTATGGTACATGGAAAAACACCCCACCAAGGATGGCAATTCTAACCCTTCTCCCAGATTTTACTGAGCAGATGAAAAGTGGGAGGCCCTATCACGATGAGAATGGCATTCAGAACAGGTTAAGATGTGAGAGATGGATCACACATCAGAATGTTCTGAGTGGGGCAAATCCTTCAACGCGAGGCATTGGATCCGAGAGAGGGACTGTTCATATAAATCTAGCATCCATGGATTAAACTATGAATAACATGTCGCAGAAAAAGTAGAAATCTGAGATGATATTTCGAGCGTTCAGATGTAAATTACTATCCCTAGTTCCAAAACGAGTAAGGTTCAGAGAGCCCCTATTTGGAAAGCTCTTAACCTGCCTTATCCATCATCAAAATACTCCCCGAAATGAAGATAGAACCATCAGTGAATAACAATGAGGAACAAAGAAGAGATTACCAAAAGAGCCGCAAACAGGCAGACGAACACTTGAAGAAGATTCATCGAAGTCATCCCAACGAACTGGAGAAGACCAGTTGATTCGGAATACAGTCACGTTCGTTAGGCAACTTGCAAACATGAATGATCGACATATCTATCTATCTATCTATCTATATAAAATATCTATGTATGTCCTGTTTACATTCAACAAACTGCAGTAAATTCTGACGTTGAGCATTCGCCATCTTCGATCCTTAATTCCCAATACCTCTGGCTGATTCTTGGTGCACTCCAGAAAGCTATCAATTTCCATTCCCCTTTTTCATGGAGCCCTACTGAACTGCTTTGGTAATAGCACAACACGACCTTTGCCCCAAAACATAACATATCCAATCCCATCCAGACATGAGAAACTCCGAATTACACATCTTTCCCGCGGGCTCATCTAAAAAGTCCTATTTAATGTATGCATGGGACTTGAAAGATTTTGGCAAGTTCTTCAAAAATCAGATTGATCAGGCACGCTGGTCGTCAATCAGGTTGATCAGGCATGCCTAACTCATCTTTAAAAAAATAAAAATCATCACATCTGTCTTCAGACTCCACCAACATAAAACATGTCAGATCTGAAAGTACAAAGTCTAGGACGAAAGCCAAAATTTCATCCTCTGGTGAGCTAACCCATACAGATCTTTTGAAATCGCAATCTGTCCCAATCACACGGATAGAGCACCTTCTATAAATCAAAGGAAGAGAAGAGGGAGTCCCCCTTTTATGGATTAAGAGTAGCAGCTATCATCTTACATCTTCACGGGACCCCATGATTTAGTCGTCCAAGCAAGCATATACCGTTTTTACTTCAGTTAATGATGATGAAAAGTCTATACGGATATGGTATGCAAGAACCACCTCGGAACTAAGTTTTTTTCTAATCAATAAGACGAAAACCAAAAACCTTCTTCACAAAGTAAAGCATCTTAACATCATCTCAAAAACGATGCACCTTTCAAAATCAATTTCAAAACATGTTCCCATGTTTGAAATCTTGGAAAATGTCAACTTGAGATTCGCAAAAGTATCATTCTCATGTTTCAAAGGATTTTCATCTAGGACAGCCTATCCTTCAGTGAGAGACAATAAAGAGCCTACAGAAGACACTTTTTTCCTCATTTTACAAAGTATTCTTGAAAACGGGCAGGAATTGGAAACAAGCTAGAAACATGAATCATTGAACTTTTGATGAGGTTCCCGGTCCCAATGACACTAGAGAAAATGGCTTCAAAGTAAAACGTAGACTCAATTTAATGGTATTAATTGAGTTGGCCACAGCCCAACAAGAACATTACGATGACAAAGAGAGCAGGGAAACTAATTCGATTCCATTGCCACCGAAAAATGTAACTGACTCTCTTCAAGCCATAACCACCGATCCATAACTCTCATCACACAGAGTGAATTCATCATCATGAAATGGGCATCTGAATCCCAAATTAACATGCATCGCAGATGATTTTTCTTTTGTAACAAATAAATCGGGACAATCATGAGAGGGATATTCAAGTCAACAGTACCAATTGTATGAGTATGATCAGAGCTCCATACACATGTCAGGTCTTGCTATGGGTTTACACTATGTCAAAATGGCCAATGCGAAAATAACGGACCAGCAGCACACGACGCACATCTTGCTTACCTTTTTATAGAAAAACGTGTTGAAGAAATGGCATTTCAAAAATTTATTTGGCTCCCTCCTTTCTCTTTCCTTCAATAATTCAAAGTACAGATTTATGACCTGCCACAGAAATGTGGGTATAAATATAGTCCATAAATATGCAACTAGCTTTACAAAAACATCAGTAGCATAGTACTAAAGCCTATAAACATACATATGTAAGAATTAGAGTAATCACCTCATCATTCAACCAAGCGCCTTGTCTTAAGCATTGAATGACTTCTCTAGTGATCTCAATATTAGAACTCTCATGGAGGACCAGTACCTCACGCCTGCGTGATCCAGATCTGTTTAGAGAAAACCATTTTTGTAACTATCAAGTGTTCGGTCATCTTATAATGAATAGTGCACAAATTGAAGTCGTACTTATTCGTATCCTGTAAAGCGAGACTGACAGCACTCTCTTCCTCATCTGTGAGAGGAGCAAAGGGACCAGAAAGATCCTGAAAATATTTTGAAAAAACTGAGTCATGTCCTAAAATGTAAGGAAAGAGTTTATAGCAAGTGTGGTGATTCAAGGAAAAATTTGTTGCTTCTGGACACCACATGATACAGTAAATATTTTTAGCTATAATTTCAATACCAAAAGCATGGCTTCTTGAATAATATGAAATTTATGGTCGACCATGATTGTATCTGAAGTCGGACTTAGACTCGTGAAAAGCACCATTAAATTATTGAAAAGTATATGCATTCAACGACAGTTGCCTAAGCATCATAAATTTTCGCACAAAGACTAGACATGATTCGAGAAAGAAGAGCAAATATTGGCACATAATGTGTGCTCGATTTCTTGCTAGTAGAGAAGAGAAAATGAAAAAGAATTTCGGCATCTGACGACTACATAACCTCCCATTCAAGTAGATGAAATAAATACTTTTTTTCACAAACGTGGAGAGTAGCTGAATTTGCATACTAAGTTCTGCCCCCCCAAATGTCTTCTTACAGACATTTGTGCCAATGAGAATGTGTAGGATAAAACTTCCCCCATCCCGTAGAACACAGACTGAGAAATTATTTTTTAAGAAACTCGATAAATTTCTCATTATCCAGGATACATTTGCCTTTGTCAACTTCATTTTTTCAGAGAAGAATTTTTCAACAACTCTCTGATCAAAAAATAGAAATAAATATAAAGTCAGATACTATTAAAATAACACAACGTGTGATGTGGGCACATATGAAACTCATAAGAAAGAGTCCTGATGGTGAGCCAAAAAAAGAATAGGCATGATTCAGATAGCGACAGAGCCACAATCCCACCCCAACGTCTATCGTTCTGTACTAATATGTTTGAATGCCAGATGTCGAGTTTGAAGCAGGTGGATAACGTTAGAAAACTGCAGCGAATCCACTACTGAAAGAAAAACATAGGAACTGAAACGAAAAATAAACAAGGTTAATTGTGACATCCCCTCGCAGGAAAAAAAAAAACACTTCCTCATCACAACATAGAGGTAAAAATAAACAATGTCAGGAGAACTAAACAAAGAGAAATAAAAGGTAAAACCTTATATACAAGGCATATATCTTGACGAGCAAAGGCAAGGATACAAGTGAGAAATAAACGTGAGCATCGGAATCTATGATGCATGAGTGCACGTTCATCCAAGATTTCAGGTACTCTTTTTTAAAACCAATAAATTCCCAAACAATCGACATCCGGAACCAGTCCTGTGTGCATTCATGTTTTGCCAGTGAGCATTGTTTGAACGATAGATCCAAAAACTGAAACGCACTGCACCAGATATTAGAATCATTGACGTTGAATTGTTTTCCCGGTGTTTTTGAAGACCTCGTGATCTTACAGGGACTCAACTGAGCTCTGGTAATAAGAGGACAACCTACTGTAGGAAACCTATGATAGAATTTTCTAAGGATTTGATTGAATTGAAGTTGCAAACATGTCTATTTTCGAGAAAATTAACTTCAAAAATTGCTTTCATAAGATGCACTGTTAAAAAAATCATTGGCTGATAAACATCTGCAATGCATGATCAATCATCTGTTAAACGGTATTGACATTAAGAATTCATTCCCAACACATACTTCCGAAAAAAATGAAGTGCAGCTTCATACTTTGGATCTTGATAACTACTTTCCGAAATCACCAAAGGGATCAAATTGGATTTTCCTTAACAAAGTCAATAATATATATGCACACAGTAGAAGAAATAAATGAAAGAAAAAAGGTCACCTTCTCCTGTTTGGCATCTGGCACTTTATGGAACTCCAAGACTTTCTTCTCGGTTAATTTGACTTCAAAGTCTATGCTGCTTAGTATAGAATCTCGCTTCCTTGCGCTCTTCAGCAGATCCTTGTATATCGGAGTCCTTGTCGCCTCGACAATAACCTCTTTCAGAGGAGTGGGTTCGATCTTCAGCAACCTCGTAGCATTTTCCAACTTCCTATTCAAAATAGACAACTTTGTTGACTCAACTTTCTCGCCAAGGATTGCCAAGTCTGAGAGACCCGACAAGACTGATTGAGGCAACGCAATCTTCACTGATTTCGTTTCACTCGAGTTCCAATCCGGAGTTGCCTTAGAACGATCATCCTGTGCATTTTTCACCAGCTGCTTATACTCAACCAAATCTAACCCTTCAAGACTCTCAATCTTGAAATCACCTTCGTCGTCACCCTTAGCCGATGAGTCCACCTTCCTATGGGAACTCCACAACAGTTCCAAAAGCGGTGCGGTCCTCTTCGCGAACCACGAGGGCACGTTTCCCATCCCGGATTTCTTCTCCCTCCTGAGGAACGACTCAGGCGTGAACCTACCGCCGGAACCGATCGATGACCCGCGATTGAAAACCCTCGCAATCCTCTGAGGACCGTGCACGGGCCGGCGAAGAGGGGCGAGAGGGGGTACTCTTTGGACCCGGGGCTGCGCCGGAGCCTCCTCCTGCAGCGCCCGCGGCCAAGAGGACGGCGGCGGCGGCGGCAACCTTTCTGGGTTCAAACGCTGGGGATCCGCGACCTTGTATTTCTTCAGGGGAGCTTCCTGGGAAGGCTCGCAGTGGAGGCGGACAGGAGAGGCGGAGGACGACAAGGGGCCACGGAGATCCACGAAACAGCGCTTGCGGTTGTCGGTTAAGGCGCCCATGGGGGGTGTAGTCGGAAGATCAACTCTACAACCCTAAGTGACGGTTCCATCTACGGGGTCGGCTCCATGAAGTGCGCCGGGGAAGGTAGGGGCTCCGATTGCAGTAGCGAGATTCAGAGAGGGAACGCCGCCCGACAGAATCGTCGCCGGCGGATTGGGGCGGATGGCCGTTGGCGGGAATAGCAGACCAAAGAGGGCGGAGGGAAAATATTGAGAGAGAGAGAGAGAGAGAGAGAGAGGCGGGGGCCTTTCCTGAGTCTCAGGTAGCAGTATCCCATAGTGGGGTGCCACGAAAAATGGTGGGGCCGATTCTCTATCTAAAAGATACCTTATACCTTTTTTCATTTAAAACAAAGACAACAACGGTCTTGGGCCAATGGGCCGGCCCGTTTCTTTAGGCCCTTGGCATAATACTTCGATCAGCCTAAAGCATACCTGGAACTCTCTCTCTCTCTCTCTCTCTCTGCGTGTTAGGCCACCCGGTCACTAAATTACGTTAACCGTACTAGCTGATGGCACATCTATCGTAGTAGGGCCCAGACGTTGAAAAAATTCCGCCCGTTGCCCACAGCATTTAGAACAAAAAAGTCAAACAGCTTTCCTTCCCATCTATTTTTTGCTAACCAAAGTCAACGGTCAATGTTCCCCGATATGACGCACGTGGTGGAGGATATCTTGTCCTGCGGTGCTTCTGCGGTCCAAATAGCTCGTCATATCTTGCCCAGAATAGCGACGACGGCCCTCCCAATGAAGAGAGAGAGAGAGAGATGGTCCGGCGGTGGCCGCATGTTCTCCCATCTCAGGGTCAACGTCATACCAGCGGTGTCGGGACTATTATCATCTTCAATGTGTTACTATTTTTGTTCGCCTGAGACGTGTTTAGTGAAATATAGAAGGAAAATTTAGAGAGAGAAAGAGAAAGGTGGGTAATGACCCAACAACGGAGGGTGCGAACTGCGACGGAGGGGAGAGAAAGGTTCGCCGGTGATTGTGTGGTATGATATTAACAGCAATTATACTTATTTTCATTGGTCCCTTGAGGATGAAGTTTCACGAGATTACTACTTAAACGCCATCTCTCTTCGCAGGTAGCAAGGAGACGATAGAGAGAGAGAGAGAGAGAGAGAGAGAGAGATGATGAAGATTATGATGGGAGGAAAGCTACTTTCTCTCTCTTTCGTCATCTGCATGTCGTCAATTATCGCCGCCGGTGAGAACCACCCGGCGGCGGTCGGGGCGAAGACGATGAGGAGGCAGGGGGACGGGCTCAGCCGTCGCATGCAGAGGGGCGACGCCGCCGGGCTGGTGGCGGAAGGGAAGACCGTTACGGCGGGAAGATTCGACTCCTCGAAGGTGCTGCCTCAGAAGGGCTTGAAGGAGAAGGACAAGATCACGAAGCTCCCCGGCCAGCCCGCCGCCGGCGTTGACTTCGAACAGTACAGCGGCTACGTCACCGTTGACGAGAAGGCCGGAAGGGCCCTCTTCTACTACCTCGTCGAGGCTCCGGATGCCGCCAAGAGGCCTCTCCTCGTTTGGTTCAATGGAGGTCAGTTATCCTCTCCCATTCGTGTTTCTCTCTCTAAAGAAATCTCTCTCTCTCTCTCTCTCTCTCTCTCTCTCTAGAGTGCGTTCAAAGAAATTGTGAAACTGGGCTTTGTATTCTTTCCTCTCCTTCTCCCAAGGAGGGGAGGAGAAAGACTGAAGCTTTCCGAAAAACAAGGCGTCGCTCAAACATTTACTTTCTCTCTCCATTATCGGGGTCAGCTAGATCGGTGCCAGAAATTTCTCGCTCAAATTCTCCCGAACTTTCCTTCACAGGACCCGGCTGCTCCTCCCTTGGCATTGGAGCCCTGGAGGAGATCGGACCCTTCCGAGTGATGAGTGACGGAAAGACGCTCTTCTCGAACCCCTTCGCGTGGAATCGCGGTACATTAATCTCTCTCTCTCTCTCTCTCTCGCTCGCTCTCGCTAAAAATGAGTGAAAACTCTGGGAGATGGGTGCATTGACTTTTTAGCCAAACTCTTGAAGCTTTCGCTGCTGCCAGGCACTAGAAGGGCTATATCCACATGCACTTAACTAGAGATTTGGAGCAGAGAGGATGAGACTGAGGAACTCTCTCTCTCTCTCTATCTATCTATCTCTATTGGGCAGTGGCGAATGTACTGTTCTTGGAGAGCCCTGCCGGCGTTGGGTTCTCCTACTCGAACACCACCTCCGACTACGACAGCAACGGCGACACCCAGACGGCGGAGGACGCGTACGTCTTCCTCGTGAACTGGCTGGAAAGATTCCCCGAGTACAAGCACCGGGACCTCTTCCTCGCCGGCGAGAGCTACGCCGGCCACTTCGCCCCCCAACTCGCCCACGCCATCCTCCGCTACAACAACCAGCTCCCCCACGGCATCGTCATCAACCTCAAGGGCATCGCCGTACGGCCCCTCTCTCCATTCAACCCATTTCCATTCTCTTCCTGCGATGAAGTAGGGTTCAGAACCGGCGAATCCTTGTGATCCAGATCGGAAACGCGGCCATCAATGACCTCACGGACAACAAGGGGATGCTGGATTTCTTCTGGACCCACGCCCTCATCTCCGACGAGAACCACCGGGAGATCGAACAGAACTGCGACTTCAACGTCGCCGAGGGGATCAAGAACCCCAAGTGCGACGCCGCCATAGAGAAGGCCAAGTTGGTCATGACCCAGATCGACATCTACAACATCTACGGTCCCTTATGCTACAACACCAGCCTCGTCGACCCCCCCAAGAAGTCCTCGGTCTCTCTCTCTCTCTCTCTCTCTCTCTCTCTATGTATCTGCAAACGAATGCACATCTATATATCTCCGTAATTATCGTCTTCTTCCCGGGACCCTAATCCATTTTCTTCTCCGGGTGCAGGTGAAGAGCTCCGACCCCTGCATAGATTACTATGTTTTCGAGTACCTGAACAATCCGGCGGTGCAGAAGGCCCTCCACGCCATCTCCGCCGGGCCAGACCATCCCTGGATGATTTGCAAGTAACCGACGTTCCGATAATTCATAGCAGGGAGTCAATCTTCCGTCCCTTCTTGGATTATTTTTCATTCCGATGGATTTATGTCGCCGTTTTCCCTCCGGCAGCGACTTCTCGTGGGAGGACACCGTCCCCAGCGTCTTGCCTGCTCTCAAGGAGCTCACGGCGAACGGCATCCAGGTCCTGGTTTACAGGTGAGAGCGATCGCTTGAGCTTGTTACTCTCCGATGGCGCGTTCGCCGGCGAGGTTGACTCCGGCGACGATGGGGTTCCGATTTGCAGCGGGGACGTCGACGGTAGGGTTCCGGTGACCAGCTCGCGGTACTCCGTCAACGCTCTGAAGCTGCCGGTGAAGACCCCGTGGCATCCCTGGCTGGTCGCCCAACAGGTAGAAGGGAGTCTGGTTTATCCTTTGTTCCCCATCTTCTTCTCACCTGGTGCTCAATCCATGGGCTAATCCTTCTTCTTCTGTGTTGCAGGCAGCGGGGTACGTTGAGGTCTACGAGGGCAACCTGACGCTGGTTACCGTGAGAGGAGGGGGGCATCAGGTGCCCAGCTCCCAGCCTCACCGGGCGCTGGTGCTCATCAAGTACTTCCTCCAAGGGGAGCCCCTCCCTCCCTACCCACTTCTTCAATCCTAGACCTCTCTCTCTCTCTCTCTCTCTCTCTCTCGGATATTTCCGAAGAGCAACAGTCGTGGCATCTTGATTTCAATCTCGTTCGCACGTGTCCTGAGGGTAGACACGTGTACGCAATCTTGACACCTACGGATTGAGACATGCAATACGATGAGGCCTCTACGCGAGCATATCCACGCGTATTTGGCTATCAAAATCCGTTCATTTATTGATTTTGTATTATATAATTACGTACGTAATAAATGAACAACCTTGTTGCTCGGAGTTTATTAAATATAAATAAATAAAATATTGACGTCATTACGAGCAGCCAAGTTTTGGGGTGTCGAGAACTCAAAGAAGCCCATGGCAAGGGTTGACCTCAGATATTTGGTCGTATTTACTTAAGACTGCTTGTTCAAAACGGCTGGTCATGAATCTCTTGCTCGCCGCGTTGACTCACTCACGTGTTTTTTCAAAGATTTCCAACGTGAAAATCGGGCTCGTAATTGGAAAATATCCAACCGTTGACGGCTCCTTCCAGCAGGTCATCTAAAGTATTTGATTTCCAACGGTTTGACCGAATACTCATTTCCCTGTTTAGATATTTGATTGCCTGATGCCCCCTCTAGAATAGTATAATTACAGATATACTCCAATCAGACCAAGTATTTATGACAAATAAAGCCCTACTGGTGGCGATTCTACTAATTAAATTGATACAGAAAATACAGCTGACGTAAAAATATTAAGATGAGAGAGAGAGAGAGAGAGAGAGAGAGAGAGAGAGAGAGAGAGGGATGCCTGCGGCGGCGGTGACTACCTACATACAGTTGGACGGGGCCTGTTGACATGGACAACGAACCCATACAGTATTTATGAATGGGGCCAGATTGGGGGGAAGTCAACGATGTGACGTCATCTAAAGGGAAGGCCCATCCGACGAACCTGGAGGAGTATTCGCGAAATTGTTGGCGCACTCCAGGCCGAATCCTCCGAGCAGCTATTCGAAGAAGGTGGGCCCCAGTAATGCGGTTTCGGTCTCATTCCGGAATTTACTATTCTCAAGAATATTTATAAAAAATGTTTTTAAGCTCACTTTATTAATGAAATTGTAAATATACACTGACTCCGCAACTAGCCTACTCCGGTAAACTTACTATATAGTCGAGTGATCCACGAAATAGATCAAACACGTTGATTTAATTTACTCATAGCATAGAAGTTATTATTTATATATTTATTATTATTAAATAAAATAATGGGCCGATAAAATTGTACAAAAATATCGTGGTGAATAGTGGGACCAAACTACAAAATGACATGAGTGTAGAGATAGAGAGAGATAGAGGGGGGATGGGGAGAGAGAGAGGGGGTGATAATTAGCTGAAAATTCCAATATCCCTCTAATTCAATAGTATATAAATCAAATATTTTGTGGAGGCAGTGTAGAAGAGAGATACCCCAGAGTTTAGGGGGTTGTTCAAGAAATCAAACGCGATATTATCTGAATATTAAACATTCAGTCGTGGGGTGCCGTCCAGGCCCGTCTTGTCCTCATCCATCGTTGACCTCGCGATCCCTGCCTGGGGCCGCAGCGATTCTACCGGACCATGGATGTGGGCGCCGCGTTTTTGGTGGGCCCCACGAATTCGCCTCGAGGTTTCATCTATCGGTTGTCGTCCCCGTCACGGATAAGTTTGCTTTCGGACATGACACAGAGAAAAGGTCAAACGGGGTGAGAGAGAGAGAGAGGAGTCCATAAATGCTTCCACGGGTGCTTCTCCGGCTCATTGCACCTCTTTTCTCTCCCTTTCTCTCTCTAGATCAGCATTTCCACGGATTCTGGGGCGCTACTGGATTCCTTACGGTGGGTGGAGGAGGAATCTCCGGCATATCTGGGGCCTTTCGGTTGAATCGGAGGAGGGATCCATCTATTTCGGCGAATTGACGAGGATCCTGGAGAGGCAGAGATGAAATTCTGCAAGAAATACCAGGAATACATGCAGGGCCAGGAGGAGCTTCCTCGGGTAGGTCTCAAGCGGCTCAAGAAGATACTAAAGAGATGCCAAGCAGAGCTCCGATCCCGGAACGACGGCCTCCGGCGGCAGGAGCAGTCGACTCAGGTGGGAGATGAGGCCGCGGAAGGGGCCGAGCTCAGGGGAAGCTGCAGCAGTGGATGCCCGAACCATTGCCCAGGTATATCTTAATCAATCTTACTCATCTCTCTCTCTCTCTCTTTTTCATACTGGGGAGGATCCCAATGTCGCTTGTCTTGTCAGTTCTTGATTTTCATCAGGAATCCGTGCCTTCTGGGTCGTTCAAAGTTTCTGTTTTTGATAGAATTAATCGATTATTTTCTATTTCGAGTAACAATAACCCGATCACCCGCATTCTCAATTTCTTCTTCTGTTCAATAAAAACCTCTGGATCTATCCCCAATCTAACAATTCACTGCACCTGGAGATCATCAGGCTTCTTGGGTGATCCCGAGTACCTTAAAGATGTCTTCTTGATGGGATTTTTTTTCTATGATCTCTGGTCACAGTGTGCGACGGGACCTTCTTCCCTGCGCTCCTGGATGAGATGTCGACGATCACAGGCTGCTTCAACGAGCGGGCCAGGCGGCTGCTCGAGCTGCATCTGGCCTCGGGCGTTCAGAAGTACTTCAACCTGCTTAAGCGCCGCATGCATCTCAGTCACCATGGGAATTTGATGCAGGAAGGGAAAGATCTGGTCACCTATGCCATCATAAACTCCATCGCCATGAGAAAAATCCTGAAGAAATACGACAAGGTGGGTTTTACCCGAATTAGTTCTATATATGTATATAGAACTAATTTCAATGTAAATTAGTGAATTAAGAAATATGATTATATTATCTCTGATGAATTTCTTGTGCGTGTTGAAGATCCATTACTCGAAGCAAGGCCAGGAGTTTAAGTCGCGGGCTCAGGTTATGCACATTGAGATACTCCAATCGCCATGGCTGTGTGAGCTGATGGCGTTCTACATAAATCAGAGGGAGTGCAAGAGCAAGAAGAAGACGGGCACGGAGCTCTTCGAGGATTGCTATTTGTCATTTGACGCTGGGAAGCCCTCGCTCTTCTGCGGGCTGTTTGACTCCTTGAAGCTCGAAATCGACCTCACATGCTCCATCTGCCTGGTGAGCGAGTTCCGAATTGGGATTCAACTAAAAGCTTTTTATTTTATCATTTGAAATTGGGATCTCTCCTGATATTCATATATTTTTTTCAAAATAGAAAAACTTGAAGGAATAACTCGTATTCATTTGGTGCTAATTATTGGAAATTAAAATAATAACCATTTTTTTTAAAAAAATCTAAGTTACCCAAACCCCAACTCGTATTCATTTTCTAGGAAAATACTTAAACTATGAGGAACAATGATCCTCGGAAAAAAAAAAAGCTAGCTACCCAGAACCCACCTTGTTATTTTAAGTTTCAAATAAGTGGGAAATATGATTCCTCGAAGGCTGAAATTGACCCAACTTGTACTATTTTGGTTTAATTGATTCTACATTTTTATTTTAAATTATAAATTCTAAAATATCCACATACTGATATTATGTGTGTGTGTTTGTGTCCTGGTTACCCAGAACCCAACTCATTCTTTGAAGTTTTAACCATGGTTATTCTCTTACTAGGCTTGAAAATATCTAAAAGACCTTGATTACGGTTCTCTCTTTTTGATTCGGATGGGTTTTTTATACGAGAGATAATAATTGAATTTTGTTGATATTTCCAGGACACGGTGTTCGACCCAGTTTCTCTCTCCTGCGGCCATATCTTCTGTCACATGTGCAGCTGCTCAGCAGCATCTGTGAGCATTGTGGATGGGCTGAAGACTGCAAGTTCCAAAGCCAAGTGCCCTCTGTGTCGGCAGGTGATCATCATTCCTGCTTGACAATACTTGACTCATGTATCTTCCTATAGTGTTCTAACATGAAATATTTAACACATTTATACCAAAAAAAAATTAATGTTCATAATTACATATTTTTTGAAAAAATGACAAATAAGGGAATTGAACTCGGTCTCTTCTTTGAAAATTTCTCTTTCCTCCATATTTTCTGACGAGCCCTTTTTTGTTAAGTAGGTTGAACAGAATATATAAATTAATTTTTATTTTTAAATGGGTTTAAACCGGATAAAAGAATATCAAAGGGATCCACCCAAGTATGTTTGATAACTGATGCATCGACTTACTATATCCGTGGGTATATACCTTCATTAAACTAGATTATATTTTGGTTTATTTTCCCTCGGGACATCAGATCTGAATATTAAAAAAAAATGAATGGGATCGGATTGTGGGTCAAAACATAGATCCTATTGAATCCAAAAATTTACTATAATAATGAGAGATTAAATGAAACAAGAAATTCGTATCCCTTGAATTCTGTATTATGTCAATGATGCATGACGAAGACATCCTGTTTCTTGATCAGGCCGGAGTGTATGATGGTGCAGTGCACTTGGAGGAGCTGAACATCCTGTTGAAGAGGAGGTACGGTTGGTTGACTTTCCCCCTCCCCCACCCCATGAACAACTGATGCAGTGGCTTCGCATGTGGAATCCTTCCCTTACACCGATTGTCATGGCGTGCAGCTGCTCCGAGTACTGGGAGGAGCGGACTCAGAGCGAGCGGGCTGAGCGAGTGCGGCAGGCGAAGGAACACTGGGAGTCTCTGTGCCGGGCGTTCACCGGCATCTGATGGGGGTCTCACAAAGCTACCACCCTTCCTACATCCTCTTACTCTTCATCTTCTTCTGTTTCTTCTCATGTAAATAGTTGAGAATGAGATTCATTTTAGATTGTTCCTTCTGCTACTGGCTTTGCCCGATTGTCGGTCGGAATGGGTCTGTTTTTGCAAGGGATGTGGAAGGGAAGGGAGCATAACTTCTGGGTGTGAAGGGAGTGCGGCCTGTCTGGATTCTAATCAATGGTAATCCATGTGTAGAGAGAGAGAGATCTAGTGATTGAACCGCCGACAGTCTCCGGACGTTGACTTTTCTAGAAATCCAGTTTCCAGCGTCTGGGTTATACTCAATATTCAATAAATTCGTCCATCCCTAGCTCGAACCTACTCGGTGATCGTGTCCACTGTCAACGGTCCAACAAGAGAGAGAGAGAGAGAGAGAGAGAGAGAGAGAGAGAGAAAGAGAGGTGTGGAAAGAGGGAAAAGGAGAGGGAGAGGTCCTCCCCAGTGCTCATCATACTCCGACTAGCATAATACGACATAAATAGCGTGAGATTTCACCGACGAGCCAGAGAAAGGATTGAAGCTCTGACTGGTCGTCGTCTCAAACCTGGCGGGGTCCAATGGCGAATGGACAGCTCTGATGCCCGCAATTACTGCTCCGATCTCGCCTGCAGAATTGGAATACGGACAACCACGGTGAGCTTTTCAGGCCCACAATGAAGGTGTCAGCTGGGGAGAAGGATCATGGAATCGTTCTTACAGGGGATGGAGACCGGGATCTGCTCCTGCTCTTGCTCCTGCTCCTGCTCCTGCTCCTGCTCCGGCTCCTGCTTTTGCTCTTGCTCTTGCTCCTATTGGGGCTCTTGCTCTTGCTCCTGCTCCTGCTGGGGCTCTTCTTAAGGGGTGGGCTCTTGCTCACTCTCTTGTTTCGGGAACGCAAGAGGAAGAACAGATTAGTCCAACCACTCTATAGAGAGAGAGAGAGAGAGAGAGAGAGAGTAGATGGTAATCTGATGACGGTGGTAACGAAGACTCACAGTTGGGGTCAGGGAACGGCTTCGGGAGCGGGATCTGCAAAAAGTTCCAGAAACAACGCGTTTAACAGTCTGATCCCATAATCCTCGATGTCTCTTCCACGCCACATTTACAATAATAATAGGAGAGCTTCAGCAGGCAGTTTGATCAACATCGCCAAGAAACCACAACCAGAAATTACTGTTCAAATAAAGAGAGAGAGAGAGAGAGAGAGAGAGAGAGAGAGAAGAGGGGTGGGGGAGGAAGTGGGGGGGAGGACCAAGAAGAATCACCTGATGATAAACACTGGGCGGGCGGCAGTGCGGGCGGAGAAAATCTCAACTTGTCATTTAAAAAAAAATTGTGGGCCAAATCCAGAGGGTTTATAGCGAAATGATGAGTGACCAATCTAGTTTTCCCAGATCCAGAGCTCTCAATCAAGATGAGATCATCCGATCCAGCTTTAATGACGCGGTCCACCCTCTCTGGGCCAGTTGGAATTCAAAGGGGGCATGAGAGTAATGCCGTGAACTGTAAGAAGAGAGAGAGAGAGAGAGATGCTGGTTTTGGGTTTCCATGGCTACCTCAGCAACAAAGGGTTGCAGGCATAGGCACCAAATACCACAGAGAGCCCCCAATTCCCCAAATCGCCGCACAAGCCCCACATCTAGAAGACAAAATAAGCCAACATTCAACAAGGAAATAATAAAGTTCAGCTATCTAGGCTCGTAGTTTTGTAGATGAGGGGATGGGTTTCCATATAATTAAAAAAAAAAAAAAACTTCAGCTTTCTCGTGCGGGCGGAAAAATAACGGATTTATTAAAATACCCATAGAAATAGGTAGATTCGGGTGCCGTGTGATAAAAGAAAATAATAAGCGAGAGGTGGGAAGAAATAATCCTAAAAAATCCAGGAAGTGTTCGTGTTCATAACAAAGCAGCTAAAACAATGCATTCAATATCAAAGATCTCTCAAATTTTGAACTGTTTCGGCATGCAAACGGTTTGAAGTGCCATTTGGGAAGCCCTTGAACAGCGAGAAACATCGGATGTAACAATGATCAACAAGTAGTCGGCCTAACCTTGAATCAACAAGCAGATTTGGGCGGTAAGAAACAGTTCTCTATAGATCAGATTTCCAAGGTGACCATAGCATTATTTCCGACAATGAAGGAATCACTGGGAATGCAAAAGAAATCGTAATATACAGAAAACCTGATCTGTATCTCTCTCTCTCTCTCTCTCCCCCCTCCCTTACGCTTGGTGGCATCATCAACACAGAAAATTAAAAAAAAGAAGCAAGAGGTGACAACCTGGCTTGTATCGAGGGCGATGCTTATCAACTGTTTTCGAGATGAACCTTGACTTAAATCACCCCGTCATTACACTGAGCATCATTTTGTAGCCACCAAACATGCATATTTCTCCCTGATTGTAGTAGATTGACTAACCATATTACACCGCAAAGGCAAGTCTTTCGAATCAGATCCCTTAATTATCAGAACCCTAAACAGTTGTTGAAAAGTCAACCCATCAAGGGAATGCGGCCACCCGGCAAAGGTTGAAGAAAAGCCTAATAAAATAAGGAGCAAGCAGTTGAAAAAGAAAAATAGTACACCCATCCAGAAAAATATGAGAATATTACCTTGACAAGGATCGCTCTTTAGACACTGAGCGAACACGTGGAGAGATGGATTTGGATCGGGATCGAGAAGGAGACCGCTCAGAGTGCTTTGCCTTGGGTGACTTGCTGCAAAATGATTCAGGAAAGTAAATAACAGTTTGGGTAGAAATCTGTAGCAAACAAGGACAGGCTGGAATAGTAAACCTAGGACTTCTGCTTTTACTGATGCTGCGACTACGGCTTCGGCTTCGGCTCCTTGAGCGAGAACGGCTGCGACTCCTAGAACCACTTCGCCGAGAATCATACTCCTTAACCTTTAACAGAAAAAGCACATGTGGAGACTGATATACATGTGAATGCTGAGATAGCTAGAAGGTAGAGAAGATCATGACAATCACCCGAATGTATGACCGTGCGAATGCATTACGAAACTCAGAATCATCAAGCTTCCTAATCTGCAGAGTTAAATATTAAAAAAAATTAGGTAAGCTTCATTCGAGTGTTTTGTTACTGGACGAAGTAATCAACGGTTTTAGTAATAAATCAGCAACTTACAGCATATTTCATATCATCATAGTTTGTGTAGTCTACAATTCCTGTTGTGCCTGGAAATAAAGCAACCACAGCATCAGTTCAATGATTCTTTATGGTTGAGGGTAACGACTTAGGGACTCCATACATTATATTATGATAAAAGGATACTAAATGTGGATGTGATTTACTACAGTAAAAATAAAATAAAATAAAAACATGCATAAAAACGAGGACAATTCTACATAACCAAAAATGGCATGCATTGGAAAGAATATACAATTTAGCTCAATTATTCACAAGTATTTTGGAAACATTAAAAGATCGTGATTAAATAAAAACCCACATGGTATTAATGAGCGTACCCAGCTGCTGCCAAAGTTTACAGGATACTCGATAACTATCACTTTATTGTGTCATAACTGGAAACGATTTGCATGTTCTACACCGCAAAATGATCTTATTGTGACATAAGAAAATTCAACCCTCAGTTAAACGAGTACAAATATATGTACCCATATATGTGTGTACAAATATGCATACTTCAGGAGATACTGAGAATGAGATACGCAGCTTTTCATGCAAAAGGGATGAAAAATGGCCGAAGTGATGATAATCCAGTATTAACCCAACAACACGAACATCCTTGCAAACTCAGAGACCAAGTTATAATGAGGACAGCCTTTTAAAAAAAAAGAGGTAACTGGGTTTCAAAATCTTTCCACACATTTGGGGAAATGCTACGATCTGGCAACACATACATGACCAACAAGGGCATTACGGCAACCAAGATGATAATCCTACGTGAGAATTATGGACAACCAACCGACGCATGTATGTATAAACACAATATTTACTAAGAAATAGTACGCGAGAAAATAACAGTAACATCTCAAGACTTACTACCTATACGATGAAATCTAAGACACAATTCACAAGGACGTATAATTTTATAGCCAAATTTTATGGCCAAATAGTACACGTATTTAAAATGCGCACTTTATCTTGTCTGGTCAAACAATAACTATTCAAACGAACATGAAAATGGTTCCACAAATAAGAAGATCGAGTGTCAAGAATTCACATTCAACCAAGCAGCAGCTCTTGCCTAGATAAGACTGCCTTGTCTTTCAGGTGACACCAAAATAATGTGATCACCATGGTGAAGTTTGATAATAGATTATATGTACATGGAAAAAAAAATATTAACTGAAAAAATATTTTTTCTTCACACAACGATATCAATTCACATTGTCAAAAGAGTACAGTATCATTTGGAAATCATACCATGAATCCTAAGATATTTAAGTCGTTAGCAATAAAAAATCGTTAGCCTTACAAACAAAGAGATAAGTTTGAGGTATGCTCACCACGCCCATCACGGAACACCTGAGAAAAGCAGACATCTCCGGCCCGACGCATATGATCCTGTCAATAAGGAAAATTTTCAAATAAAGAATAAACCAATAGACATCAAAAGGAAAAAAAACAGAGAATAAGAAAGTACTACCTTCAAGTCTTGCCAGGAAGCAGAGCTCGGCAAACCAGTAACAAGAACTGCATAGCGGAAACAAGTTTGAAAGTCCTAATCTGGAATAAGTCCTCGATGAAACGTAACTATCTCCTATTTAAATATCATACCACGGTGTTCTGTCCTCCTAGAGACCCCACGCCCACCACTGGAACCATTATAACTACTGTGGCGATCATTTGAAGATGAATTGCCACGCCCACCATGTGCAAGTTCAACCTAGAAGAACACCAAATGAAACATGTCACAAGAAAAAGAACTAAAAATGAATACTCCTGATTTCTCTTAAGGGAGAAAAGAACCGTCTAAAAAAATCAGAAGAATAACAATACCCGAAGTCTATGGCCATCAAAATTATAACCATCACGCCCTCGAATAGCATCATCGGCATCACGGGCATCCTCAAACTGTCTCAAATAAATTTAATGCAAACATTAGAATAGGCAAAGACTACACTCTCATTCCCAAAACTAGAATATGCACGAGATAAAAAGGGATTTGCCCAACGACGAAAGAATTTTGGAAAGTTCAAGGTATTATGTATGATTCAGTTGCTGAAGATGGTCAACATTCTTATCATTCAACTAAACAGCTTGGCACACGCTGATCAATAATGTAATACTATCTCTTGAAAACATATCGCTTGAAAATCACTACAAGGTTGGGCAGGTGGTTAATGTTGATTAACTTAATGAGAATCAATAAGCATGTCGTTGGGACCAAAACAGGATCAGCCCTGCATCACTTCTTTTAAGTACCTAATTCGTACTCATTCCACTAAATCACTAAGATGTAATGCAACTTAAGGTAACGTCTAAGTTTTAGTAACTATTTAACGAAGGAAGTTCATATGTCCCTATCAAAAACAAATGATAACCAAATGGAATAAGAAAAATTACTGCTGCCAAAAGAGAGTAGCCTCACATTGAGGGATTGAAAAGTCGAGTTCAATCAATACCGCGATACATGCACAACCATTCACGAAATAAGATGTGTGCTCATTACATTTATTAAAGAAGCATTCACTACCTCAATAAAAGCATAACCGGGTGGCCTTGGAGGAATCTTCAGGTCAATATCAACAATGTGACCATACTGCATTAACATCAAGAATCAGTATTGGAGGAAATGAACTGAACAACATAATTATAATCAATAACAAAAAATCACATTTTCCGGACCAACGAAGGGCAAGATTGCAACCTCCATGACGCAATAAAACAATTCAGAGTACCATTCAAATGCAAGGAATAAACTATGGAAACAATCACGAGTCAAGAACTGTAGATAAACACATTGAACAAAAAAAAAATCCATCTTGACGCATCAAACGAAGCACAACACGTTCATACGACAAAACAGAAAATCTCCTGTGTACACTCGCAAAAATAGTAAAGGTCATTTTTTGGCGCAATTTATAAGCTGCCCTTTCAAAACGTGATTTTATAAGCGCACAAGTCGAATAGTAGAGAGAACATGGTTTGCAAACGCACAAAAAACCATACGTATTTAGGTGCACAATGTTTCACCACATCATTACTCCACATGATAGAAGAAAAGCAGCCTAAATGAAGCGGAATTAGGTTAAAAAACTTGGCAACATACCTTGAAAAACAAATCTTCAACTTCCTTTTCGCGTATATCTCCGGGAAGGTTTCCAACATAAACGGTACGATTAGCGCGGCTACTCATTTTTTTCTGAAATTCACACAACCAAAGACAAATGACTAAAATAAGTAACTGCAAGATACATGTACATTGGAAGATAAACCGTTACAGCCCCGTCAACATCCCTGATCCTAGAACGATGTCAAAAAGCCTAACAGCGAGATGTAATTCAATAATATACAGACCAAACGCAAATGCTGTCCTGGAATCCCTAACACTAACGCGAACAAGTAGAGTTAAAGGCTAAGGTAAGATTAAAACCCTATAAAGCTCATACCAGCTAAACTACGACGAAGAGAGTTGGACTCAGAGTGGACAAAGCGGTAGACAATTCAAGAAGATCAGGAAACGAAAAATCTCAAGATATAATCGAAACCCTAGGACAAGGCATCGCCCGCAGCGACAGTTGAACCGCCAGTGATAATGTGAGAGAGGAAAAAATTTCCAAAACGACGACACGCTCGAAACCGAAACCCTAGGGTTCGGACACCAACCTCGGCGGTTTAGCGAGACGACCGGTGACTACAGGAGCCGATCCAACTAGACGTCCGGAGCATATATATACGGAAACCAGCGGGTGGCAGAATCGTAAATAAATCAAACTAGGAAGCCGGGTGGAAAATGGAAAAACGAAAAATCCCCGCCGTTCACTTAACGCCATTCAAAATTTCGCTTCATCCGACGGCAGCGAACCTTTTCCGAACGGAGATTCTAGCGAGGGGTACTGACTCGTACCGACGACCCAAGCCGAAAATTCACCGATTAAAAAGTCAAAATACATTTCACATTTTTTTAAATATAGAAATATAATTTTAAAATGGAAATAAAAAGTATATACGACGAGGTTATTTAGATCTCTCATTGCCAATAGTTCAATTTGAACATTCTTTCGTATTTTTTAACATAACAAAAATGCTAATTTACGGGATGTATCGTAGTTATTGTCAATTAATTTTTAGATTAAAGTAATAAAGAAATATTTCCATCATAAAATTTCATGACGTTGCCTCAAATTGGATTTGGTAGTTTAGTCGTCACCTTGTGACTCCTCTAACTAGTGGAACATAATGAAGGCAGTGGTTCCTAACATCTAGGAGTCAATGTTGACCTAGAGGGCTACATGAAGATGGTGAGCAGTGGCAAAGGTGCACCCTTTTCATCTTGTAAGGGGGTTACAGGAGAGAGAGAGAGAGAGAGAGAGGGAAGACCCAGAAATAGTGAGCGGAACGTTGCTCTCATCAGCAGAGAGGAGATAGAGAGCGAGAGAGAGAGAGAGAGAGAGAGAGAGAGAGAGAGAGAGAGAGAGAGAGGACCCAGAATAGTGAGCGGAACGTTGCTCTCATCAGCAGAGAGGAGATAGAGAGAGAGAGAGAGAGAGAGAGGAGGAGATTTTTCTTCTTGGGTTCGATACAGAGGCATAAAAGCAGGATCAGCCCATCATCATCCACCCAGGACAAAGCCAAGATACATTCAAATACCTAAAGGAAGATGACATTGCTCTGCAGAACATGCGTGAAGAGATCACCAGTTCAAAATGACAAAAGGATTATAAACATAGGTAGCATGGGGCACTTTGAATTTTCCCAGAATGGCTCCAATTATCTGACCCAAAAAGGAGAGTTTATTCCCAGAATGGCAACAATCGATAAACTGGGAAAGGAAAGTATCGAACAGGTAAAGAAACCACAGTCAAACTAAATGGAGGAAAGAAGTTCTTTATTTTGAAACAGTTCATGTGGCGAGGATGAGATGGCGATGTCACTAATGATGAGCTGATTCACCTCCACCACCTGCTTCTTCCTTGGCCTTCCTTGCGGCTGCTCTGATCTGCCGTTGCTCCTCCTTGTAGATTCGGTTTCTCCTTTGGAACTGCGAGGTCATCCGGAGACCTGTTAGAAAGGAAAGACGGGGAGAATAGGAAACTTCTCTTTGGTTTCCTCTCCTTTTCATGACTGAATAGGATTGCCTTTCAATTTAAGTAGATGGATTCTGAACTTTGGGGGGGAGGAAGGAACTTGATTCATATATTGCTGTCAGGAACGAGAGATAGATAGATAGATATATAGATGAGAGAGAGAGAGAGAGAGAGAGAGAGAGAGAGAGAGAGAGAGAGAGAGCTAAGTTCTGATGTGAAATAAGAGCTAAGTTCTGAGAGAGAGATAGATATATATTCGACCATTTTATCTCATGTCAAAAGGTTTCCTTTTAAAGAAACCGTCCCTACAGATTCATGCAATCAGTAGATGAGGATATCACTCGTGAGAAATAATCTTCGGTCTCAACCACAAGCTAGTTTTCCCAGGCTGTGGATTATGAAAAGTAAGGAAAAGATGATCTGTGCCTAAGAAAGCATTTAAGCATCAGTATTGCGGCCCCGTAGATCCACCGAATGGTCTATTGCAGGTCATCACCAGAATGTTGACTGAAAAAGTCAAATGTCCCATTGATAAGTTGACTGATTGACCAATCTAATATCATAGAAGGACAGTCCATTGTCGTTCTTTACTGGTTCACAAGGAGCTTCAATTCAATAAAAGAAGAACATACAAAAGAGAGGATTAGCGAGGGAATCAGAATTAATGGGAATAAACTAAGCACAATTCATCTTCAGTTTGCAGCTAGGATGATACTGATGAACAGAAATGAGGGGAATAAGGGTTTAAAAGATAAGCTACAGATGTAAGCCAGTTGAAATGACAGATCTGACCTCATTGATAGTATGTTTAACAAATACTCCTGCATCCCCATTAAATATATGGGACTGCCTTCATCACTTTATTTCAGGTGTGGCCGGGGGGTGGGGACTATGCAACAGAGGTTTTGAAAAAAGACCAGATTGTTGAAAGGAAAATCCTGACCATTCTGGAGGAAAATGGGATTCATATACAATGGTTTTACAGAATCCTAATAGCTAGTAATGAAGCTATCAGAAACTATTTCTTTATCAAGGGGAAACACAAAGACAGAAGAGCATTCAGCTTTCAAATGGTCGTAGAGTATGGAAAATACTAAAAGAAGTGTCAGGTCATGTTCGCAACTCAATTAAATCGGTTTCATTAATTAAATATGTTCAGGAAGAAAAGAATTACACCCGTGACAACACTGAAAATTAAATGCCAAAAAACCCGGGAATGGTCGAAAATAAATCTAGCAAATATAAAACAGAAACACGAAAGAAAAGTATTGTCTGGCCACCATAGTTCACAAAAGAAACTCGTACTGGCTCATTCAAACGTCATTTCCTCTAGATATTAAATTAAATCTATGATCTAATCGAAGCAGAAAACTCCAAAGGCGAGTGCAAGCATGGGATTTATGAAAGGCAAAACTCAGTTTGGAATGGAAGCCTGGACACTCACCTACAGTCATTACTGCAACCGATATCGTTTGTTAAATATCAGAGATAATTGTGAGATCACTGTTTTAAGATAAATACCCACTTTTAATGGAACTAAAAGGGATTATCAACAAAGGGCAAGGTATAGAACTTCACTGAAAGCACATGAAGGGGGTACATTATATTGGATGATGGGGAAAGACAATGATCACTTCTAGAGGCAATGCTCCTCTCAAAGCAAGTTCCCAGCTTCAGGGGAGAATCGTGGATTTAAAAGGGAAATTGACGCAATGATTAAGGTTTGCATGGGTTTTTTGATAATCAGAAAGAGAACATGAAATTTCCGAGGAATGAGAAGACAAGGGTGATTCCGTTATCCAGACATAACTGGGTCGTTAGTTTTGTCTGGTATCATGATGGTGTAGGGTTGACTTTCTATGCTCAAATCTTCTAATCAATATGAGTGAGCTTTCACAAAAGAGATTTCCAGTTGTCAAATTGATGAACTTCAGCAAAAAACAAGATGACTCCATTTTTGCTACGAAGTGCCAACAAATGAGAGGCCTTATTTTTAAGAGAGGGAAGAGAAAGTGTATGCCGCTACCAAGAATGGATAGGTTGGATACAAGCACGAATCTCATCTGCCAGTTTAACACCATAAATGGGAACCTTTGGCTTACTTTCAAGAATAGGTGTCTCAGATAGGGAAACATTTTATGCCCTCGACGTTTTATTCTAGTAACCAAAGCGAATAATGGATTGTGGCAGAGGGCAAAGATTTGGACAGGAAAAAGGCACTCATCCTTAATCAAATGGCGCATAAATTTCAAATCATTGTTATAAGGATGACACAGAGAACAAGGTATCCAATTGTGTGCGACTAGAATGATATGAAGATTTTGAAAGAAGCTACTGATAATAAGGAAAATAATCGAAGCAAGCGTTCTATGACTGTCAGACATTCTTATTGCAAGCTATTAGGCATGCTGAAAATGCATGAAGGAGAATAAAAAATATCAGGACATGACCCCAACACTAGAAGTGAAAAGAGTCTAAGAAGAAAGTTACACCCAAGAAATCATCATGAGGATGAAATAAAGAAGGAGGTCAAGCACTAATGTGACAAGAAACAGGCTGAAGGAAATACAATCGGTAAGTTTCAGCAAAAAATACTTGTTGATCCCTGGCTCACAGGTTAGTGTAGTCACTGAATAAGAAAATGAACTATGGGTATACCAGAACTTAATGAAATTATAATGATTAAAAATAATTCATTTCAAATAACTATAGAAGTACCAAAAGTTTTTTGATGAAATACCTAACCGGGATTCAGATGAAAGCATTTATATATGCCTGGCCCAAAGATATAAACAAGGGAGTTGCCATAAATTGCGATCGAAGGAGAGGGCTTATAAAATGCAATGTGTACGGTAGATTTAAACAAAAATAGAAAAATATTTGATAGATGATTCATCTGCTCGTTCTCGAACACTGGCATTGCCGCAGTCGAACGTTTTAAACTCTTACAGAAGAACCACTGTAAGATCGGGAAGGGTGCAGCGGGTTTACAATAAACTCTCATCAATTAGTACCCAATCAATGCCCCTCATCCCACTAGGGCACAAAATACGACACCAACAAAGCTTCCTGACCAAACGCCAGAGCTCTCCGCAAAATGAGCGATCATCGACCATCACCAGCATGAATCAGAAACAATGACCACTGGTGAAGGGAGCAGAGGCGTCGGGGAAGATGAATCGAGGCAAGAGGGATGATAGTGAATGCCTCACCTCCTTGGCGTGGTGGAGACACTCTAGATAGTCTTCGCGGAGGAGGGAGCAATCCTTGGGCTCCCTGCACTTCGACATGCACTCGCTGAAGTCCGTCCAGAAGTCGTAGCACCGGCCTTTGTTCCCCGTGATCCCCCAGCCCGACGCCATCTTCGCCCTCTCCTCTCCCTCAGCCCTTCTTCCTCCCACCTCAGACAGAACACCAAATACTTATTATAATCCAATAACTCCCATAAAAATTTACAATTGTTTAAATACACTCACAAATACCTAATAGCATAAATATCCTTATTTATAATAATACCTATTTATCCACATTTATTGACAAATAGCCTCTAATGTTTTATGGGTAGTATGGTAAAATGTAGTTTGGCATATCTACACCAAGCCCAAATAAGGAATGTGGGCTTTATTGTGCCGACTGGGGGCCCATTGTACCCACGTGCGACTCGCATCCGGGTCAGCCCGGTCGGGTCGAGTCTGAACCGTGACGTCGTCAAAGACGCGATCGTGTACCGGACCCCGAAGCGCGAGGGAGAAAACGGAGGCGGGGCGGGGGGGGGAGCTTAACCGGCGTTGTGGTCTGTTTGAGAGAGGAGGAGAGGGGATCTGGCAATGGTGGAGGGAGGATGACACCGACGAGGACGGTGGGCTCCTCTCGCCACGCCTTGGAATCTTGCGCCCTGCAGCTGCACGCCTGGAAGCCGTTCCAGCCGCAGAGCCCCGGGCACCATCTGGAATCGTCCAGGGCAATCCTCACCAAGAAACCCTGCAGGTCCGATCGATCTACCGCCCCCAACCTCAGCGATCCGCTTGATTTCTCCAGGCTATCCCTCCTCGACGATCCCCCTCCGCCGCCGCTGCCGCAGCAGCAGAGGCACCGTGAAGAGGGAATCGGCTGGTTCGCGAGGAAGCGGCGGCGGCGGAGAGGCGGTTCCCGCTCCGTCTCCGGTCGGAGCAGCGACCGCAGTGGGACCTGCCGCCGGTGCTGCTCGGTCGGAGGAGGGGGTGCGTCCGGGGCCTATGCGACGTGCTCCGATTTCCCCGTCGCCGCTGGGGGCACGGACTCCAGCGGCGAGCTGTTCGTCAACGGAGATGGGAACTGGGGGTCGGATGTCAGCGAGGTGAGGATCTCAAGGAGAGATATCAAGGACGCCGGAAGCGGTGGAGGGGGGATGGATCGGGAGGCTTCGACTGCCGCTCCATACCAGGGCGGCTTCGGTGTTCTGGATTTACAGTGGAATGAATCCGGTTATGGCAGCGAGACGGGTTACAGAGGCGATGCTGAGCATGGGTATGGGGACGAGTTTGACGAGGAGGAGGACGATGGACGGGTGCTGTTCTGGGGAGATCATTTTGGAGGTAACAAGAGCTATTCACTCGTCCTTTTCATGGTCCTTCTCACGAACTTTTCTGAACAATAACTGAATCTTCTTGTTCATCAATTTACCATAAAAACATTTTTTGGAGTTCTGCTCCATTAGAAACATCTTTAGAGTACCCAGAGATTGACGGAAGATCATGAGAAGGTGGAGAAACTCACGTAGATGAAAAGGGGGAACCCCACCAGTAGTTTACTGTTGGGTTTGATCCTTCCATGACATGTGAAATCATACACATTGTGATCCTTCAATCTATGTTTTTTTAAGGGATATATTTCTTATCATTACTTCCTCAGAAACTGACTCATATCTATTAGCATATGGTTGTGATGAAGTTATCCCACCATCATTTGAGGAGGAATAATGATTCATAGGGCTAGTGATGAAATCTTGCAGGGAATGACTGACCCGTACAGAAGAAAGTACGAGTGCCTTTTGCAAACTGCAAGGTTGTTAGAATAAATAATCTTTCTTCCGAATATTTCAATATCCTTTTGGTGAGGGCAGACAAGGGGGAATCCAATGCACTTGATCCTTCCATGACGTGTGAAATCATACACATTCTGATCCTTCTATCTGTGTTTTTTACGAGGTATATTTATTTTTATTACTTCTTCAGAATCTTACTCGTATTTATTATTGGCATATGGTTCTGGTGAAGTCATCCCACCATCAATTGAGGAGGATTAATGATTCAGGGGGCTAGTGATGAACCCTTGGAGGGAATGACCGACCAGTACAAAAGAAAGTACGAGTGCCCTTTACAAAATGCAGGGTTGTTAGGAGAAATAATCGTTCTTCTGAACATTTCAATGTGCTTGAGGTGGGGGCAGACAAAGGGAATCTAAGTGTATTAAAAAAGACACCTGGATTCGACAGATGCTGGGGCTCAACCAGAAGTTTTCTAGGTGATTGGCTGCATTTCATCAGCCACTATCTCTGTTTTGATAAATGGAGAGATTTGTGGATTCGACAGAAGCTATTCATCTTCTTATTCTCTTTGTTTTTATTTGGATAAATTTTTACTCAATGTGGAAAAAGGGTCGACGGTGCTGATTTTATGGTTGGTAATCCAGTCTGGAAAGCAAGAACTCAATCATCTGAACGAACGTGGGCTCTCTCCAATTGTCTCTTGAGTATCCAGCAGAACGGAAGCCGGTGATAATTTTTTTCTTTCGGTACAGAAAGTGAAGGTTTTTTTACTAAAAGTGGAAAGTGTGTGCATGATGAAAAATCTAATGGGGGATTTGGAGCCAGAGAAAGGAGGAAGGGTTGTGAGATGATAGTTGACCACATTAATTCATCAGCCTGGATTTAACTTCTCATGTGGGGATTTACAAAACCTTGTGCCGCTAGATGATCCATCATCCTTTTTTTTTAATTCCTTATATGGGTATTTCTTCGCTAGATAACAAAGCAAGTGCAGTCAACGAGCCTTTCCTTATATAGTAGCGGTAGTTTGAAAATTAGATCTAAGTCTCAGAGGATAGATAGTTCAGGGTTGACCATGTCTAAAGGTACTGACTTAGGTTCCAGTTGAGATGAGATCACATGTGGGGAAGGGAAAACCGATTTCCACATGCCTCATCCAATTCGGGAAAGGTTGACCCTGAGAACATGCACGTTGTTTCTAGTTTAGTTCATGAATGGTCTGCTATTTACTATTTTTGCAAGGGATGCTGATCTGATATGTGTTCTTCAAGGTGACGGTGACGGTGTGGGGGAGAAGATTACAGGGGAGAGCAGCTTCTCTGAGCAGAAGGTTCACCACAGATGCAGGAGGAAGAAGCACGACCCGGGGTTGACCGAACCCATGAGATGATGACTGACCGCAGCTGTACCTCATGGGGAGACATGAAGACAGCATTGACCGAGACTGGATGTCCCGTCATGTTTCTACTGAGCTCCCCCCCCTTGAATTAGCTATTAGTCCCGAAGTCTCTGTAAAGTCCCTGTAAACTTTTCCTTTACTAGAAATCTGTTCTGACGTTTCTGTCACCTCTCTCTCTCTTTCTCTCTCTCTCTCTCTCTCTCTCTCTAACTGCTTCGCTCGCTAGAGCAGGGTTTTATGGAGGTTGACTTAGGGTGAAAATTTGATAGCAGTATCGGCCATGGCCCGAGAATATCAAGAAAGGGAGGGTCTCTCGAACTGATGACGTCACTGATGACGTGCGTTCCTCTGGACGCGCCGACCTCGCAGTTGATGCGGCTGCCGTGAGCTCTGACGAGAGGCAGTTTGACCACGCTCCCTCCCGTCAAAGGAACTTTCCAGCGGCGTGGTGCTAGTATTAAAAAGCTACAACTCAAAACCACCACGTCGTCGCCCACGGCTTCCTATGGCGGCGCCGCCGCTGGGTTCGCTCTGTTTAAAACAACCCCTCCCCTTCTTCTCCTCTCGGCAAGGATCATCCTATCGCTGAAACCGTAATCATCTTCTTCTTCCCCCTCCCATCTCCGTTCAACATCTGGTCCTTTGTTTCTGAGAAGAGCAGCGACGATGTCAGAGAACCAGGCCGCCGCCACCACCACTACCGCCGCCGCCTCCACCGCCATGGAGTCCGCGAGGAAATGGGTCGTTGAGAACAAGCTCAAAACAGTCGGTAGGCCCTCTCTCTCTCTCTCTCTCTCTCTCTCTCTCTCTCTCTCTCTGAGACTCTCTATCTGACATTCTGTGTGAAATCGGAAGGTTGCCTCTGGCTGAGCGGGGTCACGGGATCCTTCGCCTACAATTGGTCGCAGCCCGCCATGAAAACCAGCGTCAAGATCATCCACGCCAGGTAGGGTTCCTCCCCATCCATCCGCTGAGTGACCTGAAGCACAGGCGGGGGACTCCCATTTCTCGGGGCCTTACCCACCTTTTTCCCTCATACAGGCTCCACGCTCAAGCTCTCACCCTGGCGGCGCTGGCCGGAGCCGCCGTCGTGGAGTACTATGACCGCCAGCACGGCTCCAAGGTGCAGCAGCGCCAGGGGGAAAGGCTTTTCGCCGCCCCTCCGACCCACGAGAACTGAAGGAACAGGCGGCGGTTATGAGCCGCCGATGCCGGTTGCGCCATCGTGCAACCAGAACCCCCACCTGATCTATCTCTGTAATTCTTCGGATTACGCACAATAGAAAAAAAAATTCATCTTTCATAGTTCTATCGAGATCATCTTCTTCACTCGAGTGTCCCACCGTTGTGGGAGAAATGTGCCGCAAAGGCAGCTTCTTAGCTGCATTGCTTCTTCTCATACTGCGCGCACATTGTCGGGTCAAGTTGGCACCACAAGTCAACGGGGGATAAATGGGCACTATTTTTTCTACGTTTTTTTGAAAATAAAAAATACGCTCCCAACTTTATTTTATTTCTCAAAACATTACGAAATGAAAATGCAGTATTTTTAATTTAAAGTTACTATATTAGTCATGAAAAAAATAAGCCCGAAATATATTTTCTAAACATTCTGCTCCATTTTTCTTAAAGCTCTTCCACTCATGATAAAATATTTCCTTCTCCCCCTTTAAGGCATCTTTTTTATTTATTTTCATAATATGGAAATACAGTATCTATTCCCCTATTTTTTTAAAAATAGAATTGAGTTGTCTCTGCAGTGGAGCCCACAGCTAAGTAAATTTATCCAAAACACCCTGAAGAAACCTATTGTTACTATTGGACGCCTAGATGGAGCCATTATCTGAGAAACAGTCGTGGGGCTCTAGGTTTCACGGATCGGAAGCAGCCTTCTCCATCTTCCCTCCATCTTCTCCGGGTTGCCGCTGAGCGCTTGCTGTCACCGTCTTTCCCCGCTTCGTGCCGCCACCGTGCCAGCGGCCGGCAAGGGTTCGCCGGACGCCTCCACGAACCTCAAACTTCCGTGCCAGGCGCCTACTCCTGAGCTCCGTCCTCCGCCTGCTGCCGCCTCCGGCGAGTTTCTCTCTCTCTTGTCGCCGGCCATTCCCGCCGTTCTGTCGACATGGCGGAGGGGGGGATGGGCGGAAAGAAGAGAAAGCAAAGGCGCCCCCAAGGCCTGGGAGTGGAGAACGAGAAGAAGGACAGTCGGAAGAAGATGAGGAAGGATGAGAGGAGAAGGAAAACCGGGCTGCGGCTCCCCTCCGCCCTGCGCAAGGAGCTTAGCAAGGTGGGTGGCGATTCCCGAAACAGTGACGACGAATCCGACGTGGAGCGGAAGGGGGACGTCTACGAGTACGAGGAGGGCATTCCGGAGGAGGAGAAGGGGAGTAACCGGCGGTTCGACCCCGTAGAGGACGTCGAGTACGAGCTCCCCGACGATTTCGAGGTTGGATTTCTACTTTTCTTTGGAGAGCTAACGAAGAAGGTTGCTCAGTTTATAATTTTCAAATTCTAGTTTGGTTCTCGGAATTGTGCTTGTAGGATGAGGACTTGCCTTCTGACGATGAACCTGGCAGCGATGAGGAAGGTGGGTCTGGAAGATCTGATGATGGTGAAAAGGACGAGGACGCACACTTGAGGATGCTCCAAGGAATCACCGGCATGCCTGGCCACGCTTTCCGAGGTAATATCGTATTTTCCATGTGCAACTAGACGAAAGGAAGGTATCTCTGACCCCAAGTGCGATTTTTGATCTCTCAGGCAACAAGAGGAAGGAACCCGTGTTCTCTGACGGACATGGCGCAAATGGCGGGGATGCGCAGATAAGCATTCAGGATTTATTGGATCCTCTCCATGGGAAGCCCGGGTACAGTAGTCTAAGGAAGAGGTTGCAGCATATAGAGAAGAAACCGATGACAATACAAGCTCCACTTCCAAGAGTGGAGAGGGAGAGGCTGGAAAGGAAGGTGGCCTATGAGCACACAAAGAAGGATATGACTAAATGGGAGCCACTGGTCAAGAGGAACAGGGAGGCCCCAACTATTTATTTTGATGAAGATGTTGACATTGGTTACTCTACAGTCGGGGCAATTGCCTCTGAGTTTCGACCGAGGACAGATTTTGAGAAGAAAATGGCTCAATTGGTCCAAAATCCAGAGATTGTCGAAGCTCACCAGAAGGATGGTGATAAGTTGTTAACTTTAAACAAGGTGATATGGCGCAGATGCAAACTAATAGGATTGTGGGTTTTATTTAATTTGCGTTCGTAAATAATAATTTCCCTAGACATCATGATGCAATGCATGTGCATATTTCGCATGCTTTAGTTGTTTCCACATGGTTAACGTTCTTAGCATACGTGTCATCAGTGCCAGAAATCATGAGTAAAGAAGGGAATCGCTTGCACAGGGATTTTTATTTTTTTGATTGTGCATTGATGTCTTATGTTAGAGTGGATGTTGTGAACCTTTTTCTTATTTGGTTGGCTTTTACTCTTGCATGTACCTGAAACACCTATCACTTATGTTAAGTAATCTTGCCATCCCTTTTAAGAGCCGTACATTGCTTTTTTTGCTCACGCCTGGCAAGAATTAATGAATAGGCTATCTAAAACTTGAGGAATCCTGGCACATATACTTTTTAAATATCAGAAATCATCTGAGGAAGTCATTCCACGAGGAGTGATGTCTAAAACAAAGCAATATAAAGAATTGGCAATGGCGATTCCAACATTTGATATTTTTATTTCTGTAAGATCCGCGGCTTTTACCTTTTTTTTGTTTTTGGTTGAGGTTTTAACATTGTACAGTTTTATATCCTGTTTAGTGTGGGGAGGAGAGATGAGTATTCCTTTCATTTGTGGACAAACATGGCTACGTGGGTGAAGAAGTATTTTGGGACAGTCCTATAGTATGTGCCTTTGCAATTGCCTAAGTAGAAGGTCTTTCTTTGGTGAAGGTAGTTTCTGGATCATATTTTCAGTAGAAGCAAAAAATATTATCTGGCACATTTGCAAATCTTAGTTTCTTGTGCGTCGAGCATTTCCAGTGACCTGCTTGTTGAGTAGAGTCACGAATATAATAAACTGAAGCGAAATTCCTTTTTGATCTCGGCCCTTTTCTTCTCCTTCGTGCCTTTAATGTGCTCCCATAAATGACGCCAAAAAGTTATTATAATGTCGCCAGGCTCTTTGTTTTGTCAAATATCATCGTGGTATGTTTTTTATTCTTCCTCACCACATTCGCGCATTAGTTTCTTACTTGTACTTAATAGGGGGTTTCTGGACTTCTAATTCGTTAGAGTCATGCCCTAGTGCCTCAAGTACTCATCAACATATTTAACTACCGTTCTATATTGTTTCCTGCACTTTTGTTTCCAGCAGTTTATGCTTGAAGTTATAGACTTCAGTTTTATTGCATACCTTCATGAGCTTTTATTTCCCGTAACCATAAGCAAGAATATTCAATAATTGCAACCATCCAACTTATCTTTATCAAATTATTTATTTCTCTTTGCATTTGAGATCGAATCCTTGGAAATTCATATATGCTTCTATTTACGTGGTGTGCGTAAGTTAGCCTATATTTATTTTATAATTTTAACTGAGATGCTTATTTCATCTGATATATATATTTTTTGAGCAGATCTCGATAGAAGATATGAAGAATATTCAAAATTACCGAGCCAAAATGAAGAGTCTTCTTTTCCGACATGAAATGAAAGCAAAGCGTATTAAAAAAATAAAGTCTAAGACATATCATCGCATGCTTAAGAAGGGTAAACTCAAGGAAGGTTCAGATGAGGGTCTGACGAATCCGGATGTTATCAAAGAGCAGGCAATGAGGCGAGAGTTCAAGCGGGCTGAGGTGAGAGAAATCATAGTTTTTGGTCTATTTGGATTATCCATTTATGATGATATGCCTACTTGATGTGATGGTTTTTTGATAAAGTTCAAATGAAAAAGTGTGACACTTTGTCGTACAATGCAGGAGCGAATGACCTTAAAGCATAAAAACAGTTCAAAATGGGCCAAGAGAATATTGAAGCGAGGACTAAATGCTCAAGATGAAGGCACTAAAGCTGCATTAACCGAACAACTTCATCAGCATTCACTTTTGACCCGGAAAATGGATTCTGTGAAGGACGGCAGTAGTAGTGAGGACAGCAGTGATGACGATGATGATGATCTGTCAGATGACTCTTTAACTGGAGGGGCTTCCAAACTTCTTACAAGAGCAAAAGAAAAGACTATGAAAGTTATGGAGGAGGAAGATGAGACCTCCAAATCAGGGCTTCTCTCATTGCCGTTCATGGTAAACCTTTAGTTTTTTTTTCTTATTTCATTTCACTATTTTATATTATCCACTCTGATTATCTTTTAGCACCTTAACAATCTGAAGTGTCAGTGGTCCATGCAATGCCCCTGTTTCATATATGATGGCCAATGCGAGATCACAAGATATATAACATTAGCATATTATCATATGGTGATGTATATTCTTCCTAATACTGACGCAGACTGTAAACAAAATACTATTTATTATCATATGACGCTAGAAAATGGCAAATGATTAGGGAGGCAAATTCGCTTTTTAGCATTCTTCTAATTATTTGCTTTCCACTGGTTGGCGAAAAGAGTTTGAGACCTTTCTTCAATGGAGAAAACAGAAGAAGGGCTGTGAGATGGTTGATGTGACATCAGCGTAAAGTTTGGAACCTTATCCATCCAGGCATTGAGGCTACTATTATAAGCGTGGCCTATCTAGGTGTGGGTGCCTCAGACGAGAAATGTCTGTAGCCAATAGAAGATCACATCAGATGCCAACATAATTAGTACAGTAAATTACAGAATAGGCTGGAGAAGAAGAGACATGATCGTAGAGGGTCATTAGAATTTGCCAATATTGATTAAGGTGCTTCGTGTTGCGAGGTCGGGGCTGATAAGTTTCATTTTTTTCTACCCTTGGGATACTGCAGCACGAGATTATTTAACTTGCTGCAGGTTTACCTCCTCAAAACTCCCACCATTAAGCAGTTAGCCTCCAGTGGAGTGTGTTTTTCATCAGTGTGTTAGATCATCCTATTTTCTATGTCAGTCTTTTGTGGCAGAAGACTCCTGTAAAAAACACTTTTCCCTTAAGACACAAGTTCTCATGATGATCTCTGACAGGTTAGAAGAAAAGATCTGATGGGCTAGGCCCACAATCTAAATGTTCTAGTGAGAGTGAGTCTGACCTGATGTTTTCATCCATCATGTCCTTTGTAGGTTCAGTTATAGTCGGGTTGGGATGGGTGAGGAATTAGTCTTATCCACGCCATTTTTTCTCTTCTCTAATTGAAAGGTCTTATCAAGCAGATGTTTCAGACACTGAAGTTATTCCCAGTTATCTTATCTCTCCTCAGAGGACGCATCCACCTTGGCTTCATTTTCTTTCCTTGAACATCTGTACTTAGATCTGAGATACTCTGTTAGCCGCCAAACTTAAATGAAGTCGGAGATCATCTTTCCTTTCCCCTCATATGCCATGTCTCCTCATGCCACGTCTGATCACATGCTATTGTGCGCCTCCTTATGTGAGTCGCCTCATGACATGCATGGTCGGTTTGTGGTTTGACTTTTGTGGTGGGCCCCACTGTTCTGGATCCGAATTTTATGGAGCTTTGGACCGTATCATCGGTGATCATTCAACATCACCATGCTGGGACCATCATTCAGCCTGCACGCTGTTTAATTGGTACATGGGTGACCACCTCATTCCCAGATTGCTACCTAGCCTACTCAAGGATTGTGTGAACTGTTGATGAGCTTTTAACGTCCAATTGATACAATATGCTAATGACAAGTATTCTGGAATCGCACTTAGTTCTAACTCTTTAGTTCTCCAAATCCGTTCCCTTGATAACTATGATCGATCAAACTTTTGAAAAGTGCCCTTCCTTGAATTGCTTATGCACAGATTCGAGGCCTGAAAAAGAAAAACGAAGCACTTCTCGAAGAAGGGAGAGCTGCTCTTCAGGAGTATGATTCATCATTGAAGGGCCTCAACAACGACAACAGGAAGGACGCTGCACAACCAGGCGCATCAAGTGGCAGAAGAGTTTTCGGAGCATCCAGAAAAGAGCCCCAGGAAAACATCGACGAAGTTGAGACAGACGCCATTGGAGATGGCAGTGATAGTGAAGCTGAAAGGCGTTCTCTATCAAGTCGTGCGATGAGAAATTCAGCCCAACGGCCTCAGAGGCCTTCTGGAGAAGTAAAAACGAGCCATGAAGGTGGATTTAAGGTGAGTATATTCCGAACTTTTTTAGATCACTTGCTCAGAGGAGATACTTATTTCTTTATGCACCGTCAGATTTATTTTTATTTTTTTCATTTTTACCTTGTTGAATCACAGAATATCGATGAAATTACCAAAGAAACAGGCTCCAAGATTACATATGATGTATCGATTTTTGATATCGACTACTTTGGAAAGGTATTATTACTTCCTGTGACCCAATCTTTTTTCATCGTCGCTCTTTTACTTTTCCTTTAATTTTTTATTTTTTTTTCGGTTGATGAAGAGTGACAACGTGGTGGACGTTGCCGTCAACAACGCTGTGACAGCTCCAGACCATTCTTCATCTCATCTGGACACCAAGGTAGGGCAGACTTCTCCGGTAGAACTTGGACTGTTCATCTTTCATCTGGCTCGTTGACTAGTTTTTCTCTTCCGAAAGGCTGCCTTCCAAGATAGTGACATGGACTCGGAGGAAGAGATGGTGGATGGATTTCTCTCTGGTGGGGCCAGAACAAGAAACGAGCGTTCATCTGAGGGCTGTGCCTTTGATCTTAAAGACGTGGAAGGAGAATTTGAGAGGGAAAAGCTGGAAGTACTCACCCAGGAGGTTCCAGAGCCTGAGAAGCCCGTTTTGCTCCCTGGTTGGGGTGAGTGGACTCGGACACAGAAGAAGAGAGGCTTGCCAAAATGGATGCTGAATGAGCATGATGAGGCCAAAAGAAAGAGGGAAGAAGCCCTCAAGAAGAGGAAGGACGCTCATCTCAAGCATGTCATTATTTCGGAGAAGATGGATAAGAAGGTTAGTTTCTAAATATGTGCATTCAGTGCTTTGGGAAATCATATGCTCTCTCTCTCTCTCTCTCTCTCTCTCTCTCTCTCTCTCTCTCATTCATGTGGCCAAGTTGAGCTTTTGCCCGGGGAGTGGAAGTCATTGCTTGTCATTTCTTCAGCTTGCGAGTTTTGTTCGCTAATGATGGATCATTCTGGTTTTTGTTTGCAGGCTGAGAAGCTACATACGAGGGCATTACCCTTTCCGTTTACATCCAAGGAGGTTTTCGAGCAGAGCATCAGAATGCCCATCGGACCAGAATACAACCCAGCAGTCTCTCATAATGCGCTCAATCGCCCAGCCGTGAGTATCATCCTCTTCCCTTAGTTACTTGTTCTGACGTGCAAACAATTTTAAATTAATAGATTTGGGCAGTAGGTTGACTTTGCGGATGACAGAAGCGGTCGGAGAAAACCATACTATTTTTGGCAAAAAAAAGCACCCAATTCAGATGCTGTTAAAAAATTCTTCTCATCATGATGCATTCCTGGCTTCAAAGATTTTTCCAAGATACAAGGAGAAATCATCTAGACCGATTGCTAGATTTTGTTCTTCTACCGCTAACCATACAATCTTTTTTTTGAGTAAAACCACCAACTTTTCTTAGGAATTTGAGCTCGAAGCTGAAAGTCAAACAGAAGGGGGAATTAATGGATGACTCCACTTTGCATTTCCTGTGCTGACCTTAGATTCTCGTTTGTTCAGGTGGTCAAGAAACCGGGCATCATCATAAAGCCCATTCAGTTTGAGGAGGTGAGCGCTCACGAAAAGTCAACGGAGCCCAACCGGCCGAGTCAAACCAAGTCGAAGAGAGGCAAGGCTCCCGGAAAACAGGCGAAAGCCCCTTCCAAAGGGAAGAAATCTTAGCTCTCGCTTCCGCTGAAGGGTATGCCCAGGGATGTTCGAGGCCAGGTAAGGATAGAATGAGGCACCGATTTTTCGGCCGCTGCAGCTGATATGAGTTTCATATTATCCACTTGCACTTGAGCTCACAATTTTGTATAGCAGATGGAGAGTATCCTAGATATTCGCCCCCCTGGGCCCACTTTCGGGCCCGGCCCGGGACCGGGTCTACCCAGCACACCTATTTAATCCATTTTTGCCCTGTAATAAACCACCTTATTAGTTCTAATCCAGTCCTCCTTTCATGGTATTTAATCCCATTTCCTATTTAATCCAATTTTGCCTTCCTTTTTAGTTCTGCTTCGATAAATTGATTCCATTTTTATCGTGTGCTGCATCCATTTGAATGCTATTTATCATCAAATTCTGTCTCCTTTTATCATCATCATCATCATCATCATCATCATCATCATCAATGTTCCAATTCACATCTCAACCGCTGGGGGCTACTGGAAACACGCTGCAGTAGTCCCCATCTTCATGAAATAAAGATGATCATCTCTAGGCTTAGATTGGAGTAGCAAGAAGAAAGGTAGATCTCTGGCATATTCGGGTCAAAAAGACCCCTAAAATGCGAGAAGAATGGGGCGAATTAATCTTCCTCCTCTCCTCCCCTTCATTCTCTACCATGTTGAAGTAACACAGCTCGTACAGGTTGCGATCGTTGTTGGAGGCGATGACACGCAGCTACTCCTTGACGTTGAGCTTCTTCAGGTATTTCTTCGTCAGCTACTTCCAAGTACTTGAGAATAGTCCGGAAAGGGATTGTGAGTTAATAATAGGTTGATCATAATATTTAGGGAACCCAAGAACAAATGAACAAAACCCGACAGAAGAGATTGGACCGGAGCCAAAACCAACTTTTATAATCATAATCTACGAACCCTTTTAACAGTAATAATAAAGGAAAATATCTAATCTGCTTGGATTGTCTGCGATGGCTTAAAGAAAATGATTAAAATTATGGGAACCAAATCACCAAATTGGAAGCCTGATCTTTCCTGTTCATTGCATTGTTTTCCAGAAATAATCACTGTTTAGAAAAGGTTTCAACTAAGATGGAATATACAGAAATAAACCAAATAAAAAAAAACATGAAATATAACTTCGAAGCCATCGCGATAGTGGGTTCTTTAAAAGTGTTCAACATATAAAATAAAATACTAAGATTCCATGCATTGAAGATCATCCGAAAGTATATCGTGTGAAGGAAAGTGAGGCCCATCAGCTCATTCAGGGTAAGAACAAAATATAAGTTGGGTACGGGAACATCAAACACATTCAGATGTAATGGCATCTGAATTCCTAAAAGGAGAAAAATTAGAGTAAAAAATGATATACTAAACGAGTGATTGAGAGAGAGCCCATTGTGAGCAGCCTCAAAGAAAACGTATTTAAAAAAAAAAATGCAAGCTCAAGAAATTTTCTTCGTCTGTAAGACATTTCCTCTTTGTTCCAACTAAGATTTAATTAATGCCATACAATCGAGGTATTGATCTTTCCTGAAATGATTCACCCAGCAGGAGTACGAACACCTTGAGATCAATCACTGTACATATAGACACATGCTAAAGATAACAGGGCCTAAACATGTCAGTTAAATTTTTTATAGAGATGATAAAGATAAATAAATAATACTTCTCTAATGAATAAATCTCTAAAATGAAATAGATTCATCTAAGTCTCCTTTCCATCACCATCATACATTCCATCGATTTTAAAAAGCGCCCTCACACACTAAAAAATCACATGAAATCTTACATCTGTAAAGACTTGATAGAAGGTCCTAAAAGAAAATCAACAACAGCTGACCAAGGTGACGTCATTACCACTTGGAGGAGGGGCCCTCAGAGGAGATGGTGATTTTGCTCTTGTCATAGGAAACTGTGACCGTGTCTTTGAGCGTGCCAAGCTTGTCTCACGCAACCTTGATGTGCTTGCTGCGTGGAGACATAAGAGTGATGGGACCCCGTGCTTGTAGGTAGAGAAAAGTCAACAAGGGATGAAGAGAGGGGAAGTATTCGTTGAGATAGAAGAGTGCCCACTCCGTGGAGAAGGGGAAGTTGATCCTTTTATTCAAGAAAGACTGACAGATCTCGAGCATATTCGAGGACTATTGACAACAATAGAAGAAGAATGAAAGAGTTGCTGGAAAAAAAGAGAGGCATAGCTTCGACAGGTGAGGACATAGTGCTATGCAAAGCATCAAGGGATGTCGATCGTTACGAGGGGATCGACCTCTTCACTTCCTCCACTTCTCCTTCGACTCCGTTGTAATTTATAAATGGCTGCCGGCTGTGATTCCCTATGATTCCCCCCGATGTAGCTTCTATAATTTCACTTTCTTTATTTCTTGCTTCTGTAATTAGTGTATCTCTTTCCTCCGTACAACTGATCTGCCTTGTTTCCCTCTTTTCTTGTCTTGTAGTCTGGCCACCTTTCCATCAAACTATGAGATTTTATCTTGAGAATATATATTTTTCTATATTGTAATAGTAACCTTATGAGATCCAATTAGCTATCAAAATAAATTATTTTTCTAATTAATCATTGATATTGTTCTTTGTTGACTAAATTCTCCTCATCACAAGTTCCCAATTTTAAATTTGGATTCATAAGAAGAGTACTCAATAGCTTACACATTATTTTTTCTAGTTCTTGAAGAAGATCAATAATATATCTATGTTGAGAAATGAAAATTCATTGTTCTGAGTAGGCAACTTTTATGCCCAGAAAATATCATAACCGTCCCAAAGACTTGATCTCAAATATTTTTTAAAGTTGTTGACTCAAATGATAAGCTTCTATTTTATTATTTTTTATAATAATAATATCATCTAAATACACAAGAAATTGTCATTTCATTTGGATGTGAGTGCTTAATAAATAAAATATGATCACTATTACTTTATTTATAACCTATACTTTTCATGACGTTAGAAAACTTCCCAAACTAGGGCCTGAGGATATTATTTCAGTCAATATAATAATTTTCTCACCTTACATACCTTTCACCCATGAAAGAAAATTCATGAAAGAAAACATTCTTCACATCATATTGATCAAGTGACCAACCAAAGCTTGCTGTCGGTGCAATCAATATATGCATGGTGTTAAATTTTACAACTAGATACAAGGGTCTCCAAATAATCAATTACGTGGAATTGAGTATATCCCTTGGCAACCAAGTATGTTTTGTATTGTTCTAGGGATCCATTTGACTCATACTTCACAATGTACACCTATTTACATCTAATAAACTTTGTGTTGAGAAAAGTAAATTATTTCTCATGTATTTTTTTTCTCTAGGATCTCCATTTCTACATTCATAGTTTTCTTCTAATTTATATCATTTTCGTGGTACCAAAGACAATGAGCTCTCTGCTATGATTTTTAAAGAAGATTATAGCGATGCCTAGCATCCAAAATATGATATGTCTACTTTGGTATCAATTTATCTATATTTTAATATTTTTACTTCATTAGTCTCTATGTCAACATTTATCTTTATTTTCAAGATATATAGTTAGTATTTAGATGAAATCAAGGGATAAATTGAGAGCCATTAGTACTCAATTGAATGGACATAACTATTCTTATTAGAGTTATGTCATGACTCATTTATTACATGACAAAAAAAAGTGAAAATATATTGATGGTATAAAAACTCTTCTTATGAAGCCATCAATAATAGATATGCACCTTCTTTAAATGCATTGACTACATTTGAATAGAAACTTGAAGATTGACATATGAACAAATCTATAATTATTACATGGTTTAATGATTCTACTGAGTAATTTTTTAATTTTCACTTGACAAAATTTTCTACTACCAAATTAGCATGGAATTATTTGGCCAATCTCTATATACAAGACAACTTTGCAAGAGAATATTAGCTTGAAGGAGAGATACTTATCATTTGATAAAGAAATCAATTTATATAAGATTTTTATTCTCATATTAATATTTATGAGACTATTAGCTCTCACAGAACCAAAATCAGTTCAAAATGATCTAGAATTTTTACATTATCATGAGAGAAAGAGACTAGTGCAATTTTTGATAACACTTCGTGATGAATTTGAGAATATGCATGTATCTTTATTGCAACTTTTCATAACACTCTCTCTTTTACCTACTATCTCAATTGTTGTGAGTGAGCTTATTATCGAAAAAACTCATTTGAAATCTACCTTTTCCACTAGTGTTCTTGGCATTGCACATATGGTCACTGGTGCACATAATTAGACACACTTCTAGTCATCCTACGTCTCGTGTATCTTCAAATGAATGTAGCTATTGTCATAACAAAGGTCATTGAAAAAAAGATTGTCCACAACTACAAGGCAAAGGTCGTGGACGTAGCAAAGGAAGAGTCACATCTTCACAAGACTCTAGTGGTTATGACATTCCAAGAATGGATACTTCAGTCACATCTACTATATCGATAGAGCAACCAATCTCTACCTCAAAGAATATCTTCTACTAATAATCAAATCTTTATTTCTAAATAACTTACTTGTCTTTGTCAAATCACCTTTGCCTCTACTCACCTTGCCACTGCTAATGTCTCTCTCTTTCTTGATGTAGGTAAGCAATCTCTTTAGATTTTTGATTTTGATGTTACAAATCATATGACACTTTCCTCTACTTAGCATTCATAGATGAATTTCAATTCATAATCTAACCTTGTCTATATTGCTAATGGCACCTTCATGTCACTTCATACTTTGGCACTGTTAGTTAGTCCAATCTTTCTCTTCCTAATGTTCTTTATATGCTTAGCCTCTCTATCAGTCTTTTATCTATTAGTTAACTCACTAACCTTGAGTATCATGTTACCTTCACTCCTAAATCTTATACTATGCAGGATCAACAAACTGGGGAGTAGATTGGGACAAGTCATAAAGTTGGATGATTATATCATCTTGAAACCCTTCATCTTCCTCTCTCTTGTTGTCATCGTCTCTTCATTGGATTTGTCTTTTTTTAGACTATGTCAAAACTCTTCTCTTTTTTACTTGTGGTACTCTCACCTTGGCCATGTGTCAGCCTCTCGTTTATAATTTTTAGTTTCCACCGATGTCTTAGGAAGTATCACATCATGTGATATTTCAAGCTGTTGTGCATGTAAATTTATAAAATTGACAGCTTTGTCTTTTGACTCTAGTATAAGTATTAGTACTTCTCCATTTGACCTTATTCACTCTAACATTTAAGGTCTTGCTCCAATTGCCACAAAGGGTGGATCTCACTATTATATTATTTTCATTGTTGACTTTAATAGATATATATGGATATTTTTCATACATAAATATTTTGAATTCTTTCATATATACTTTTTTTATTACGCATATAAAAACATAATTTGGAAAGGTTGTTAATCTTTTCACTCTGATTTTGGGAGAGAATATATGTCTAACTCTTTTGCTATTTTACTTTTATAAGAGGGCACCATTCACCAAATTTCTTGCCCATATACTCCTCAACAAAATGGTGTTGTTAAACACAAACATCTCCACCTTATTGAGACATCACAATAATTACTTTTGTTTAATCTTGTCCCTTTTATATTTTGGATTGAAGCTCTCTTGATCACAACTTATCTTATAAATCACATCCTGTCTCAAATTACTTTTGACATTTCTCTATTTGAATCTCTATATTCTTCTCGTCTTTATTACTCTTCTCTTCATATCTTTGGATTCACTTTTTTTGTTCTGCTTCCATCTATTGAACGTATGAAACTCTGTCTATTCTCAAATGTATCTTTCTAAGTTACAACCTCACTCAAAAAGATTATAGGTGTTATGACCCTACCTTTGATCGTCTTATTGTCCCACATCATGTAATTTTTTTAGAGCACATTCTTTATTTTTTTATTCCTCTAGCTTCACCTTCTTTAAGTCCTCCTACATCTGTTACCTAATTCCTTAACCCTTTTTCTAACCCCCCTATGTCATCTAATTTACTCTCTACGTCCTCCTCTACTCATCCACTTGATCCTACTCCTAATGTTGACCCATCTCTTCTTGCTCATATATCATGTCTACTAATGTCCCGCCTACTACCACGTATGATACTTTCATACTTGACCATCATTACTTACCTACTTATTATTCATCTTTGGTCTCTACATACTTTCTAAATTTTTTATTATTTTTTTCTATCATTCATTCTCACATTGAACTTTGTTCTTACAAAGAAGCCTCTCTTGATCCTATATGGACACATGTCATGTTAGATGAACTTGATGTCCTTCAGCATACTCATATTTCGGACCTTGTCCCACTTCCTACAAGGAAATATACTATTGATCGTAAGTAGGTATATAAGATTAAGACTAAAGCAAATGATTCTATTGAGCATTACAAAGCTCGAGTTGTTGTAAAATGTTATTTACAAGAATATGGCCTTGATTACGAGGAGACATTTGCTCTAATGGCTAAGATGACTTTTATTCGCTCTCTTATTTCTATTGCTGCCTCTGGTGGTTAGTCTTTATTTTAATTGGATGTGAAAAATACATTCTTAAATAGGAACCTTTTTGAAGAAATTTATATGCTTCCACCACCTGGACTATCTCATCTTACAAGTCATGTTTGTCACTTGCGATGTGCTCTATATGATCTTAAGCAAACACCTCAGGCTTGGTATGTAAAATTTAGTTTAACTCTTCTCCATCTTAGATTGATAATTTTTAATTATGATTCAGTCTTATCTACATCATTTTCATCTCTCAGTCGGATCTTTCTATTACTATATGTCAATGATATAATTATTACAAGAGATGATTCATCAAGTATTACTTCCTTGAAGAATTAATTACACACCTTATTTGACATGAAGGATCTTGACCATCTTCATTATTTTTCTCTTCATTGCTATATTCTTTCACAATCCAAATACGCACTTGATTTATTTGACCACACGTGTTTTACTAATAATACATGTACAGCTGATACTCCTCTTGAGGTGCATTCCAAACTTACATCTTTTGATGGTATTCCTCTTCAAGATTCAACTCAATATCGTGAGGTTTTTGGGTCTCTTGTTGGGCCACCATGGGCTCAAATTCTGCATGGTATTCCACCATAGTGCCCCATTGTTTGATGTTCAGGAGATATCATAGCTGTCGCTGAAGCGCTCTAGAATTTCCCACTGGAGGTCCTCTCAAGTTTGAAAATTCTCCTGGTCGACTCCCCATTTGGGCCATAAGAGAGCTTCGCCTTCTAGATTCATGCTCACCGCCGAGAGTTTATTTGCCGTCGTCAGCTGGTGTACCGAGAAATAAAGTTCAATTCGAAAGACCCAGATCTCTGGGTTCTCGCCGTTGAAGACGGACATTTCTATCTTCCGAGCACCTGACCACGGTTCGCCGCCGTTGGTGGTTGATAGAGGAGCCAGTATGGCCCCTAGAGCATAACTCTTGTGTGGGCGGGTGAAGGTGCTGGGCCGGCAGAAGAGAGGTCGCCCCACGGTTGGGCTCCCTTGGAGCCGGCATGGGAGGCGGTGCCTCTCTTTCCTTCTATAATAAGTACCTCTCTTTCCTCCGTATGATCGAACTATCTGAACTTTAGAAGGCCACTGCCCCCTTATTCTTCCCTCCCTTCGCACCCACCGCCCGCCACTGCCCCCTTGACTCATCTCTGCTCTCTCCCTGGCCTCTCTCTCTCTCTCGGGCAGCACCAGATCGTAAGGCAATTTCAACATAATCAAGTATAAAATAATATATTTTCATAAATATAAAAAATAACCAACCAGAACATTTGAGCATGAAACTAAACCTTTTCAGCTCCCTCGCTCTCTCTCTCTCTCTCTCTCTCTCACTGGCTCTACCAAGTACAAGTCATATCATGCCCATTGTGATGTGACTCATGAAATCTTATTATCAATAGAAGCACGAAAACCTTTTGACTTTGATGGAGAAAACTAATAGGGTACGCATCCAAGGAGTTATAAAGGTATTCAACTGAACTAGGTGTCCAAAATACGTGAAGACATATAATTCGGCCTAAATTCAGTTCCAGATTATCCAGTAAAAGATTTAGACACAGGTTAAATATATCAAAATCTCAATTACTGTGTTTATTATTTCTAACATATTATATATTTTAAATAATAATAATAATAATAATAATACTCTATTAAGGGTGTTCTTACTTCTTAAGAATGTTCTAACATAATATATATTTTATTTAGGACCATTCAAACAGGATCTCCTATTTTTCTAAGTTTGTTATAACTAAACTTTAGCCTATTTAAAGGTTTCTTTGTAGCCCCACCCACAGTCATTAAAGTTTATTTCTATTAATCCCACAAAATTTACCTCTTTTGTAATTATACTTCTCTACTTGTGAATTCCAACATAATCTGTAAATTTAGAAGAATTATTTTGATCATGTAGACTCAATATCAAACCCTTGTGGACTCAAAAGACAAGATTTATTTATCTTGTGAACTTGGGATGAAATTTTCACAAAAATCAAATATTTTGTGGATTAAAAAATGAGACTAGAACTTTGTACAGCTCAAACTGCTTCAACTCGCTCAAATCACTATCAAGTCAACGTTTTCACAACGTCACATTGATATCGCTATACAAAATAATAATATAAATATTTTATTGTTCAAATAAAGAGACCAAATAAATTGAAAAATATTTCAAGTTTAAGTGATAGCATAAAATGAGGGGGAAAAAATGCACCAATTTCGGATGGTCAGACGGATTCGCTCTTTCATTAGAGTTCCTGGGTTTGATCAAGATAATGGGAAGAACAATACTTTTACACAAAAAGGAAGGAAACAGAAAACCCTAAACATTTCTACCAGTAAGCTCAAGCTCACCTAAACAAATCGATCAAATAATATCCAGTGTCCATTATAATCTTCTTCATCGCTCACCAACCAGGGTTATATATAAATCCCCGAATAAGATGTTCATCGGCTGCTGGTTGTGATCCTCTTCGAGCCCATCTCTCTAAGATCAAAGCTTCAACAGTGCAATTCCTCGTACATTTCCCTCTCAAGCAGAGGAACTGTTCTTCCCGAGTGAAGAGAAACAAGGAAGATCGATACCTGTTTATAATTTAAACAAGGAAGAAACAAGGAGGGTGGGTGGGGCTTACTGTTTATAATATAGATCAGTCGCCTAGTACCGCCTGAGATCTTTTGGCGGCTTGAAGTTGAGCGGATGGGTTTCTGGCGTGGCCGTCGGATCTTCCTTCCACATCTTGATGGTCTTGTCAGCTTCGCAGGTGATCAGCCTCGTTCCAGTCATGTCGTAAGAGAGGGCATATATGCCGGCCTCACTGTCCAGAGATCCTGAGAAGGGCAGGGCAGGTCAGGGGGAGAATCATTCTCTCTCTCTCTCTCTCTCTCTCTCTCTCTCTCTCTCTCTCTCATAGGGGGGGATAAATGGAGAAAAGATGGATACCTGGTTGGACAATTGTCTGGGCCTGCTGGAAATTATGGCCGCTCTTCCAGTCCCAGAACCACATGCTTCCATTGTCACCTAAAATGGAGGAGGATCATATTCAATAATGGTACACATTTTTTTCAGATTTATTCAGTTCACCATTATTTAAAAGAAAGTGGGATTTTTCTAGCTATAATCGGGAAAGATGCGCAAAGCACACCTGCGGTCACTAGAACACCATCCTCATTGACTGCCATTGCATTAACGATCGTCTTCTGCTGAGATCTGCATGATACACAGGACATTCCTAAATCATCAAGACAAAGCAATCGAACAGCCGTTCGGAGGCGTCCACTACCGTCTTTTTATTACAAAAAATTGATGACCATGAACAAAAAAAAAAGGCGTAATTTAACAACAGCACGCCAAGTTTTTCAGTTTCACAGAATAAATTTCTCAAGGACATGGCAAATGGGACGAACAAGGGTATCACAGGTTTTAAGATCATATAATCATCCTTGCTTCCTCACATTCAACAACCACCCCAAAATCAGAAATCATGGCTGATATAGGGAAAGATTATACCGGCAAGTATGAGGATTACTGATTCCGCATCTTAACAAGGGAGAAAAAAAAGAAAAGATAGTGATTTGGCAGATTAGATGGAGGGTAAAGGGATACTACTCACAGCATATTGTGCAGAAACTCTCCTTTTGGGAGCCTAAACTTTTTTACATTATCCGCTGATGAAGATGCAAACGCTTGCCTGGAGAAGAACAGCAGAAGTCTACTCACCACAGCAGAGAATTCTCGGAGGAAAAACATAATGGCATAGGAAATATCTGATAATTGCTCAGGGGTATTAGAATTTATTTTTTTTTTGGCAAATATCTGATAATTGCTCAGGGGTTCTACTGTGGTTTATACATACTCTTGTGGATGTAGCGCCATTGCACGCACAGATTTTTTATGGTGGGTGAGAGTTGCCATCGTTTTTCCTGTAAGGTGAAAGAGACCAACTTTTAGAACAAGGAAGCAAGAGATTGTTGAGAAAAGCACGTCACTTGAGCAAAGAATAACCAGCTGTTAGGTCCCAAAACTTGATTGTTGTGTCGTGTGATCCGGTTACAACCTGTGGATCCTGAAAAGGCAAAAAATTGTTGTGATTTATATTCCTCAGATCAACGTAAAAAAAAAAACAACGAGATTGAAGAACCTTAAACCCAATTGCTGAATGGGTAATGCAGGTAGTACGTAACAAGTAGGTTATCCTTTAAGTTTTACATAAACAGAACTAAACGAAAAATCTGACGACGACAGAATCGAGGTCAACCTTGAGGGATAAGATATAATATATCTTTATTTATTTATGAGCTGAAGTAATTACAGAAAAAACATGTTGGGGGGGGAGGGGATTTAGACCGGTGCAGTATCAGCGATCATACTAGAAATGAGGCAACATAACCTTCCTTAAGGTCAGATCATGTTGACCGATAGATGAGTCTCGACTACATCAAATGATGTCATGCCCAAAGGTCACTCTCAATACCCACTGGCTGAGATCACCATCTTGATGCCTTCCCCTACTCAAAGAATTTCCCTTGCCTTCTATTTTTCCGTACCAGATCGTAGCTTTAGTCGCAGTATTTACATATGAGTGGATAAATCTCGAGTCGCAATATTTCCAAATGTCAATTTTGAAAACTTGGGTCAAATATGAGTCATGGCTTCCATGTTGGAAAATCACAGTACAGTTGACAGCTGTTAGACATAAAGTCAAAATATGGAAATTGTCAACTGCGGAAACGGAGACAATGAAGATTCCAAAAAAGTGTCCTCAAGCTCGGATTATTACTGAGACAATGAAGTCAGATTTACTTCCAAAAAACTAAAATCCTACATTCCTAGAAGCATTACGATATATCTTGATGTGAAGAAATATTGAGCAATGCAAAATCCCCATGATACTAAAGCCATCAATTGATTTTCAACAAAAAAGTTACGGGAATGACATGATAAAGTGAAGCGAAATATAGAAATGTATAAAATAAAATAAAATGTATCTCGATACGGTATTGAGATGAGACATTTGTATAGGAATTGTTAATGGTCTGGGTTCGGCAGTACACATACCACAGGACGCGTAAAAACTGAACAGACAGTATTGTCATGCCCTGACAAAGCGAAAATCATCGCCTTAGTACGGATATCCCACACCTGAAAAATAAAACACAGCATGGCTAACTAAAATTTCAGAATCAACACTACATCCAGGATGGCCCCTGGAGAAATCGTGGTAAGATACTCAGACAAGCATGGCATGCTTATTCAAAAAATAATATATAATACTCAGGAGTATTCTGGGTGCTTGTAACTTTCTTCAGCAGTATGAAAAGTATGAAATGGATAGTCATAAGAGATTAAGAAAGAATGAGAAAAATAAAAACCAAATGTGTGAGGATACATATTTCGTATTCACATAATGTATGTACTAGACAAGGCATAGATTGTACCCGACACACAGAATCTCGCCCACCAGTGAACAGAAGATCAAGAGTGGGGTGTAGAGCTAAGCAGTATACACCACTAAGATGTCCATGGTAGGACCGTATGACCTGTAAAAAAAGAAAAGCAGGAGTTAGGTAATATTCTCCCAAACATTAGTCATTGAAGCGCCAAATACTAGGCAAATATATCTCCATTCACCTTATTCTGTTCAAGATCCCAACATTTAACTAGTTTGTCATCGCCCGCAGAGAACAGATAAGTATGCCTCCGGCTCACAGCAAGACCTTCAAAATAAGAAGACAGCTGCATCAATTATTTCAAGCTCATAGGCATATTAAATTATCTGTGCAAAAGCAGAACATAGTAAGAATAAAATAGGCAATCTACATAGTAGAGTAGAATAGGGACAAACCGCGTATTTGTTCAATGTGTCCAGTCAGTGTGAGCTTTAACTGAGCACTTGCTAGATCCCATATCTTCACACAACCAAAAAATATCAGCTGAGTTAAAACACAACGATATAGCCCGAAGAGCAGCGTGTTCATCAAATAAAACAGAAGAAAAAAAAAATCCAGACTGGAAATCGCATGTGTAGACCGAATAAAAAATCCAAATATGAAGCAGAGACCAACAAAATAACTCTAATGAACGTTGCAAATAGACCTTCACCAGATTAAAACATTTTATAACAGTACCAACGACAGAAATTATGTAAAAAGGCTCATTAGACTCAAGTTAGTAGGCTTGGCATTCTGAGAGACGCAATTGCATGTTTACATCTCGTGGATGTCAATATTTAAGCATGCACTCTTTTAATGAAATTCCATGTGTAGATATCTATAAATGAAGAGAATACTTATATGAATAAAATCAGAGAGAATGGTGGTGTAACCTTAATTGTGCGATCTGCAGAACCAGTACAGAACCATGAATTGCTTGGATCAATAGCCACGGACCTCACCCATCCTAAATGACCACTGATAACCTAGAATTGAAAGTTGAAACATAGAAATAATAACTACGAGAAATATCACTAAGAAAGAAAGCATCAAGTTAAGGTGAAATTCCAATTAAATAAAAAAAAAGTTGAAATAGAAAAAAAATAAGATGCAGTGCTTTAAACACAAAGAAAGCCAACATAGGACATCAAGGTTATTATTTGCACCCAAATAGCTGAACGTAGTTAAAATAGACTAAATTTGAAATAATATAACAATTAAAAGAAATCTATTCCCCCCTGAGAGATGGCAACAGAGCCAAAGGAAAAAAATATTCCAATTCCCGCTGATGACAAGTTTCTTAATCACAAATTAATTAACAAAATCAAGAGCTTTCCTGGTGGCAACCTTGGGGAAAAAGAGTTTATGACCAGCCAAAATGGCAACCACAGAGATCTTTGATCCAAAAATACATATATTGCCATCGTTGATCATGGAAAGCCTCTCTTTATGAAGATGCTCAAAAAATGCTTTCCTTCACCTTATGTGAGAAAGGCGTGCAAAATTCCTCAAGAACAAAAGTCCAATAGGGTCGTACATTCGCCATGATACCAAAAGCAGGATGTAGAAAGTATAAATCATGTTTTTTAAATAACACAACTTGTTGTGACAACAAAAATTCCTCCTGAAGTTACATACTGGAGCATTGTTTTCTTCATTCAGTTTCGACGTTACCCTCTCTTTTTGCAACTACTGGATTTTCTAAAAAAAAATATACAGATATGTGAAAAAGTGCAACCAACGAAAGCACACGTATGCATCATCCTGAGTATATATAGACAACAGCGATTCTCAAGTTCTGAGGGTCTTGGAAAGAAAAAAGAATTGTCTGTGAGGAATTAAACAGTGAAAGATAAGTAAGAGTGATCCTCAAGGAATGTAAAATCTTACAACCTAGCTAACTCATCTAACTAGTTTTTAAAATGAATAGGCCCACAACTATTCCCCTGAAATTCACATGTTAGACTACACATTAAGGGATCTACTCATCTAAGTAATATGTTTTAAACAGTGAACCCACAACACTCTGCCGAGAGTTTTCAGGACGGTCAAATTTTATGGTACCAAAGCTTGTTCAATCTCTTCTATGCCACTAGATCTATATGTAGATACACATTGTTCCATGGAACACAGATACCACAGGTGCCATCTCACATGATGCGTCTGTTTTTTTATTGAGATTGATGCAAGAGCTTTAACCTCCCTGATACTTAATTCCTGAAAACTATATACCCTGCTTGATCTCTATTCCTCATGTGTTTTTCCCCAAACAAAACCAGAGATATTTAGTCAAGCCCTTTTACATCCAACGTTTTAGATGTGTCACAGATGCATAGATAAGCCGCACATCATAGTAGACATCGCTCATCATATAAAACACATGTGGCACATTGCTCATCATAGTAACGATTGCCATTTGATAAACTCTCTCCTAACTAAAATAGCGCTATAAAAATGAAATAGACTACTCAGGGTGGTAAATGCATACCCTGTAGTTCTTCCATGGGGCATGCCATTCTGGCCGAGGCCATCTGCTTGGGACCCTTTCCACTAAAGCAGAGGTTGATTGAGGCCTGAACAGAGAAGATAAGATCTAAGCTTAAACAGTAAAAAGTCATCACAAAGCAGCAATGAAACAGGAACCTATTGCCAAGTTTGCGCTATGCCAGGCTGATTTGGCTGATTACAGGAGGGTCACTTGATTCAAGACCCAACATAGAAATTGGGCGAGGACATTTCACTATTCACTATTTGTTATGGCTGGTATTGAGTTCGTACATACTTTATTGTCTTAAAAACACCAAAAAAAAATTCTTAGAGATTCATAATTATTCGTACTGAAAACCTATGTGAAATTGGAAATTGGAGATACCGTTGAAATTTCCAAGGAAATCGCCAATAAATTCAAATATTTAAATAAAAACCTAACCACCTATAGGGCAAGCAGCATAAAAATGTAATGTCTCAATTCCACTCAGTTGTCCTTGGTTGATGTCTGCATGCATAATTCTGCATCCTTTCAAAGTTCTCAATAGAAACAAGCATAAACAAACTTTTGTTTCCCCAAAGAAGAATAATTTTAGGGGAAAAAAATGAAGGACAGGGACACAAAAAACCTTTCCGCAGAACCAAGAACTGGAATGACAGAACCGGCACCAGTTCTCGCTGCATGCCCTGTATCACTGTTGAAAAGTACAGTTCTTATCAGTTAACCAAACATAGAAAAGTAAAAAATGTAATGAATTTTCTTTTACTTGCATTCCCGGTGCACATCATGATGTGAGATAAGAATGGCATACATACATTCCTTTTGGCTGCACAGGGGCAAGAACCACGGAGTTGTGGGCCCCATCTTTCTGCGAATCTCCAGAAGTTTGGCTCCCTAAGAGAGGAAAATGATGATATGAGAAATGTGCTCAAGTTTTTATGCTTGCCATGAACAGAGAACGAAACAAACGCATGAGGACAACATGAATCACAGAAATAGGCAGATTCCACTTCTGGTGCACAACAAACTGAGTAGTTTGAAGAATGTATACCCAGATATAGATTTGTTCATTGAAAAAAGAAAAAAAAGGAAATAATACCAAGCAACCAGTTCTGGCGCTATTAAAAAGGGTCCGCAGTCCAAGAAAGGTAAAATCAGTCCATTTAAATTGTACTGACTTTTCTCAGTCATTTTCATCGATTGACCAATTTTTAATTTCGTTTCCACATTTAGTCTTCTTGATAGCTCAAGAGTAGTACAAGGAAACTAAACTTTCTAACGTGTTAAAAGAGTGCCTAAAAGGAAAGAAAGTGGAAAATCTATAAGCATCCTAGAATGAATATTGCTCTCTGCGAAAAACACTGGGTTCCAGATAAAACAAAGTGCCCAAGTGTGAAAGGCACTGAGAAGCTAATCAAAGAAAAAAGTGTTCAACATTTTGTTTTTCTAAATAATAGGCATTAAGTACTTTATTAAGAACCCAACTGAAGATAACAATTTACTCTGTGATTTTTCAATTATTTTTCATGTAAGAAACCGTGCTTGAACCTCTACATATTCTTTTCTGAACTGATGGAATCAAATGGAAACTTGAGGATGAAATTTTAAAATAACTAGAGTTATCAGTGAGCATACTGAATAATTAACGAAAACAGAAACATGAAGAATTCAGCTATACCAAGAAATTAAACAAGGGTAAAAGAAAGAATGCAGTATGACACTATCAATATCACGTCATTATTCCAGCGATCTTTCAAACAAGAAAAAAAAAGGAATGGAGAAGTACAAAACAGAGGAATCGCTCACTTCAACCTTCGGATGGAAGCAACCTCCAGAAGAGAGAAGGTTATCAAGATCACAAATCTGAAGACAATGACCATAGACTCAAATAAATGTCTGCGATCCGAAGTGTTTCACAGAAAAATTCCTTCAAATGGCGTTTCTTATACATGATTCACTCAGGATAGGCATTTATTTCTTCTTTTCCATCCAGCACCCAGACTATTCTACCCTTATCTGAAATCTTTTACCACCTCCCAACTTTATTCCATCTTTTCAAGTTAAGTAAGCACTTCAGTTTATTTTCTCCCACAGATTTCCCCCATGAACTTCTTCTTTGTAGACATTTCAGACTCACCGAATCAGCACTCTCAAAGTCGAAACTACCCTCGAAACTCCTTCCAGATGATGAAGCACAGAAGGGCCCATACAACTTTATCCGATTTTATTATGAATCTAAGCACCATAAAAATATCTGAACTGATATATGTAAACTGATAGATATTTTGACGATTAGAGATCGGAAACTATATCCCTGCACTTCCTAACCTCTGTCAGTCAGAGAGCTCTAACCACGGCAACAAAAAATTATTTTATTCATTTTCCATATTATATCGAAAATTCATAGAACTGCGTGGAAACACTAATACCCATCATTTTTGCCGTGTTTCTTACACAGTCCAGCAAAAACATAGGAATCATCTATGAAGGACATGGTATCCATACAAAATAATACACGCATATGTCAACTTCACTAAACTGCAAGGCTTATAGTAATGCTCCTATGCATGGCTTTCCATGAGAACAATACTGCAGATTCCAGCTCCTTTTACATTCAAGGAGGGAATGGGCTATCAACATTTCAAGTAGCACTACGTTTCCTCGCTCAACAGTTTAAAATCACCCTAATAAATAGATCTGCATCTTCTACTAGCATCTGAAACTATTTGTGAAAGTCAAATTCCCTTCAACTGAATAATTTTCATCAGTAACCAACGAAAGCAGCTCTTTCCTCCCTTGGTTTTAAGAATCTATTTGATTAATTATCAAACCTAACAAGATAAAATGATGTTAAGATATCTATATTTGCTGAAATATCATCCTCAAGAGAGCAAAACTTATATCTGGTGCTTCTGCCAGCGCCCAAGCATTGAATAACATTTCAAGTAAACTCGTTAATTTTCCTCAATAGAAGCTTTTCTACCAGGAATAGTGCCATAATGTGACTCATGACCCATAAAATCCTTCCAAAAACAAACTGGCAAACACATTTTTCATTTGTTTGGCACATGGAAGCATGAGGAAAGATAGCCACGATGCTCAAAGAATGTTTTCGGATCACCGTCAGCGTCATTCATTGTTACAAAACGAGAGTGCCGAACATCAGGGGAAAATGCAAAAATATTCAAGTTGATACGCCACCAAGAAGATACACGGGTCGTATCGACAAAGAAATTGTCGAATTACCTGCCAGAACCAAAGCGGATGAACTCGACGCCTGATTTCCCTGACCGGGAGTACCATGATTTCCTTGATCATGTCTCTGATCCCCCGACAGATTCTTCACGGCTCCATATTCGGCGTTCACCTTCAAGGAAAACTCATATTGTAAGCAGCCGCAGTAAGAACCAGAATGCAGCATCCGCCATTCCAGATATCTACGCTGGTTCAAGATATATGTAGAGCGAAACCGAACTGACCTTGTAACTGATCCGAACGCGCTGACTGAGAGAACCGCCCCGGAGAGACGAAGGGAGGAGAAGGATAACAAACCAGTCAGATTTCAGAAAAGGCGGCAGGTAAAAGAACAGGAAGCGTAGAAGGAAATTAGGGTTTAAGTACTGGGAGGGAGGAAATCAACCCAGACCAATGCACGATCGGGAGCGTACCTCTCTGGGTCGGGAGGGGCACACTGGCCATGCGTGGGGGAAAATAGGTCGAGGGCGCGCTTCAGGGACTTGAAGCTGAGCTTTTTCAGCGACTGCGGCTCCACGGGCTCCATTGCCGCGGCGGGCCCGGGCATCGCCGCCTACCACCCACCAACACCTGAAAGGAAGAAGAGGTGCGTGCACCCTCCCACAGTCTTCCAATAAATCTTCCCCCCGCCCCTCCCCCGCCCCTCAACGTCTGTCTATACCCTCTCCTCTCTCTCTCTCTCTCTCTCTCTCTCACTATAGCGCACATGCTTATCCCGTTAAGTAGCAATACGGTGGCGCCGGTCCGAGAATAGGAATGAGAGAGAGAGAGAGGGTGGGGAACAAATCTCGAAATTCTCTCAGATGGGTCTTTCCCTCTCTAGAGTAAGACCCTATTCTTGGTCCATTGACATCATTAAATAGAACAATCTTCCGTGTTTTCCATAAATAAGTAACTCAGATCTCGCAAATTTTCTCGATTTTTAAGCTCGAATGAGTCAGAATGAGACCCAGTTTCACATTATTCGGGAGACTGAGACGACCCCCGCTCCTGCCTTGAAGAATGAATAAATATCACTTACAGTTGACTCTCAGAAAGGTGACCCAGTCAAGTCGATGACCTCCGCGCAGATGGAAGCACTGTTCCTGAAGGAACCCACTCTGCAGCTCGACGGCGTCGAGAGATCTATCACCTCCAGTGAAGTTCCATGGCCGGCTGTTCTTGGCGGCGATGGCCGCCCCATCCGGCCCAGATTTCTCCTGCTCGGGCGGTCATCTCCCCCTTCGCTCTGGGTCTTCTTCAACGTATGCGCCCTCAGTTCTTCATCAGATTCCACATCCTTCGAACGGCAGATGGGTTCGTCGATATGCTCCTCTCTCTCCTCAAGAACATGATGATGATCTAGCGCATTTCCCCCTTCGCTCTGGATCTTCTTCAACGTATGCATCCTCAGTTCTTCATCAGATTCCACATCCTTCGGACGGCAGATGGGTTCGTCGATACGCTCCTCTCTCTCCTCAAGAACATGACGATGATCTAGATCATCACCATCATCGTCGTCTTCATCGAAGGTTATATTCTCCGTGTAGCAGGGGAGTTCATCCATGGGAAGAACAGTAGTCCTCATGTGCTTAGGCAACCTGGGGCAGTGGGCAGAGTGCGAGGTGTACTTGGTGGAGAAGAAGTTCACAGAGAGACTGAACCTGGCGGAGGAGGAGGAACGAGCAGTCAAGGATTTGGAGCCGTTGACGGGGAAGAGGGTGGTATTATCTCGTTACCTCTCCCACTGAGGAAGAGTGAGCATCGTGTAGGCGAGCTTCATCTTGTTCATCAGCCCGGACAGGGATTTGAAGCTCGAAGCTGCTTCTCTCACAGCTTTGGACTCCCTTGGGTGTTGCCATGCCCATTCGAACTGAGGAATTGTTTAAATAAAATGAAAAACTGAGAGACCGAGGGTAAGAACCCTAAATAAATCAATAGATTCAGAGTGAGTAGAACCGCAGAATTCAGCATCCTGCAGTTTAGTGAATGGTATGGAAGTGCTTCTGTTCTGCTGCACGATAAATGATAGCCACGTTTCTTTCTGTCTTAGAGGAGATTCCTCGAGAGAGATCTCTAGTTTTGATATTTCGTCAAATAAAGTTAAGGATGACACCAAAAAAAGAGAGGCAAAAGTCAACGCTCACTGTCGGAATCAGACCCACTGTCGACGGAATCAAAACGTAAATATTCTCCATGGCAGGTATATTTACCCTGTTAATTAAAGAAAAACGGATACTAATCGCTCAGAAATCAATCTATAAGAGAATGCTTTTATTGAATCACGCACTGAACAACTCAAAGAAATCAGTTCCTGGATTTCCCATGACTTCTTATGCTGTTTCAATTTAAACTGCAAATTATTTATGCAAAAATCTGAAAGCAGGGTCACCTGTAGGGCAGACACTTTAGAAGGAAACCCATGTATGCAGAGTACCATCTCCCAAGGGCGTTTACTTTTGGTCCTCCATGCACCACATCTTATTTCCCCATTATGTTGTCTGATTCGTCGGCGGGGGTTGACCGTAAATCTGCATGAGCCAGATAAACACATAAGATGGGTCTATGTAGTCACAGGATAGTTATCTCACAAAGACACTGCCACCGTCCTAGCTTATTCATTCTCCACAAAGCTTGCTCTCTACAGAAAACCATGGTGTTGTAATTAGCTGGACATCAGAAGCTTATGAAGATCTGGGACTGGAGGAAACGTTTCTTGAGGAATCTGAAACAATTTAGTCAACCCGCAATGTTTCTGGAGGAATAGGCCAAGTGAGGTAAGACCCACGAGAGGAGACACAGACATCTGAAGAGATTCAACCTCTCTGCCATCAATCATCGTCTCTTGTTGCCTGTCTGCTTCAATGATTACTCTTTTGGTCGGGCTCAGGAGGATAAATATCTACTGAAACGACAGAGAATGGTAATCACCCGGGCAAATGCACAATGTTACACGAGTTCAATCCGTCATAACGTTGCCAAGATAAAAGAATAGGCAAGAAAGAGAGCGAAAATCATTCCTAGAAAGAATAACTCGAGGTGTAGATATTCCGTGAAAAAAAAACTTTGAAAGGATTTTACCTAAGAGGAAAACTGGTTAGGCTACTTTACATAGGAAAAAAACTTCGAGCCATAAGGGAGCATTTATTGTGGAAACTTAGAAAAAAAAAAGGAAGAGGAAGAGATCCGTCAGAGAGTAAACTGTGCAGAAGGAAAGAAAAATTATCAAGCGGATCGAAATAATTTCTTCGTGGGGGGAGGGGGGGGAAGAGAATTGGCACTTGTATGAGATTTAGTTGGCACCCGATGTAAGTATGCCCCTTGTAACGAGGGCACAAGGAACACAGCAGGTAGCAAGCAAAGAATCCACTCTTCTCAGCCAAAGTCTCCTCCACGTCCTCTCCCTCTGGTTCCACAGTTAGAGTTCCCGTCTGGTGCTTAGATCCTCTCATCTTGTTTCCCTTGCCTGCACACTGGAGCGAAAATACTGCAGTTAGGGTTTTGCGCAGATGACTAGAATAATCGTTTCGAAAAATCTCCACCAAAAACGAGATAATCTGTCGACGTTGTACAGCATTTTCTGTTCATCCGAGGATCAATTATTCATTCCGATAACAATATCACAACGATCATCGCGACCGAGAAGGCAATAATCTCTCCGACGGACTACCAGGGAGACTGTCGGAAAGATAGGAAACGTCGGTGGCAGCGAACATCATTCCACTCGACAGACGGAGTAAGAAATGGAATTAGAGGGAGGAGGAAAGAGAAAGCACACCAGAGGCGATAGGGGAGAGGCCCTGGCGCGAACTTGAGCAGCACCGATCGGGTACGAGACGATCCCTGGGGTCTGAGAAGGCTCCCACACTATAGAAGAAGAGGGAAACGACGACGAAGCGTAATCCCTCCCCGATTGACGAAGAGATCTCTTCCTCCTCGCCCCCAAGGGACTCTAATTTTGAAAAGACCGAACTAGCCGTTGGTTGGGCGAGGAGGTACGGTTAGACGGCTGATATAACCATTTCCTCCCTTTATCTTATTTTTAAATTATAATTATTATTTTTATGAAAGGCATGAGAGAACAGCTCCTTGTAAATTCTCTCTCTCTCGCTAGGACCTCGAGCTCGACTGTTTCTCTGATGATGGCTCCATCTAGGTGTCTATCGATAACAATCAGATACTTTAGGGGGTTTTGTATAAAGTTAATTGGGCTTCATTCGCAGAAAGTTCTTACTGCGGCCTTGATGCGGCGGAGGCCATTCAATTTGGATCTGTTTACTGGGCCTACGGTTATGACTAAGGGCCCAATAAAAAGGTAATGGCCCATTATGAAATATCATGCTTCTAGGCCTGGTTCGGTCAGCCAGATCAAGTAGACATGCGGCTACGATCGAATCAATCAGATCGAGCGATCCACACTACAACTGAACTCCTTTTTCAAATAAAATATAGACATAGATACCGTAATTTTGTATTATTCAGATAAATAATTTAATTGCGTTAAAGGTGGCATAGGAAATATTTTATCGCGAGTGGAGTTTTTAGAAAAAGGGATGGCACTCTTATTCATGAATGGTGTATTCACTTTATACTAAAATACTCCATTTTTTATTCAGTAAAAAAAGTAGAAAAAAATAGGAGCTTATTTTTTGTCTGGATTTTTTAGGGACTAAACTACAAAACTCCGTCGATTTATGACGGTCTTAAACTAAAGAAATTAAATAATAATCGACAATTATGAGGTTTTACTCATCAGTAAATTAATGAACGCGTCAGAGTGGGTTTAACGCTCCAATAACGCCAGTGGGTTCCACGAAAAGATTTGGAATCCTATTGAAATGTCCCGCGCCGCCGTTGACCCGGCAGAAGAGGAGCAAGTGGGGCCAAGAGGACTATAACACCCCCTTCCTTCCATGTTAAAAAATTGAGGACGTGATAAAAGAAATGACGAGATAATCTCAAATCTCTTCTCAAGTTTGGTACTTAACGGGTTTTCTTGGCTTTTTTAAGAAAATAGCACGTCTTCCACTCACAAGCAGAAAAAAGTCAACCTTTTTTCTTTGTCTCGATTTACAATTAAAACCATGTTATTTGCTAAAATACGTAGACTTTAGAGAGCGAGAGAGCAGGAAGACAGAGAGAGAGAGCGAGAGAGAGAGAGCAGGAATATTATGAAAAATCTATTTAAAAAGACGGCTTTCTTCTAGATGTCGGCATTTGGAGCCAGTGGGGCCCACATTGACTGTTGAAGCATCCGGCAGTTTGGGGGGCGCTCTGACTATGGGCCCCACACCGGCGGCTGCTGCTGCTCGATCGTGGCGTCTGTGGAGCTCACTTGGACACGTGCCTCCCGCCATAACGGCTTCTCAGACCACACATTGGGCGGTCCCGAATTGAAGGCCCATTCATTGGACGGCTTCGATTAACCATTCCCTGGCCTAACTGATCCAACGGTCATCTACGGAGTACCGTTTGGTGGTACCACCAAACTTCCGCAGCCTGAGGAGCTCCTCCTTCACGGAGTCACTGGGCGAGGAGGGAGGGGTTTTCGTAAATTTTCCAAAGCTTAGTGAAAATACGAAAGAGTGCTCGGCCGACGCCCGTGAGCTGCGGCGCTCGTTTACTTTTTCTTAATTGCTCATTTCGAGGTCAACAAATTCCACGTCTTCCGGAACCCTTAGTGCTAGAAGTGTTTGACCGTCCAGATATGATCTAGCGGTTGAAATCGCTTCGGCAGCTGGCAGGAATCGGACTGGCCCCCACGCGGGCGGCCAATAGCGCGTGAGATTCTGCCACGTGGAAGGAATCCGTCGCCAGACACCGCGCAACCTTTGTCACGTCGATCTTATCCGGGGGGCAGGGGGAGACGAGGGGCATCTTATCCATCTGCCACATCAGGAAGTGTACTATTTAGATCGACGGCTGAGGATCCTCCGATGGGTCTTTAAATACGGTCTCTCCAAATAAGGTGTTTCATTTCGCTGGTTTCGGATTGTGGAGTGGCGGTTGCGGTTTAACTCTGGTGATCTGCTTATCAGCCCGCGCTTTCGAGGCGGAGATCGGAGGTGGTTGGCGGCGCCGCCATGGGGCTTCTTGACAAGCTGTGGGATGACACCGTGGCTGGCCCCCGGCCGGAGTCAGGCCTCGGCAAACTGCGAAAGTACTCCAACTTCGTCGCGCCGCGGATCGACACTTCAGTCAAAGGTGAGGAACTCTGGCGTGGATCTGATCATCGGAGATGCCTGCGGGGAGAATGAACCAGTCTGGTCGTCCGATCTGGCACTGGTTCCGCTCAGATCCGGCTTTCTCTCGTTGTTGTTCGATCTCACTTCTTATGGTGGCCTGCCTGTGGTAGTGGCAGAGATAGCGGGGGACATGGGGAGGACTGGAGGCGGAGAGGACTCGCCGGAGGCGACGCCGCGGGTGACGCGGAGCATAATGATCAAGAGGCCGTCGGGGAGCCCCGCGGCGACGCCGCCGGAGTCGCCGGCGGGGTCGACTCCTCCGTTATCGCCGTTCTTCGGTAAGGGTTTTTTTGCCGATCCAGTACTAAACTACAAAACGGAAAAGTTAAAACGATGTGAACGATGGACAGTTAAGATGACTGAATTACCCTCGGAAATATCCCGAGATACGCCTACTCGAGAGGGCACATTTTAGTACTTTCGGAACAGAAGAGACGATTCGTCACCCTGCCGGTCTAGAGAAGAGGAATTTTTGGAAGGTTCCGGAAGTTCTCGAGACGAGACCGTGGCTGTCGTTTTCACGCTCCGTCATTACAGTGAAAATTTTAGTCTAACGAATCTAAAGGCTGCTGTCATCCCTCTCAAATAAAGTGTCTCAAAATCTCAGGTGGCGGCGGGCGGAGGGAGTGGAACCGGTTCCGCCGGAAATCCACGTCCGACGCGTACGACAGAGCGGCAGCGGCGGGCGGCAGCGGCGGGGGAGTCACGCCGACGGCGGCGGCGCCGTCCAGCAGACCTTCTTTCCCTCCCTTCGAAGTGTAAGCGCTTCCCGTCCGCCAGAGACCAAGGTTAGCTAGCAGATAGACGGATAGTCGAGGAGAGAGGCAGGCAGGGAGATAGGTAAATAGATGGATGGCGGGAGGAGAGGAGTGTGATCCTTCCCGGCTTCCTCGGTGTTTTCTCTTTCTTGCCGGTGATGGTGTGAGTTTTGAGTGCAGCAGTGTGCGGAGTCCTGGTACCGTACGGCGTCTAGTCCGGTGAAGTGGTCAGTGTACATATGTACAGGGGCCGCCTGCGTCGCCGTCGTCGTCGCCAGCGAAGGGACGAGGCTGTAGCCTGCCCCCTTCCCCCCTTCCCCTTCTTGTATAAGAATCTGGCGCTGGCTGTGTAATGTATAACGTCTCCGCGGCGGGATCTGCGTGGATTGTGTGTGCTCTCCTCCCCACTCTCGCAGTCGAAGAAGTCCTCGGAAGAGGAAACGGTCGTTTTCTCCAAGGAACCCTAGGTTAACGAACAAACCGGCACCGGCCCCGAGGGTCCAAAAAAAGAAGGGAATCAACGTGGATTCAAAGAGAAGCCGAGGTTTACAAACGTACCCGGAATCCTCGGGACCACAGGAGGAAGTTCCTTGTTGTGGATTGGGCCGTACAGAATACACCACGGCACGTGCGTCCGGGGGAGGAGGAGAGGAGAGGAGGGGGGGGCCTAGAGCACGTAGAACATGGAGTAGAGATGCTCCCTTATCTTGTAGTACTCCTCCGACAGAGGGCCCTCGATGACGACCTGCTGAGTTCCCGGTCCGCCACCCTGTGGATACCATTCCTTGCTCCTTTCAGAAAACCTTTTTTTTTTAAAAAAAGAGTAGAAGCAGAGAGAGTAGGTGATCCCGGGGAGAGAGAGAGAGCGGGGAGGCTGCCATGTGGATGATCTTGGGGACAGCCAGCCATGTGGCAAGGAAACTAGGCTCTGCGTACGGGAGAGAGAGAGAGAGAGGGGGGGGGGTGGGGGGATGACACGCGGGTGATGCTGGGACAGCCACGTGACAAACGAAAGCTCCGCACGAGAGGGTCGGGGTTACCAACCTTCTGAGTAGAGTCGCCAACTTTGCGGACTGTCACATACTCGCCACAACGCAAGGCGCCGCCAGAGAACTCAACCTTCGGGGGGAGACGGAGAGAGAAACTTTAGAAAAAGCTTATACGGAGAGAGAAACACGAATCGACCAAGAAGACAGAGAAACCCACATAGGCGCACACATGACCAGAAAAGAAACAGGCTTAAAATTGCTAAATAAAGAAAGATATAGGAGAATGTGGGTGCATTCTGAAGGAAAATAAACAAAAAGCAAAAGTCGTCCCAATGTCGAAGAGAACAGAGAGATTTGCCGAGTTGACTTGAAACTTAGATTCGGATGGCTGCAAGAATTGGTGAAGAAAAGAGGCGCAAGAATCCGACGTCACAGCGGCATTAACATCGCAGTATAGAAAACCCAGGAGGATCCATGAAAATGAGCTGAAAATGGCGCACCTGGATCCCTTTGCTCGCGAGCAACTGCTTGAAATCGGCCAGCTTCAGGTCACCAACAAGAACTGACTTATGTGGCTGTGGGGCTGACGAGAGAGGAAGCAGCGAGAGCGTGTCATCTGCCTTACCCACTTCTCCATCAACCCAGGCTATTTCGTAGTCACCAAGCTGTGACAAGATGGAGAGAGAGAGAGAGAGAGAGAGAGAGAGAGTGAGAATTATGGAGAACAGGCAAGACTGAATAACATTGAGAGAGAATGTTGGTCTCCGAATGAGGTGAGGCCGACTATAGGAGGAAGAAGAAGGTGGTATCCATCTTGGAATAAACCGTCAACTATCTTTTCCTTTCTGTCTGAAATACCAAACGAACAGTTTCATCCGGTTGGTCAACAGTAGATGAGAGCAAGGACTTTACTATAACATGATTTTGACTTTGTTTACTTATTCTTCTACTATCGGAATTTTTCTGGCTTGTGGGTTTGGTTCATTGATTAGGTTCATAGGCAGAAATCAGAATCACTGACGTCCTTGCAAGGACAGAACATGAACACTGAAAAAAAAAACTTAAAGAAAATAAAACAGATCTCTAAAATTACCTTAATAAGTAATAAAAAACCAACCCTTTTTGTGAACCAAGAACGTTCCTCAAAACTGACCTAGGACTACATATGTGGCCCCATCACCTAGTTCTATACAGAGAGAGAAGAGTTGGCATCACACCAGAAAAGCTAACACGGGCCAAGCCTATAGGTCCATAACACGCTAGATAGTGGGCCTATTAGATAGATTTTGGCACAGGGCCTATCAATGAACTACGTTGCAAGTAAGAATGACGAATCCACTGCGAGCCTAAATATCCATCGATTTCCACATGTTTTGAGTGACATCCGAATTATATAAGTGTCCAAAAATGAAACCTCAAAAATACACAAGAATTACAAGGCTTTGAAAAAGCACACAACTATGGTAAAACATATCTCTAACTGAATAAATGCATACATTGCAAATGTTCGTTATTTTCCTAAATTGGGTCAGAAATCCAACCATATCGACCAAGATAAAGTTTGGATTTTCATGTGACCTACCCATCAAGCTTGTCAAACCTGTTTCTGAGCAAGCATGCAAAATCAGCCCCTTTACTCCTGGTTAACATTCTAGTTGCTCCATTTATCCCCATCAACAGGTTAAGGACCGGAAAATCTGCCCTTGCCACAAATTCTGGTCGAAGTATGCATTTCTCAATCACCCAGTAAGTAAAGAGATGAATGGACGGACACCTCACAGATCTTTCAAAATCCCACTGGCAACCGCATCTCAGAAAATTTTCGGTTCTAGAGAATATTTTCGTTTCTGCTATAAATCCCAAGCCAACAACAGATTTTCAAGTGATTTCATCCGCCTTCTCAAAAAGATATAATATGGGGGCAGATCTACTTCCCTATCCTGTCAACCAGAAAAATATCCTCATAATGATAAATAAGTGCAGTGCACGTCTGTTCTAGTCAGTTGAATTCATTATTTGGACGCAATTCAACATAAATACGTAAATTGCTGATCAAAATAAGTATGTTTCAAAGAAATATCTAATCAAATAACTTACCTTTTTAAAGAGGACATTACTCATTAATCTCTCAGAAAGCTGCACCTGTTGTTATAAGTTCAAAAGGTAATAAAAATCAATTTATGTTAGCAAAATAATTGATCAACAAGAACAGAAAATAGGTGAAAATAGCTTAAACTAATGTCTGACAACGGAATAATATTGGCTAAAAATGAGAAAACAATACAAAAGCGTATATAAATCATCAGACTAGTCTCTTCATCCTGATCTAGTTTCGGTACACTCTGGTAATTGAAGTAAATTCTAAGAAAAACCATCCTTTCAGTCAATCAGCCAATGCTTTGGTCAATTTTGCACTGAACAATGATACGGTAGTAAGCACTTTAGATAACACTGGAATAGGGGGTTGATACCTTGTATGCACACAGATCAGATGTGACATCAATCGTTTCTTCAATCTGTGGGGCATATACATGTTGGCAAATGTGTTTTAAGCAGTGCTGCTTTAAGTGATCAGTAGCCTCGGCTGAGCCATGAACAAGAACCTTCGCAAGAAACAACAGTGAACTAAAAGATGAGTACGAGATAAATGAAGATCAGCAGGTAATTCTTAGAATATTTTCAGTAGATGAAGGCGTGTTAGTGTTGTACAAGGAGGCAAAAACCACCAGTAATGAGCGACCAATGCCTCACAAACTTTTTCTCGTAAATCACCACGTGAAGGCATGGTTTACTCTGAACATACAAGTCTGGAGCACCACAATCTTAGAAGGAAATAGACATTCGTAAATCCAGATATGATTTGCTTTTTATCAGGTCGTCAACAGTTGAGCCTATCAAACCATGACAAAAAGATGAAAAACAGTAATAATAAGTCAACTAAGAATGGCAATGACGTACAAGCTTCAAAGGTGCCACGTGGCCCAGAATTGATTTTATAGAACGCCCATCTGAACGACCCTCAAAGTCCATGTAAATCAAACCACACTTCACCTGTACCTGCAGATAATTTGATGGCCTTTTTATTAATGAGAGACGGCCTTGGCAACTCCAACAACAATGGAGAAAATGAAATCAACAAAACATGAAAGGAAAGAAGTATGATGAAAAAGATTAGAATAGACATGATAATGTCTTAATTTACGAGAAATAGTTAGTGATACTTAGGTTTTCAACGCAAAGTTACCAAATAATAAAATCTAAAGCGATCATTTTTATCCAAGGCTTACAGAATCAGCCAATTCCAGTTGGAATCGTCCAATCCTCATCACTGCTTAGAACAAACAAACACAAGGAAAAATGTAATCAGCGAGGAATTAGGCAAACTTAATGAATTCATTGATTCCAAGCTGATCGAACTGGGTTCGTCTTCTAAATTGACAACATTGCAGATGATCGAAAGGTGTGTTTCCTTGGAAGAAAGTCAGATAAAAAGGGAAGGGTGTCCATCTTAGAAATTGGAAAAATATTTGGGAATGTATGAAGGTAGGCGGCGTAGGATTGGTGAAGATTGATAATTTTAATTAGTTACTATTTTTTGTGTCTTTGGAACTTTGCAGAAGACAACTCTTCGAGGGATAGAACAGCGAGGAAGAGTGACCATCATATAAATTGGGGCAGCTAGTCAAAGCAAGAGGAAAAAGCGTGACAAGTTTATTTTTTGGAATTGGAAGTTGGAAAAGGACGATTCTCCTTGAGCCAGGACAATGAATGAGAAATACACCGGCGAAAACAACCAATGACAGACTCATCCTAATACACATGGAAAGGGATTGTTAAGAAGTGGACTTCATGAACATACCATCACATTTTCAGGCTGATGATGAAATATTGTTGAGATTATGGGGAGATCACTGGTGCAAAGACCAAACTTCAAAATAGAAACTATCCCGGTTATAATATAAAAAATCCAATGTTAAAGGAAAACAGATATCCCTGACACAAGAAAATTCATCAGCAATGAATTATCCCCGCCTAAAAAGAATAGCATAATATAAACTAGTTGACGAGTTATGATAGGCACACAGGCACATGGAAATTATTCTCCCCGTTTTCCGTCTCCTGGGCATCCTTCTAAGGACAGGTAACGTTTCCACATGAGGAGAATGACGTTTCTGTAACTTTTCAGTAGTCGGATATTGACTACGGGCTATACCATGTTAGTCTAGCGCACAATTGATATATAAGCGATTTTTGAGAGCTTACAAATCATATACTTGTGTGTTGATCGCCTATTATTATTCAGTAATTATGTAATATTGCCCACTTAAAGTAGAACTAAATTCTATCGATCACAAGTACTGGAACAAAACATAAGAAACCGCTTCAGACTTACTGTCATTTCATTTGAAATAACTTTAGAAGGGGTGGAATCCAAAAGCAAGTGCACTGAGGCGTCATCGACTTTACCACCTACTTCACCACCGAATTCCTGGAAAAAAAAGCATTAATCACTAATCATGTCCAACAAAAAACAAATATTAATCTCTCACGGATGAGAGCACAGACAAAGTCTAATAAGAAACATCATTTTTGAGAATAGAAGTGTAACTTGAAAAGGAGGAGATATTTTCTAACTCCAGAGTACACTAATGAGGCACTTCATTACCGTGCACCATTAAAGAGAATACTGAATGATAGGTGTGTTACAGATTATATCATCGTGCCACTACAATTTCTGCACATGTGTGTGCGTGCACGTGGATCATTGTGCCATTACTATGTCTGTGCATGTGTGTGCATACCATAAAATCATGACGCATGCATGATCAAGTGATTTTTTTAGGTTAAACATTAGCTGATACATTTTGTCTTATTAATGAAACGGGGTTTTTTATTGGTTTTTGTCTGTGCATTCATTTTGGGTGAGAGTGGTTTCATCAGCTGCAGTGATGCTCTTAATGAATCCATCCAAGTGGCAAAAGTCAAGTAGCATAGGCTGTCCTGGCCCATGAGAAAGCTGACTTCCTGGTTCATTGAATTCTTATGAACTAAATCATGCCAGGATCCAATTATCCATTTGATGTGCATTTATAGATGCACTTTTTTTCTTTTTGACTAAAATTATCAGTTAAAAATATATTTGGGTAAGCACACTGACACTTAGTTTCATAAACAAATGCAGTCTCCAGTATTAAAATCTCTTCCTACACACTCACCTTCTTCACACAAGTTGCAAAGTTAAAGGATGATAATATTTAAACTTGAATCACTAAAAGACATAACAACAGTATGAAGTGCAGTTATGTTTGCTTCTGCAATTAACATTCACACACTTCGGTTTCTATAATCAATATGTGGAAAACTTACATGAATGAATTGTCGATCCATATCTTCTGACTTGGCAACATGGTCATCAGGATTAATGACCTCGCCATATTCATCCCATTCAGCTGAACTGTCAAAAAAGGGGAACATCGGGGCTACACTAGTGGACGGTGGCACAAATCCATCAATAAAAATTTCCCGCTTAATGCTAGAGCGCGATACAGCCACTGGAAAGTTATTACTGAAACATTAGTTGACCAGAGGAGAGATTTGCGGACAGAATTTTAAATTTCAGCACACATAATTAAAAAGAAAACTCACACCAATCAACTAAAGAAATTCCCAAGCCAGGACAGAAGGAATTCGAGGAATTCGAACTACATTTGGGAAATTAAATACATCAGTAAACAAAAGAGAAAGCAAAATGCATAATAAAGACAACAAAGTCGGAGGACAGACTAAAAATACGGGCATTGCTGTATTTTTGTCGCATTTATTTTTTAATCAACAAAGTGTCTCTTAGTGAAATATTATTAAAAACAATAGCTGACCATCCTCAACAAGTGGAAGCAATTCTAGGGGTTTTAGCAGCAAATTAGAATCCAAACCTGAGGAAATGATCTTTCAACTAAGGTTTTAAATATAGCCAGAGGTTACATAACTCTAAATATATTACAATACCCAGTAAACACCTGAGCCCAGACACTGTCCATAATCCTTCTCGTAGGTAGCCGAAGGTTGTGGTCCAGGACTGCGATGAGTGGCCTGAAGTGGTTGGAGCAACTGGGAGGTAGACAATGCCATTAGGACAAAGTTACAGTTGAGAATTTGTTATTCCTTAATCTATTTTTCTTCCTTGGTCCTCCACCGGTAAACTTGTGGTGTGTTTATTCTCTATTCTTCCTCTGACAGTAGTGTCGCTTCCAGAAACCGGCCTTATGAGACCAGGTCAGATTCTCCAGAAAATCAACTGATCCATCCAGGATTGGGTTATTTTAGATCGGTTTGGTTCATATATATGACAGTGAAATCTGATTTGGTGTATTTTGTTATAATATGCAAGACTCATTGATGGGGGATGATTGGGGGGGGGGGGAAGAGAACCAAAAAGGGCCCCTAGCCAATCCCCAAATGGATCAGAATAAGTAACAAGTGAAACATTGATATCTACAATACGCTCCATTGTATAAAGGACTGGTACTAAGTATAATATTTAAGCTTCTGTTCATAAACAATAACACAGGTAATGTGCAAAAAATTCCTAAGTTGCTCTGAAGACAAAGCAGGAAAATATTTATGTTGAACTAAAAGCACATGGTCATTAATAGATAAAAAAATAAATAGTACACGATATATATATCTATATATATATATCTATATATATATATATATATGTGCATATATGCGACGCACCTAGTGGGACTAGGTGTTAGAAAGCGATTCTCTCCACCAAGCACACCTCTTATCCTCTTATAAACTTTTCTTCTTAACTTTTTTTAAAACCATCCTTGCTCCTCGAAAAAGGCTATAAGTAAAATAAATAAAAAATAAACACAAAACATATATTAACATCACAGTTTAGAACATACCACTAAACAGATCCACCACGCATTCTTCCATACACTTCTCTTTGGTGATTCAGATCAGTAACGATCCCTAGTGTCTGTTTAATTTGTTTTCATCTCGCTATTCTTTAACATTCAAGCAAATAAAGTATCTAATTGCTCTCTCATGGCTTGCGATTGAATTCTAATATCACTTTCCCTAGAAAGATACAAGTTCTAAATGCATTTATGTTCCACAAGATTCCAGATATGTCCTTGCAATCGAATCCGTTTTTCTTCAGCAGACCAGGAGGGAGACTTTCCCAGCCTTTCCATAGGAATACAGAGTAGAAGTTTAGGAAAGGATAAAGGGAAATGACAAGATCCAAATAGAACAGCAAAGATCAAAAAGACCATCAAATACGAATTAAAGAATCCTTAAAGATGATGAAAACAACAAAGAGCATACCATCTGACGGAACATGGACAGAAGTTGCATCAATTACCATTGGCTCTGCTGAGCTCGTATCAGATACATGGGACACCTTTAAATCCTCTTCTTTTTTTAGGGTAGCCTTTAGAACCTCTGCCTTTCTTAGTCGTTCTTGTTCTTCTTCGTAGGCCCTTAATTCATCCCCAACCAAAGGAACCCTCTTGCTCACAGTGACTTTTACAGCCTTAGGAGGAGGATCCACCTGAAGCATGCGTGCCAGGGCCCCAAACTACAGAAAAAGCACCATATTTCCATCAACAAAGCAAAACGGGGAATCTTGAAGTTATTTTCGACCCTTGAACTAAACTACACTTATCTACATTATCTCCTTCCTATTAAAACTAAAGTTGATAGGTAACCCTCTTACACTATTTTGCTTTTAGATACAACACAGGTTCAAGAATCTGTCTAAACTGAAACATAAATAAATTTAACAAATATACCTGGCCTCTTTCAGTGAAAAGTATAAGATTCTTTACATCAGTTGCCCATTCGGTGAATATGTCATGGGAAAAACCCACCTCCAGGCTGGCCATGGAGGCTAGAACAACCTGAACAGAGCAATCAGTTCCCTCTCTCATAGTCAAGCTGTAGCGTAAGATTAAAAACCAACCTTTGGAGTGTCAGGAATTTTCTCGAGTTCACTTTTGCTGACCAGCAGTGTGACATGCCTGAAATTAAAAAATATTGACTCAGATGATAAATATCTATGATACAACACCAAAATAGTAAAATAAGAAGAGTGCATATCTCATATCATTGCACAGCAAATAATCAACCATTGGTCAAGCCCCAAAGAGAAAATATTATCTAAATTAAATATCAGTGTACTCAATAAATATTATAAACTCTGCATGTTCAGCGCGTGATTCTGAATATTCGAATTCCCCTCATTGAACACGGGGCAGTGATTTTCCCCTTGATCAAGCATTTCAAGAACGTCTGTAATACATTAATGCAGAGTGTACAGAATAATTACTCAAAAAAATCGTTAGAGCCATTTTGGGTCAGAATGGAAATAAAAAAAACTTGCATCGGATTGCACTAAGAACCAAGTGAAAGATATTGCACTAAATGACCTTCGAATACATTTCTACCAGAAAACTAGAGCCCACTAATCAATGGGTAAGCAAAAGCCATGTGAATTGTATGGGAGTAAATGACCTTCAGATATGTTTTCACAAAAAAACTATCATCAGCTAAGAGATTTGGGACTTTTAAGCATAGAAGAAACATCGTGCTTTGCCCACAATTGCTGTAAGTTAGGACTTGAGAGATTACAGGAAGTTTTCTGGTTGTCCTAACTCAGCAAAGATGATGTGGGTAAGTCTTTAAGATGACGATTTCAATGCAAGTATTTATGAACTTGATCGTGGAGATAGAAGCATATCCAATTCAACATGATCGTCAACTGCTTAGAAAATAGTCCTGAGATTACTAGGTGGGTAGTTACCAACAAAACACAACAAAAATTGTAAAGGCAGCCTGCCCAAAAATGCAATGCAAGCAAGGAACAGATGAGATTGTGTAACAAAGAAAACCCTACACTGTCACTAAAATATGGTTTAGGTTTAAAGAAATACTTACTTTAAAAGAAAAATATTATCTCGAGTATGTTCGAAGGACTTTGCTATTGCGTCGTTCATCCACTCAAGGAAGCTTTTGATATAATCAATCGTACTTGAGGCAACATTTGTCAGAAAATAGATTGGAAATGCAAGATGATGCTGAGTCCAGTACTGCAAATTTCTCTAAGTTAAGATCCTTGCCAATACTATATTACAAATATAAAATTAAATCCACTTGTTTACTGACCTGTTCTAAAATCAAAATAAGTTCGAATGCTCGTCCAGCTGTATCAACTGGAAGTAATGCATTCCCTTCAGATCTTAGAGCCTTTAATATTGCATCTGAAAAGGAAACAGAGTGCACACTAAGAGTTGGGCACTACATCCAAAATAGAAACAATTAAATGAATGAAGATATTGTTCCATGTAGCTAAAAGATAAAATGTGAATGCAATCATCTAAAATGGAAGGTAAAAGATGCTTCCTATGAGAGATTTTAGTTCCTTTCCAAAATTCTGCTAAAAATAAGTGTTAACATAGAATAAATGATGATAATGGTAGTCAGTTTCTTGCTAAGATTTTGGCTGGAAGCATGTTTCACACTATACTGAAATATATAATTAGTATGCAATATTAGTTGAATGATGTACGTACTTCTTTATAAGAAGAAATTGAATCAAACCATATCAGCAGAGCACCTCATATAATTCCAAGAAGGGATTGCGTAGTATTCAATTTTAATTGATTAGCAGCAGAGACTCGATTCTAATAAGCCGTTACATAATATATAACTACCTAGAAATTCTTGCTCTTTTTGGCGTCTCGGAGGTTGATTGTTTAAAGCATTGTAAGCATCTGTTATCAGAACAGCTGGCCTCACAAAAGATTCAAGAACAGTCCCATTAAGGTGCCTGTCAAAACATGCAACAGTTAGTTAGCGTCCTGAAATGACGAACACCAGAGCTTGTCTAAATAATCAAGTGTCAACTTTTGGAAACTCCAATCAAATTATACACCTTGTCCCAAAAGCAACTCAGTAAAACACATGGGAGTGAGAGTGCTGTCATAGAATTGTAAACAGAATTTTGCATAGGAAAGAAAGAGTCAAATTCATTCTAGGATCACAGTCAAATTACCGTGGATCAATATTCTGAACCATAGAAACTAAGTGCCTTCTGCGAAACCTCTCATGGGTAACATAAATATGGCAAAGAATGAGAGAAACTTCAAGGAAAAAACAAATACCTTTCCTTACGGTGGTTATAGTCAACAGCATAAATGACATCTTCACCATCTTTTGTTATTTTCCATATAGTACCTCCTAGAAGATGCCCAGCTACATTAGGCGTAATCACAATTCCTTCACCTTTTCCTAACAAAAGTTGATTGAAATAGAGTAAGGGGACTTAAGCCAAAACATCAGTGATGAGTAGGACTGAAGCCAAATGACTACTAAAATACCAACCAGTTAGATGAAAATTCTGAGAGTACTTCAAACTAGTCACATTCGGATTCTGGAAGGCAGAGTCAATATCATCCAGAGTGAATACGTCAAAATCGGACACTTGCTGAAAAAAAAGGTAAACATTTATCAGAAAAGGCACATATATCGGCAAAGAATGGTATATCGCATTAAGTACTTGCATTGAATGAAAATTTCTTCAAATATTTCTGCATAGAAATACCAGAAAAAAGTCAGTTTGAAAAGCAGACAAAAAAGTATCACATAAATAAAATAAAATAAAAGAAAGACGGTAGTTTAAAAATAATGATGGCACTACATTTCAGAAGGTGAAAGAGGACACTATAAATAGAAATCAAAGTAGAATATACAAAGATATTCGGTTAATATGTAATGTAAGCTTTTGAAAGTTATGGACATCTCATTTCCTCACCTAGCAATAAATATGGAAAGTGCGGCTATGACTTCTTTATTTAGCGGATGGCAAATGGGTCTTCAGTATGATGGGAGTCTACAACTAGACCAGAATGCCAAAACTAAAAATCTGACAATACCTTTCTCCTCATAAAGCCTCACAGAAAAAACAAGGAAAATTCCTCTCAGATCTCTTCTTCCACACAGATTTACTGATTTCTTTTTCACCAAGTATCAACAGAAGAACTTGGATTAGTTCCATCGAAAGTTACCTCTTGTCCAACTAAGAATTTCGACAGTTAAACTCGTTCTTCTGCTGCAACAGCGGCTAATCTAGTTCACTATATCCAACATGAAACAGATCCTGAAGAGCAAATGACCGGTCTTTAGTACGCAAGAATAGTTTTCCCCCAGTCGACATAACTCTCTCAACAGCTTTACAACTTGAATATCACAACAGAATCATGTGGTATAAGCCATTGAGAATAGTGATTAATTAACATTTCAACCATCGAGCATTTCCCTCCCATAGCCGTTCTGCCAATATAGTCGTTCTTCCACCTATTTTTATTGATTCCTCAGATGTAATCAAAGAGATGGGATCCTCGGTACCAATGATCAGCCAAAGTTCTCTCCCCCAAAAAGCATTGACAAGAGGAAGTGCCCTGCCTAATCCACTAATAAGAGAGACCTGTCAAGTGCAGACACAGAAGGCTAATTACTAAAGTTTAGATCGCAACCAAAAAAGATGGACTGGTTTCAACAGGAGTATATTAATATTTTTTATCCCCATCTCCCAAGGGTGATCTCTATGCCTTCCTTTAGCTGAATCCTTTTTAAATCCTCGTAGATACCTCCACATCTCCATCATCACCTCCCTAAATTGGAGACTATACATAATCAATAAAATAAAATCATCTGCGTGAAAGTGAAGACCACCAAGATAGCATGCTTCATCACTCTTCTGAATTCATCTGCCTCCACCACTACAAAAGAGAAAGGAGATTAATAATAATATAATCCCTCCAGAGGCACCTGCCACTGGCACAACAGTTCTTAGCAAGACACCAAACCCTGAGGGAATATTTATTCCTCATTGACAATGGCCAGAAGGCTATCTTGTGCCACAAAAACCCAACTACTTCTTTCATTGCCTGCCTTCTTTGTGGCCTCAAGGCCCACCATGCGAACCTTATTCTGATATTTTAATTCCCACTCATTTTATCTTCACCTCACTCCTATCCTGTACTTCTACTGAGAGCCCTTTTCTAGCCTTCACACTGATACTAATCTTCGAACTCATGATGCAACAATCGAAGATAGCTTTCACTCCCACGTTACACCACCAACTACGACCCTACCATAACTCATATACTCTGGTTTTTCAGACTCAACCTCATCAAGTACTTAATGAACCTTCGCCTCTTCACGTAATTTCAGCAAGCCTCATCCTCCCCTCCCCCCCTGCTCCAAAAATATACAGTCCATTAAAGTAGATGCAAAACCATTTCGGTATTAAGGATCAATTATATCGAAATTCCCCTCTGATCACCATCCCGATGTTTCTCCAAATTTCCAAAACATAGCGACCTTTTATGTCGTCCCAGGACCCAGAGATTGGCTATTCCTTCAAACACTGTTCACACATCTGTTCCTAAGTCTGCCCTTCCCCCTAATATTTTTGTTATCACAGGTACTATTTTAGTTCAAGTAGCAGATTGTATCCAATGGATCTTTTGATCACTTCAGAGGCTGTTACATTAGAAGTGAGGATTCAAGATATGACAAACTCATTGATCAAGCAGATATACAGAAACTTCAGAGTGACACTAGAGAATAAAAAAAAGCCATAATAGATAGTATGGAAACAAGATGTTTACGGAAATAACTCTTTCCCTCACCTGGCATTCTATATAATAATGCTATAGTATCACTAGGGCCTTATCCGTGGAGTAAAGAATTGAATAAGGACAAATAACTTTTTCACAACAGAAAGATAGAGGGGTACTGCAATTTAAATTGAGCAAAAAAAAGGAAGTAGCGTGATCAAAAGAATTCCGGTATATATATAAAGAGTTGGGGATTTAAAGAAGAGATAAAAAGGTTACCTTGCGGGAAAAGTAGTGATCATACATGGTCAACTGGCCTAATCTTAAAACCGGTTCTGTTAAATAAATTGGGGCAGAGAGCGCCCAGTGTTTCATAGCATAAGCTAATGCACCGAGATGAAGAACATCGGGATGCGACAGCAGGACGGCATCAACTTTTGAACAAACCCTGCGAATTACAGCTTACGTCATTCTAGCATTCGCTAAAGGATACGTGATGAGCTAAAAAAAACACAAAAATAAGTATATATAAAAATAAAACGATTGGACGCCATTGCCTCGTGATGAGCAAGTAAGCTGCACCACTGCCCGAAATGGTTTCGGAATTGCGTTCTGGACGTTCCCAAGGACGACACTCGAAGAATAAAACCGCAGGAGTTAAATGTCGGAAAGATGAGCAGAGCGGGCGAGGACTGAGAAGAGAACCTGGAGAGCGGTTGAAGGAGGTTGACGTCGAAGAGGTCGTTCCAACCGCAGTCCACCAGGAAGTTGAATCCGTCAATGGAGACGAGGTACGAGAGGGGATTCTCACTGTAGACGCCGCACAGCGGAGTCACCTGCACCGACGTCCCCATCTCCGCCCTCCGCAGCTGTCTCCGCCACTGAGCAGAGCAGAAGCGGGAGAGGACCCGAGAAAGAGGAAGCAGAAGGGGGGGCGTGCTGGGGGGGGGGGGGGCCGAGATTCGTGGGCCATAAAGGACCGTTATGGGAGATATATGGACAGCCCAATTTCAGGCCCAATAATGAAAACATTGGGCCTATCGCCCCGAATCTGAATGAGCTCCCTCCATTTAGAATCTTTCGGTGTTGGGCTAGCCCAGGTCCATGGCAGTTAAGCTGGGGGTCGAGATTCGTGGGCCATTAAGGACCGTCTAAGGCATTTCTAGACATAACCAGCACGATTTCAGGCCCAATAATGATAATATTGGGCCTAAAGCCCATGCACGTAAATGGGCTCCATCCATTTCGTATAACCCAGGTCCATGTAAGACGTATAAACATAATTTTGAATTTTATTATACTTATTTGTTATTACTTAATTTATTTTATTATAAATAGTTGTTTCCATCGCGGGTCGTGCTTTTTATAGATGTGCCCTCTGGGATTGTACGCCGGGGGAGGGGGGCATCTTGAAATCACGTCGGCGAAGAAAAGACAGGTACATCTCAGCGATCATCGCGTCTATTCTCTAGTGTTTCTTTGAATTTTGTCCGTGTCCGTGTTCGTGCCCAATAATAGTTTTTTCATCATCCTCTGTAATGCCAGGAATGCGGGGTTTTTTCACCCTTTTCTCGTTTGCCCGGTGAATGGATGAGGGATCTTATTCGCGAGATCTGAGAATTGCGTTTTTTTATTTTCTTATTAATTTTATGATCGAACTAACTTTCTGGACTCTGCCGGTCCTTCCGTCGAAATTATCATTCTTTTGGTCTTGTTCGGTTCGGTCGAGTCGTTAATCACAAATCCCTTTTGTTTGATCCGTCTAATCATTGTATTTCCGTTGACATATCATAGATAGGGGAAACATAGTAGTGGGAAGTTCATGGCAGCGCGAGAGATCCGATCTTAAAGTTGGAGGAAAGTAATGAAAGATCTGAGCGCCGTACATAATGCAGTTTATCCTCTTTGGAAAAAAGTTCAGAAAAAGAGCCAATGAAGCATTCAATTTTCGACACTGGTGTGCATGTTTCCTCTAAGTCCAATGCATGTCACGTTATATGTAAATAATTATTCAGGTTCTGTCTATGAGAAAAATTTATCCATTATTGTAATAATCCCAGGGGACCAATTATTGCCACACGATATTCAAGGTGTACACCCGCGCACCCTTTGCAGTAGACATTGATCTTCACATTAATTAAGATCAAATAAATGTTTCATGATCTTGGGTACAATTTGATTTGCTTGTCGTCTACTGTGTGGGATAGTGCTGAAAATTTGGATGATGATTTCGGTGCAGGCTTGGTAATATATCGTTATTTGCAATGATATCCCCCAGCGCCTGATTTAGCCCTCTGAGTACCGATACATCCTGACAAATGTAGACTAGATAGTTTCCTTTGCTATCACTACTGGAGATTCAAGCACTGAACATGTTTCTTACAACATCTTTTCTGACATCATCATTAAGTAGGGGGAGCTCCTAGCCAGGAAAACTCGTAGTACGTGAAGTCTTGTCAAAAATATCATCATATTATTTTTATTTTACAATTACGTTCTTTGTTTATAGATTTAATTTGATGCGATCTAAACTCGGCCCTCGATGGTTTTACAAGACTCTGGATGCAGCGAGTGAGAGATTACTACATGGACATTTCTAGTTTTACGGGATAGATGCTCTTCAATGTGTGAATGGCAGATCCCTTTGAGGTCATGCATTCCTGGATTTCGTTCATGAATTTTAGCGTGCCATAAATCTATGCATGCTTAGAAGTGCCAAACTTAGAATATAATCTTTTAGACTCGCAAATTTTTACTTCCACTAATTTCTTTTATTCAGTCTCTATAATGTTATCCATTTCTAGTCCATATAATCGGCTGAATTTCTGTGCGATACCTGCTAGGTCTTATGGTGGTGTTCTGACAATGGCAACTGTCCCCTGTGCATCTGGGAATAGCTGTCAAGTTGATGGTTATCATCCACCTCTGATAAGTGGTCTTCCAGACGACATTGCTCTGCTTTGCTTGGCTCGGATTCCTAGAAGATACCACAATATCCTTAGATGTGTTTCAAAGAGATGGAAATCATTACTTGCAAATGAAGAATTTCAAAGTTGCCGCCAAAAACATTATCTGCAGGAAAGTTGGGTTTATGCAATATGTAGAGACAACAATGGAAGAACCAGTTATTATGTTTTTGATCCAAATTCAACCAGACGATGTTGGACATGTCTCCAAGGTGTGCCACCTCAATGCTTGAAAAGAGAGGGCATGTCTTTTGAAACCACAGGCACCAAATTGTTCGTTTTGGGTGGCTGCAGTTGGCATGAAGATGCTACAGATGATGTATATTTTTATGATGCTTCTACAAATGCTTGGGGAAAGGCTACCTCAATGCCTACTGCCAGGTACGTTTATTTAATTTATTCCTTATTGAGTAATTTAAATACTAATGTATTTTTACAGTCCTGTAAGATTTTATTGAAAATTTTTATGGTGTAACCTTGCTTTGTTTAAGTCAACTATGTTAAAAAAAGGTACTGCAATAAATGGTTGAGATGGGCAGAGAGCGAGAGAGAGAGAGAGAGAGAGAGAGAGAGAGAGAGAGAGAGAGTTGAGCTATGCTAAAAACTTGGATGATTTTTTAAATTGTTAGACATATCGTGCTGCGTTATGACCATCCTGACCTGTCTTTCTCAGGATGGATGAATGATCTCTTCTCTTAATGGGTAGTGTTTAGAAGAACTCAACTGCAAGACACAACCCCGTCGTTAGTGCGACTTATCTAGTAGGGATGTGGTCCATTTGGAGGAAGAGAACTGGTAGACATGTAAGGGATGCTAAAAGGTGCTAGTCTGGTTAACCAAAATAGAAAAGTTTGAGACCTTGTTCTTGAGAGCTTGATAAAAGAAGGGTTTTAGGAAAAGCTTCATACAAAAGGGGCTTCAGCGAGAGCTAGTTCCTGGATGTGTTCCTACTGCGACCTGGAGTTGTAATTTCCAAGTCCCTTATTTGACCTGCTGGGGTTCCTTTTGTTTTCTTTAATTCGTTTTTTCCCTTTTACGTCCTGTTGGAAGTTAAAATATCCACCTCTGAGAGAAAAATGATGAAGGGAATGTCTCTTAAGGAACTAATCCTTGTAAATAATGGAATTGTAAAAGTCATAGATCTGAGAGAACTTTTAATCGCCAATGTCTCAACAGATCTTTTCTTGTCGTAATTTTTTAACTATTTGGTAAGGAAAGTATTTTCCTTGTCACCACGGCTATGCTGCATTACTTTCTATGGTCTTAAATATTAATCTATCAAGAGTAATTTCTATCTTTTTTTTGTCGTCGTGATTGCTGAGTATTTTCCTCTCAATGATATGAACTTTCTCTCGATCACCTTCTAAATTAAGAAGCAAATGACTACCCATGGAATTTATGAAAAAAACATCACACATGTTTTTGCAAAAAAAAAATTGTACTCAAACCGCTCAGATAAATGTTTTTTTACTTCCCAATCTGTCAAGATAGAATCAAATTCCTATATTCGAAACGCTTTCATGTCGGCCTTCCTCAAATAAACGTTTTTTTGTTTGTAAATTATCAACAATTATAGCAAGAAAAATTTGCAAGGAGAACTTATACTGGCTTGAAATAAAATTCCGAATCTCAATCTTGCTCCATTTTGGAAGCTACAGTTCGAGATTCTCACGTACGATTTTCTGGCCACTGCTTTCTGATATCACAGATGATTAATGACATTGCAATCACTCAAATTTATTATGGAAATTCAGTTACACTTTTGCCCTTGTACGATTATTCGCTCAGATTGCTTTTTATTTATCATCATATTGGGTTTTAATTTACACCTAATACGATAAGGGATGATTTAACTAAAATATCACTATGAATAAAAAATCATATTGGGCGGTTCCAGTCTCTTATTGATTCATTATCTTCATAGAAATATTTTTTTTAAAGTATTTGACTCTCTCTCTCTCAGGTGCTACTTTTTATCAGCAGTCCTGGGCAACAAGCTCTACGTTGCCAATGGGGCAGGAATGAGTTCAACACCGTGGCAAACATGGGAAATGTACGATTCACATTCAGATTTCTGGACCAAGAGCCAGGATCGTTTGCCCACTGACATCCAGAAGCTCATCCCAATGAATGGAAAGGTCCACACCATCCACGAGCTATCCCTCAATGTGTTCCACAGAGGCATGTTGGGCCCACCACTCGGTGATGATGGGGATGGTGTGGCCCCTAATTTCTCATTGTGTTGCCACAGCCCCACTGTCCTTGTTGGCAGGGACCTGTACATGCTGGACCAGTCATCGGGTGCAAAGCTGATGTTGTGGCAGCAGGGAACCCAGGAGTGGACCACTGTGGGTAGGCTCTCACCGTGGCTGGTCAAACCGCCATGTCAGCTTACAGCCTATGGCAGGACCATTGTTATTGTGGGGAAAGGGCTGAGCACCACTGCCATCGACGTGGACAGGGCGGCAAGGGTACAAGGGATGACGGTCAGCTCTTATTCTCTCCCTGAACTGGACCCCAATCTCTCCGTAATCAGTTGTAAGACCATAACTCTCTGACTTCCTAATTTCTATGTTAATTATTGCCGTGTTGTTCTTCATATTCTTAGCGTAGTTCCTGCAAGTAATTTGGCAGTGGAGGCCATGGCTGCTTCATTACTGCAAATGATGTTATAATTCCGCAAATTACCTTAGGCCAAAATTTCCAGAGAGGTCCTAGAATGGGTTGACCACGATCGGTATCAGGCGATCTGAGTCTACTTCCGTATACCTTTGTCCGAGATTAATTTTATTTATAGATAAATGTAAATATGTGCTTTTAGTTTAGAGCATTATTGGGGTCGAGTCAATGGTATATGCTCAACTTACGAGGAACGCTGGCTGCCGTCTGACATCTCATGATTGGGCATTCTGTATAGTGATCTATATTGGGCTATCTTATGGTTGACTTTGTACTACGTGAATAGACATTCTCGGATAACTGGCCATTAACTTGGGATCTCATTTCAAGCAAATATGGTGCGTGTAATTTGATTCATGTCAGACAATTTGGATCAAGATCCGTCATCGCAGAAGGTCAACTTCCGATATATAACCTCCCCCCCCCCCATCATGCTGATATTATTATTTTTATTTATCGATTGAATCCAAGGCCTCGTCACTGGGAGAAGATTGACAATCTGTTGAGGCACTAGCCACTACCCCCCACCCACGTGGAAAAGAGATCCCAGAGGAGCAGTCCGAACGGTCTCCTGGGGACTTTTAAGTTGTCAACTGACAGTGGCCCATAAACGATAAATGGGACCGTCAGCCCATTATCACTGGAGCAGAGTGAAGAGGCACAGAAGCGGTTGGGCCGTTAAGGCATGGGACCCAACGATGGAACCAAAGATGGGCCTTGGGAACACCATAGAAAGTCAACTCCCTATAAGAAGACCACCATTACTTCAGAGGAAGGAAAAAGTTTAGAGTCTCCACCGGAGTCCCAAAGATTAGCCATCTCTAAGCGGATACCATAGGCAATCCCTTTCAATCAACGTTGTTCCTCATATTTTTCTTCTTTTCAATGCCCCTATCCTGTATGACGTAGGTTTGACTGCATTGAGATTACATAAAACTCCATTAAACAGCCTTCTTATCTCACTCCTTCTCCTCGTGTCCACTGACCCCCAAGTAACTATCAATTTGGTATCAAAGTCTAACAATCCTCGATGGTGCCCAAGTTTAGTGATCCCATATGGCACTTCCTGGAGAAAGAATTTGAGGGCTTCAAGCATTAGGTCATCTTAGAGTAGGTAAATTTTTAACAAAATATGTGGAGTTGAACAAATAAAACTCTATCAGAAATTCTGAGTGCTTACTCAAGTCATTGAAGGGCTCCATCAACAAATGGACCTCCTCATAATGCAAGCAGGCAAGGAAAAAAATGGTCTTGAGCCATTTGTTGAGTGGGTCCCTGGGGAGACCAGTCCAAGATGAGTCAACCAACCCAAGGCAACAAAAGGGACCACGAGGACCTCCTTAGGCCTCTTATCCCTAATAGTCAAGCCCCCCCCCCCCCCCCCGATCAGGACACTTTGCTTTGGAGTCAACTACTAGAGACAATCCCCTAAATAGTAGACTTAGAGAGTTGGGTATTTTTAGCAGAACTGTATTTATCTACCTATCAACTATTAGCACTAGAGAAGATGTACATTGCCAGCCTTAGTTTAGATGGTCATACACTCTTCTAGTTCCAATGGGCAGATGATAGGTGACCATTTTGACACTAGGTATACTAATAGAATTTTGATATAGTTCAAGCCACTAGCCTTCATCTCTTTCATCACCATCATCACAAATGAAGAAACCTTTAGCCTTCATCTCTTTTATCACCATCATCCCCTCACTAAGTGATGATGTCACCTATCTTGTTAGGGGACATTAGACATTGATTAATAAATTTTCTAGCACTCTCTATGACACTACACATTGGGAAGGTGAAATGAGAGGGAAAGTGATTGTTGAGGGAAGAATGGAAGAAGGGAATAGAAAAAAACATCAGGAAAAACCGTTCTGAATATGAGGGTGTAAAATAGTCCCCCACAACTCTCTTGAGTTTGAACTCAAAATCTGATCTACAATCTTCAGCCATTTTCTTACCCTATTAGGTTGTGTTCCTAATTTCCCAACTTGGTTGCTCAGCTCATGGGATGGGACCCTCAAGCACTACATCCCCATGGTGAAACTTGGGAAAGAGATGTTGGACCATCAACACTTGCTCTCATGTGACTATGATTTAGTTGAGTTTATAGTTGAGGAAATTATTTATTACATGATAATGGTGGCCTAATCCCAAAGTCTACTTCAATTATGCGACACGAAAAATAAGATGTACTTATGTCATCAATGGTAAATGAGGTGATAACCAATTGATTCAATCTTTTTTAATACTTCATAAAGGCTGAAGAAATGTTGACAAATTTATTATTATAGTGTCAAGCTAGGAAACATATGTAGTAGGGATAGATCTTCACTTATATTGACTCCCCAATTGAGAATTCAACATCATGGTGGGTCAGTCTATAGTTTCACTCTGTATTGGGTTCATGTCATGTGTTTTATTTCATTTTCAATAGTGTCTAATATCGTATTTGTTTTTTTTAGTTTGGTTTTTACCTCAATCATCCATGTTGATTGTAATTTGAAGTGCATGATAGGTGAAGGATCTTGAGTCCAATGTGACTGTTGAAAATTAGTGTTTTACTACAACTTTACTTATGGTGCTGATTTGTTTCATTGACTTAGTATTTTGTAAGAGAAATGTCACAAATATATTTCTAAACAATGATAATGTATTCTAATTGGCCTTTTGTCTATGCCTAGAATGGTGTACTTATCTTCAATTTGATGTATTGTAGGTAGTTGACATCATTCCAAAATATATTTAAAAACTAGTATCACAATAAAAAATAATTTATTTAAAAATGTTATACAACTAGATGACTTTCTTCACAAATATATTTATCATTTCTTGGTTTGAAAAAGTGATATACTAATATAAATTAAGCATACTTAGATAAGAGATCAACCATAATCAAAATGATATTTTATCATATAAGTTGAGCAAATCCTTCACTAAATTCATGGACAAATCATCATATACTCGATCAAGGATTGATAAGAATTGTAGTAGACCAGCCAATGAGAAAGAATTATCTTATGATGGTGACATATGAAATATTATATCACTTTTCATATAGATCATTCTTTTCATGTTACATTAGTAGAAGTAATGAGAAAGTCATTATATATGTACAATAAATCATAATAATTGTCTATTTACTATAATACTCACAATAATTAGAGAATAAGGAGTTGGGGGATAAGATGATGTGTACCTTAGATAATGGAGGTAAGACACAAAGTTCCATAGAAATTGGACTGTAAACAATCATTAAAATTTGCTCAAAACTTTTCAAAATATAGAATAGAGAACAAGGACACAATATAGAGTAGCGAGAGAGAGAGAAGAGGGGGTGACAAGAAATGAAAAAACTCAAAGGAGACTCTTTTCAATTAGGGCAAGGGTGGCTGATTTGAGACACGTCTCCAGGACTCTATAGAGGCTCTAGAATAATTTTTGCTCTCCTCGCTCTTATTCATAGTTAGGCTTCTCATATTGAGCTGCTCTTGCCCTTAGTTTGACAAGTTAACATGATTGTGGAATCTTCTTTGACCACTCTTGATCCAAGAATAATGGCCCAATAGTTTTGATTCAGAAATGTTGAGCTGAGGGGACTCTCACGTGGCTCTAACAACTAGTAAGTCATGCCACTTCATAAAAACTTATGGGTCAAATGTGCTACAATAGATGGCCTGAACCTTGGTGGACTTGACAATCTCTGTGAGGTCCTTGTTCAATTGGAGAGGGCTGATGGAGCCTAGGGTGGGAGAGTCTTTCACCCTTTTGGGCTAGGACATATGAAAGATTGGGTGGAGGCTGACCATTAAGGGTAAATCTAACTTGTAAGCCATCAATCCACTTCGCACCAAAATCTTGTAAGGCCTGAAGAAATGGGGAGCATGCTTTTGAAGGACTATCGTGTTCAAAATTGTTAATGGTAAGGTTGCAGCTAGAGGAAAGTATAATCACTAGACTGAAATTTAACTTAAAAGGTAATTTGACGCTCAAATTCTTGTTGTGGTGGTAGTCTTTGAATATTAACAAACAACATTAGAATTGAATGATTCTTTTTCTACTCGATGGGAGATGAATCGCTTGAGGTGGTCAACTTTGTAAGTTGATATAGTTCAAGAAGGATGTCACCTTTTTTGATACATGTAGACAGAATTTTGGGCATAGGTTATCATTATCTCTAACAATTTGACATAAAGAATCACTAACCTTGCTCTAATTATGAAGAATAGAGTCTATTGCTCAAAGTCAAACTTAATTCTTTTCCTAGTCTTCATCTATTGGATCTCGAGACAACGTCTATGGTGACTAAGTGGCAAGACTAGTAGGTCTTCAAATATAGTTAACATCTACAAACTAATGGAAACTCTTTGACATATCCTATAGCTTATAAAGTTATGTGTCACCCCACTATTGACTAAGATGGTGATTAGCTTCAATTGACTTTCAACTCTTCCTTTTAGTGCCAAGTGATTGAATTGTAACTTCAATGTTACTCAAGTCTTCTAAATTGTCAATTCATTGTCTTTTGTCTCTAAATCTTCTAGAAGGAAATTTGATCATTTGAGGAGAAGAGGATCAATAATTCTTTATTACACTTGTGTCCTAACAATTTTTTTTCATTATAGTAGAAGTAGAGGCTATGTGCTCGTTGCAATTGGATCTCAGCTGCAGTGAGGTTGATCTATCTATATTTGTCAAGGGCCCTATGTTATATTTCATAAGTAAAGATCAAAGCAATTGCTTGCAATCCATCGTCATCTCCTCATAAAGGGATCCCTAGCTCTTGAGCTCTCAATTACCTCACTTCTTGATTTTTTAGACTTGAATCTCTCGACCATATGGTGTGTTTGTGAGATGTTGTCCTCATTTCTATCAAGGT